TGGCACAGGGTTCTGCTCCTATTCTGAATATGTCATTTCATCAATGAGATCGAAAGCCTCTTTTTTCTCCCCAGTATTTGGAAACTACTTTCTTACTAATGCTGTCTTTTAAAAACTTCATGTACCTTATAGTCTTAAAAAAAAATCTTTGGACTGGATCTTATTGAAGTGCAGTTGCTATATTAAAATTAGGGCACAGAGCACAGAAAAATCAAGACCATGAGAACACTTTTTATCATTTAGCTACTTTTTGTAACTAAATACTCTTTATTCTTATTGCAATACTGTGAATGGAAATGAGAAGCATTCTAAATTTGAGTTAATATATTTTTATGAAGATTTTTGAGGAAAGAACAAAATAGCTGGTACTCAGGTTCATTGGCTCTTGCTCGATGATCCACTTCAAGAAGTAACCTAATTTAGCCTTTAAAAAAAGGTATTAATGTTCGTTATAGCTACTTTCAAGGAAAGTTTGAATATGACTCTAATCTCTGAAGTTCTTCACATTTTCTGACATTCCTTGGAGGGTGACTGGGGAAGAATTGCTTCAGGGTAGAAGAACCAGGCCCAAGACTTTACCATTCTGTTCCATGGACAAAGGATACTCGGTGAGGAGCTTTTTCCCCTCTTGGAACAGGTAAAATGCTTTTCCTTATTAACATAATTATAAACCAGTATTTTATGTAACTGCTATTCCTGTATTCTAGGAGTGGCCTAAGAAATGCGTGTTTTAGTGACTAGGTTATAAATATTCTCTGTTGTGAATAGCTGAATAAAATAGCTGTTTTTTCTGCTTCCCATTCTTGTGATAATTTTTTTTTTTTTTTTTTTTAAAGCACAGCAGTCCAACTAAAGAGATCTCTTACTGTTTCAAAGTCATAGAAGCCAGTTATTTTACTCTGGAGCTTAGAGCTTTTTTTTCTCATGAAGTAAATGAAAGTAGAAAATTCCTTTATCATTCCAGCAGAGTGAGAGGAGAGGATATGAGCTTAATAACAGTGTATGTCAGTCTTTTAGCGTATTATATATGATTTTAAAAAGTGGTTCTCAGGTCACATCATTTTAAGGCTTGATTATGTAATGAGAAAGGTATGATTCAGCATATGAATATTTGCTTTTAGTCCACCTTTTAGATATAAAACAAAGTCCAGGAATGTGATAAATATTGTGTGGATAACCAAAGGGTCTATCCCCATCAGAGCACAAGTGACCAATACATGTCACAAATCATTTATTTTACAAACATACAAAAACATTTATACTTTGGCAGATGAAACTATAGTTCTGGTGAAAACTCAGCTTAAAATAGAAACTCATCAGCTATTTCATGGCTGTATTATGCTTTTAGCTATCTTGTTATACATATAGAGAATCACAGTGGGACCATAAAATTATACATTTAGAGTTGAGTATTTCATGTGAATTTGAGGAAATATATTTGTGCATTAACTTATATAACCTTATATGGATGAATTTCATTTTTAGAATTAAATGTTGTAGTTATTAGTAATCACACACACACACACACACACACACACACACACACACACACCACACCCTGAGACTGTATTAAGCTACAGCCTTAATTTTTTTAACTAGACAAATAATGAGCACCTACTATGGTTAGCACTATGCTGGCACTTAGGAGTCGGGTGGGAAATAATGGGCATAAGACATAGCCTCAGTCTTCCATGCTGAGTCAAATCACCCACATAATACTTTTGAAAAATGTGACATTACCCAGTTCAGTGTTCAAATTACTTGTGTCAAAAGTTTAGAGACCTATGTGCAATAGGGAAGGTTTCAGAGACTATTTGGTGGCAGGCTTGTGCATAGTATGTTTTGAAACTAAGAGATGTATTAGAATAGCTTGGTAATCATAGAGACTCAGTATGTGTTTCAAAGAAACTCATTTCAGGTAATTGCTATGTCAGAATCCTTAGCCATCAGCCAAAGATTGCTTTTAGGAAGCTGATACATAGGGGTGGCAGAGAACACAAATTATTAACAATGGATCACGGGGAAGGTTGACCCAAGTCTAGACTTTATGTGAGAGGCAATCTCCCTTTTCTAACTTTTTTGAGGTCCCAGGTACACCTTTTCTGGCCTCACTGCTGATATATAAGCAACTGGAAAGGGATCAGAGACTTTCACCGTGAGAGCACTTTCCCTGTAGGCTGTCAACAGATGGTCAAAGACACACCAGCCAGGAAAATCCTACTCTTCTTTATTGGCATGGGAGCATAGTTATGGAGCTTTGTGTTTTAGAGTTAATTCAATTTTACTGGGCCAGTAAGCAAGCCCTGATTACTTTTCAGAATTAAGCAAGGCCTGTGGGTCTCTGTGCAGAGGACAGAAGTCTATAAAGATAGTGGAAGAGGAGAGAAGAGAGGAAAGGGAAGATGCAGTTAGCAAAAGGTGAATTGGTACGTATCATAGGGGGCCCACTTTCATTAATGAGCTTCCAATGTCTCTAGAGCCCTTGAGATGGGAGGCCTTTATGAAAGCAAGTTTGATTAAAAACAAATCACTTGTAACTCAACTTTTGTTGAGACTAGACTTCGTATTTACTCCCAACTGGAGACTTTGTAAATAACTTTTACTTGCTAAAGATGACATGAAAAGAAGCTTTACCTCTCATAGGGCACTTTCTTCCCAGATAGTATCATTACTTCCTACAGATTTGGCATCACTGAACAGAGTGGCAGAATTCATGCACCTTTCTCTTCACTTTTAGTGATGCTTTTAAAAATATTGTAATAAACCCAGCTTGCATATTTAGATTCTTTTCCACATCAACTTTAACAATAAGAGTTTGCTACCCAGATTTCTTAACCTAAAAAGTGTGAAATGCTAATAGGTATGGTCATAGTGGATAATTTAGGATAATTTCTTTCACTTGGCCTACTAATATAGCTGTGTAATTCAGATAAAGCTTTAAATAAAAATTTTAATATTTTCTGCCAACGTCGGGTTGTACTGGCCATTTGATATAATAGTAGACTAGACTCTTTTTTTTTTTTCTTTTTGAGATGGAGTCTCGCTCTGTCACCCAGGCTGGAGTGCAGTAGTGTGATCTCCACTCGTTGCAACCTCTGCCTCCTGGATTCAGGCAGTTCTGCCTCAGCTTCCCAAGTAGCTGGGATTACAGGTGCTCACCACCACACCTGGCTAATTTTTGTATTTTTAGTAGAGATGGGCTTCACCATGTTGGCCAGGCTGGTCTCGAACTCCTGACTTCAGGTGATCCACCCACCTCAGCCTTCAAAAGTGCTGGGATTACAGGCATGAGCCACCGCGCCTGGCTGACTCTCTACATTTTAAAACAATATGTTCTTCCTATAATCCCAAATACAATGAAGTATGTACTTTCACCTTAAAATGTGATAAACAAGTAAGTTGGGATGAAACCGAGGCAGGAGGCTGGATTTTCTCACTTGATAAACAAATTAGCCTCACCTTCAGTCTCAGATTTATGTTGTAAAATATACGCCTGTGTTAAAGGTCATAAAGGAGGAGTGGGACAGCGCTTAGAAAGCATCAGAACCAAATTATAAAACCAAAGAGACCAGTTTTTTCATCTTGTTACTCTGCACAGCTTTCATTGGCCTCCAGCCACTTAGACCAGTAAATCGGTTTTCAACACCTGGTAGGCCAAACTGTTTGGCATGTTCATTTATAGAGGCTTGATAGTGTTTCCAGAATATTTTTAAAATGGAGCAGCTTTGTGCATTTGTTACAGACTGATTATTTTACTGAAAGGAAACCTGTCGTACTGTACAGATCATATCAAACTGGAATAGCCTGAATTCTGTTGGCAAGAAAATGGTAGTTCTAGCCTTAAGTCTTTGACCCAGTAAGAACTTTCAATGACATGAAAGCTGGGTGGTATATTTTTAATACTTCTGTTTTTAGAATATGCAAGAATATGTGTTTCTTGCATATTCTAAAAACGGAAGTATTAAAAGGATGGTTTTATTTTTATAATTGGTTAAAAAAATTTCTCAAAGTGAAGTTTAGGAGTTTTCGTGTTTTGTAATTTGAAGAAAAATATCTTAAAATTCAAAGGTACCAGTGGAAAGATAAAAGTTTGGGTTTTACTTTAGAGGAATATATATTTCATTTTTAAAAATAATTTGCTTCATCCAAGAATATGAAGAATCCTTTACACCTAAGTTGGTTTTATACAGCAAAGTCTGAAAATAATTTACATTAAATGGCAAGTATGACTTGGATCAATAGCTCTTCAGGAAATCAGAAATGAAGCAATTTTACTTGAAAGTCTAGCCCACTTCAGATGTTCAGAGCATGTATTTTCTTTTTAGAGGTTTGTCTTCAAGTAGCGAGATGTAGTAGTGCTTCTAATCCATGGCAATATCAAGAAAGCTATGTATAATATATAAGTACTGTGTCAGTACAGACCTTGAAAAATAAATAAATTTATCTTAAACACCAACTCAGTCTACTTTTGCTTTAAAAAATTGTTAGGTTTCTTAAGACATTGCAATTCAGTAGATGCTAAATTATACATCATTCTAAATTCATTTTGAAAACCAAAAATGAGTAATCTGTGATTATATAAGCAATAGCCTTTTTTTTTAAAGCAACCCGATTAACTGAATAAGCAATAACCTTAACAAAACCCAATATTATTTCTATATGTAAAAAAGTTTAAAGTAGTATGCGTTATGGTACACAATATAGGAACTAAATTCAATTTTAATGAGTTTTATAGGACATATTTACACTTGCAATGCCCAAAAGCTTCCAATTCTTGGCCATAACATGTATGGCTAAACTTCTTTTTTTGTTTTCAGATCTTTGTGCCCCTTGTTCCCAGTTCTCTTAGTTGGGTTGGCAAATTACGGTCCTTGGAACAAATCTAGCCTGCCATCTATTTTTGTATGGCCCCTGAACTAAGAATAGTTATGTTTTTAAATGGTTGAAAAAAAGTCAAAACAAGAATGTTTGTGACATGTGAAAAATATATGAAATTCCAATTTCAGTGTCCATAAAGTTTTATTGGAATACAGCCACGTTCATTCATGTATGTATGGTTTGTGGCTGCATTTGTACTACAGCGGCAGAGTAGTTGCAACACATTGTATGGCCCTCAGCCTTAAAATATTTACTATTTGGCCCTTTACAGACAAGCTTGCTGACCTTTGCTCTAAGTCAATTAGTGATGATTTTTCCAACTGCTGACATTTATAAAATGGCAGTCTCCTGGGCTTCATTGCGACATTCATGGGTAAATTGGTTGGTGGCAACTAGCCCTATGCCATTTTGCTTCTCCTCAGCATGGATCTCACATGTGTGAAGGCTTCAGTTCAGAAATCATCAATTTCCAGTTTAAGTCTAATGAAAGTAAGTAAATGATATTTTTTTCCACAATGTTCACTCTTTAACTTCTTGCTGAAAGATCTTCACCTGTAGTGTTGTATACAGAGGCATATTAGTATATTGAAAATGAAGAAACGGAAACACAGTATATCAAGGATTCGGAGTTTTCCAGCCACAGCGCTGGTGGTTAGGTTTGGGGAAGAGACTATTTCCTCTGCACTCGCAATGTTAGAACATGATGTTTCTAGGCTATTTCTGCCTTAGAAATATTTCACATTCTCTAGAAAGGTTTTTTTTTTTTTTTTTTTTTTTTTTAAATCACATTCAAATAAACTTCAAGAAAAGGTGGAATTCCTTCAACTATGCATTACTACTTCAGGTAAGATGAATATGTTCTTATTTTAAAATTTGTCGATTATTGAAACTTTAAAAGGGATCATTTTAGAACAAATATGAAATATTATGTTACTAAACTTGTTTTCCTTTTTCTTCTTTTTTAAAGATGTAGTCTTGCTCCGTTGCCTAGGCTGGAGTGCAGTGGTGTGATCTTAGCTCACTGCAACCTCTGCCTCCCAGGTTCAAGTGATTCTCCTGCCTCAGCCTCCCAAGTAACTGGGACTGCGGGCGGGTACCACCATCCCTGGCTAATTTTTGTATTTTTTGGTAGAGACAGGGTTTCGCCATGTTGGGCAGCCTGGTCTCGAACTTCTGACCTCAAGTGATCCACATGCCTCGGCCTCCCAAAGTTCTGGGATTACAGGGATAAGCCACTGAGCCTGGCCCTAAACTTGTTTTCTTATGAGCATATACAGAAAGGCCCTTCATTTTTTTCACAAGCTCTCTTTCTTGAAAAGACCATTGTAAAGGAGGTCATAACATGGGATGTCAATTTACATAGATGCACCAATGACTATAAGAGAAGTCTCCTAGCTTTAAGCAAAGCTATGAAGTCAACCGAATGAGTCTAAATATCTGCTTGCTTAGAAAAAGAAAAAAAAATGTCATGTGAATCCATTGGTCAGAAAAAATATCTACTTGTTGTAGGACAATAGAATCTAAAGGCCATCATCTAAATCACTATCACCCTCCCCCAGTCTCCTAAAGTAGAAGCAATTAGCAATGTTCATTATAGTAGGCATAAAATTTTTAAGTCAGATTTCTAATGGAGTTGTATTCTGTACCTAAGAAGTAGTCTTGTAGCACAGAGGGCTTTTTATATGTATAGTAGTATGTGACCAATTTACCAGCTTTAGTGTAATTTCAGCTCATTACAGAAGTTATAGAGGTGTGTATAACATCACACCTATGATTTATTTGATACTAACTTCTGGGTATGGAAAATAATATTTAAAATTTTGACGACTGCAGAGTGTAATATGGGACACTAGTTATTTTAGGAGTTGCTTTTTAAATGTGGAAACATGGTCTTAATGTATTGGGCCATCTTTTGGGCCGTTATAAATCAAATTTGGCTCTGTCAAGAGGCATCAGTGAGTTCTTTGAGTTTCTGCAGGTTGTGATAAAGACGGATGGTGAAGCTCTGCCACATAAACAGCAATGCCTTCACTGTGCTGTTGATCTTGTGAATTTTAAATCTGAGAACTGCTATGGGACAGGTGACAAGTGGGCTTTCATGAACCCGTAGGCTCTTTGGGAAACTAAGTGAAAAGGAGAAACTTATAATTGGTTTCCTCACACGCTTTTATTCAGGTCTCAAATAATTTGCTTTAAGATAGATAGACTGAAATTTATGTGAATATCAAACAGTAAATTTACTGCATTTTTAAGATTGAGGCTGTTATGTTCTTTTGCTTTGTTTTTAACCACCACATCCTGGATGCCAGATTTTTATTTTTTTAATTGAGGCAGAAGGAGGTGAGGTTGTTGAGGCTACATCAGACCTAAATTAGAACAAAAATAAAACTAGAATCCAAAAGAATAAAAGCTGAATGATTCGCAGAGCCCTTGAAGAATGTTCCTGTCAGTTATTAATAATAAAGACAGTTGTGTGATAAAATATGGCTGTCATAGTACTTTGGGCAAGTTGATTGAGGCCTTGGGGCCTTTGCTTAGTTATCTACAAAATAAGGAGGTCTAAAATTATAAAAGCTCAAGTTACATATTCTTTTTTTTTCCTTTACTGGCAGTGTTCAGTAGCCTATCATGTTACATGTATCTTCAGAGCCCTTTTCCTGTTTTAAGGTCCCATTCCTACCTGCCTTCAAGGGACATCCTCCTATTGGAAAAGATAAAAAACATTGTACTAATTATACCTTACAAAATAGTTTAAGTTAAGCCCTGTTCCAGGATGGTGCAATGACTGAGTATACCTGGGTTAAACATGCTGCCCTTAGTCACTGTCGATAATCCATTGTGTCACTGGAGGACAAGCCACCCACAGGTTTCTCCTCCTTGTTTTGGATACTTTCTGAGGCCAAGAGCTGAGAAGGTGATGTAAGTCCTCGGGGCTGTTTAGTTGACTTGGTGAGCTTCTTGAGTTCACTTGCAAAAGAAATGCCTTTCTTTTTATCTTCTCGAGATGCCTGTGGGAACAAAGAACCTTCCATTGGTGTTAGATTAATCAAATTCCTTAGTCACATGACACTATTTAAGATAAGCATTTTCTTCTTCTCTCTCTGGTAAACAGAGCTTTGGAAAGGACTGAGGAACCTCCCCTCTAGGACTGCTTAACTGCAAGTTAGGCCACATGTTTTTTCATACAGTGAAAACAAAGCCAAACAATTTTTTCTCATCTCCATTCCTTGACTCAGCAGCTTTCTCCTAAATTTTACTAGCTTCCAGATCTGGCTACAGTGTGATTATTAGTATCAAATAATTTATGAACAGAGCAAAATAACTTTAAACTTTACCTGCACCTGCTCCTTTAGCTTAAGGATGAATTTTCCTGCACCTTTCCACTTGCTTTGGGCTTGAAACACACATTCCTGATCCAGAAGGACCCGCTGAGAGGACTTTGGTGTGGTAGACTTCTTGTTGGTAGTGTCTTTCATCACCTCTTCCAAAAGCACATAGTCACTTGGATTGGGGTTGCTCAGAATGCTATAGGAATATTTGGCTTTGCATAAGGTCTGAAAGGTAAGTCATGATTAACTGAATAGAGACACAGAATCTCCAACATTTGCCTTCATTCTATATGAAACTTTAAGGTGGAAAAATGGCCCAGACTAGGGAAGGTAATCTTCCAGATCATCTCACCTAGCTTGTCATTTTGCAGTTGTGTCATTGTAGCTTATAAGGTGGTCTCCCACATTCCCTCATTTAGCCTCCCCACAGCCTATGATTTAGGTATTATCCTGAATTTCAGATGAAGAACCTTAAACTTAACACAAGTTAAGCAGATTCTAGGATATGCACAGCTAGTAAGTAACAATAAAGGTCTAAACCAGATTTTCTGCACACAACAAAGCTCATAGACATGAAAGTCAGCCAGTGAGGACAGAATCTTGCCTTCAGGAGCCTTTCTATCCTACTAGGCTATCTCTAGCACAGATTTTTGGCTGTTGAAAGAATTTTGGAAGTCAACTGATCTCTCTTTTCACTAATACAAGAATGTCTTTCATTGATGTATTTATTAATTCATTAAATGTTTAGTGAGGGCCTGCTATGCCTTAGATGCTGTGCTGTATGTACATTTACGGAGACAAAGATTAAGTTAAAGAAACATAAGTCTGGGCACTTTGGAATTCAAAGTCAATTGAATAAGAAGGCTAATATTAACCAAGTTATCATACAATAAGAATAGCAAGTAACCCTTAAGTAATGTTTACCAAATGTTAGGCATTGTATTAAACATCTTAACATATACTTAATCTTCACAACATCCATGTGAGGAAAGTACTATTATACTGTCTCCATATTGTCTATGTGGTGACTTACCATGTAGTGTTTTGCTGGAGCCAATGGGAATAGGCTGGTGAAACCAGATTTGGTAAGGGCATTTGCACAACAGAAATAAATCAGGGCTTTTCTTTTTCTTTTACAAAGAGCTGGTTTACCAGCACACTACTATAACTAAGGCCCAGACCCGAGATCTTATTCCAGATCTCAGTAAGAAGTAGAGCTGGGATTTGAACCTAACGCAGCTTGACCTAGAGTCTGTGCTCTTAATCATTGTGCTGTATGACTTCTCAAATAGGTATTTAATGAATGCATACCCTAACCAGGCTATGAAGGAAGCAAAACATAGTTCTCTGAAACCATGTAAACTCTCAGAGAAGCATGACTTAGAGGAGGGGAGAGGATCAGAGCAGGCCTCCTACTTGTCCTCTGTAGGATCCTTGAGAGATGGTCAGTGAGTGCTGCCTCAGGTATTTCTGGGACCGTGACATTGTCACTGCAGAGCCACTGCCGAAATCTATTATTATAAGGGCTGTATAGAGATCCAGACTCCCTGTAGATACTAGTTAAGTGTTTGCTGAAGGAATGAACTAATATTTCCAAGGTTTTAAAACTTTTTAAATTTATTTTTTATTTTGAGACAGAGTGTGGCTCTGTCACCCAGACGGGAGTAAAGTGGCGTGATTTTGGCTCATTGCAACCTCTGCCTGCTGGGCTCACGCGATCCTCACACTTCAGTTTCTCAAGTAGTTGGGACTGCAGGCACACGCTACAATGCCCAGCTAATTCTTTGTTCTTTTTGTAAAGACGGTTTCGCCATGTTGGCGAGGCTGGTCTCAAACGCCTGAGCTCAAGTGATCTGCCTACCTCAGCCTCCCAAAGTGCTGGGATTACAGGTATGAGCCACCGGGTCGGTCGGTCTTTTTTGTTTGTTTTTAATTAGAAACAGGGCCTCACTCTGTTATCCAGGCTGCAGTGCAGTGGCCAATCAGCCTCCAACTTCTGTGCTCAAGTGACTCTCCTGCCTCAGCCTCCCAAAACTGGCATTTACTTGGCATGAACCAACACGTGAGGCAATTTCCTAGCCTTAAGAGGCACACACTCCCTTTTCAGGTCCCTGTGGTTCAGGAACTGCATTCAGAAAATGAGCTGTCAGTGCACAGACATCTATTCCAATCATTTATGCTGAGGAAAAAAGGATGAGGTGAGGAAGGGAGAGGCTTTTACCTGCTGAATGACATCCTGTGCAGTGCTTAGGCGGGGTGCTTTGATGACTGTTCGAGGTTGCTCTGGAGAAACATCATGCACTTGGACAAAGAAACTCTCGTCCTCTGAGCTCAAGATCACCACTTTGTCATCTTGCACAATGTTTTTCTCTTCTAGGTTCTATGTTTAAAAAGAAAAAAAAATCAGTAAATAATAAATTTATGCAGAGTAAAGAAAGACAAATCTAGCAAAAACCTGAGCTTATATCTTGGTGATGTAGAAACTTCTTAGCTTAATATCTCATATACGTTATTATTTCATATTTTAAAAGGATATACCTGTACTTCTGATGTTGACAGACCCATAACGAGCCAATTTATCTGCTATTAGCTATGGATTTTGAGAGTTCAAATTGACTGTAAATTTGTAGAAAGACAATATACCACTTTGCCAATTAGCAAAAGCCAAACAAGAACATAGTAAATTGCATATAAAAGAAAACCCACCCATTTCCACATACCTTAGCATTTAAGAAATGCTAGGCATCTGAAATGTAAACCATGAAATTGAGGGCTTGGGTGAACAGAACTGCAGTGACAAGGCTGAACGAATGGCTGGAGGTAAGCCACACTGAAGCAAATTTCAACAAAATTCTCAGCAATTATGAGAATTAAATTGGCTTTTGGTGAATTATGTATCTACAGATATATGTATCTTATTAAAAATTTTCAAACAGTACAGAAGTGTATCAGTAAGAAAAACCAAACTTTTCCCATTCTAATTTTTCCTTCTTCCACCTCATTCTCCACAAGATACCCCATTGTCATTAGGTAATACACCCTTTCAAACATTTGCTGTGGATATTCAAATGTATTTTTGTGAATGTGACTATATAAACCAATACCCTTGAATTATGTGAATTTAGATATAACTTGATTGTCAAGCAGTTCTTTGTCCCTCATTACAAATGAGGATAGCTTAGTTAACTTTTGCAAGAGGGAGACTAATAAAGGGGAAGGAGAGGCAAAGTAAACAGTAGTTGACCTCATCTCAGCACGTGAGGACTTGGCAGGAAAACCCCTTTATCTCCAGAATTCTAGCCTCATCACCCCAGACCACGATACTGAAATGGTGCTAACTAGAAGAATCCATGAATTGCTGTCACTATCCTGAAAGTTCCAACAAGAATTGTCCCCGTTGATATTAAAGTCAGAAGAGATAACTGCCACCAGGTGGCGCCAAAAATGCAACCAGGGCCAGAAAGGACAGGCTCCTGAAGCTTGCCCCAATCATTTCATTAACATTGCAATCATGGCTCTATAATTACATGATTGTTAAATAAATAAAAATATATAATTTGTCTGCTTTGACTTTTTTCAGTGAGTGAAAAAAATTCTATTGAATTTTTTCCAGTGAATGAATACTGCATTATATAATGGAAGAGGGGGAAGAGATGAGCTATTGTCTCTTTTTATTACCTAAAATGAGACTGTATCCTATGTATACTATTTCACAACTTGCTTAATAATATGTCATTGCATTGATCATAATATATTTAACCAGTCAGAGAGTAAGATTGAGAGATAATTCACATAACATAATTTATAATCTCAGTGTCCCCCAAACCGGGAGACAAGAAATCAGAGAAAACCAAAAAAGGTTCTAAATTGCCACATAAAATGTCCCAACAATGATGCATTAAGCATTACTTTTAAGAGAGCACTTTTGAGCCTACCTCAGAGCTTATTTACTTTTAAGGTGTTTCTAGCCACATTAGTTTGAAGCCACAGGTTATGAACAGAAGATAATAACCTTTGCTTATATGCCTTTTTACTAAGCATTTCTGTACACATTGTCTCTATGTTTGATGTGAGTCTCATAATTGAGTCAAGTAGTTTATAGATTTTACAAATTAGGGCAGTGAGGTTTACAGAAGTCAGGTGACCTGTTCATTGGCGACAGAGCCCTGGTTTACCCAGTGACACAAGAAGGCAGACTGAATACAAGAAGATGTGGTACCTGACAGATTGAAAGCCCAAGAGACGAGAAAATTATTAAAGGCAGGCAGGAGAGATTAGAGGTCACAGACAGCAGTTGAGGAATTTTCATATATAGGCAAACTACTTATATGTTGTCTTAGTTCCACAGGATAAAATAAATGGAAATACTTATAGCCCAAATCTATATCCTATAATAGTGCCTCTTGCATTCAGTAATTACTGAATTCATTTAGTCAATTGGCAAATATTATTTGGGTATCACTATGCACCAGGTAAGCCTAGGTACACTAAATGTGATTTGTTATCTTCTGAGATACAATATTTCAGTCATTTCAAAAATTTCCTAAGGCATAAAAAGGAGAACTTATCATATTTTACTTATCAGAAAAAGCTTGTTAGCCTTCCCTTCTGACTTATGCCCCCCTTTTTCTTCAAAATGCTTTCTTCTACTAGCCTTTTGAAAGCATAATCCTGAGGTCTCTACTGCCTGTTGTCATATTTATTTATTTGTTTATTTTAGGCAAAGTCTTGTTCTATCACCTAGGCTGGAGTGTAGTGGTGTGATCTTGGCTCACTGCAACCTCTGCCTCCTGGGTTCAAGTGATTCTCCTGCCTCAGCCTCTGGAGTAGCTGGAACTACATGTATCCACCACCACGCCCGGATAATTTTTGTATTTTTAGTAGAGACAGGGTTTTGCCACATTGGCCGGGCTGGTCTTGAACTCCTGACCTCAAGTGATCCACCCGCCTTGGCCTCCCAAAGTGCTGTAATTACAGGCGTGAGCCACTGTGTCCAGCCTAAGGGATGTTTTCTAGATTGAACTTAGAGATAATATTCTGAATATGTGCAGAAGAATAAAACTCCTCATCCACATTTACTTAAGAATAATGTAAACCAAGTTGCAATTACAAGAAATTCTGAATTTCAGGGAGGTGGCGAGTGGTAAATGGCTAATCACGTAATGAGTTATTACTGTGTAGGCTGTATCTGGACATACTTACTTCCTGCTGAGTTTTTAAGACAATCCTGCCCACGTATCCCTCTTCTGGAAACCAGCTGCTTAAAATTTGCATGATCTCTTCTTCTGGACCAATGGCTCTCTGAAATGGTTGTTTCCTACATTCATTCTTTTCTTTAGATATAAAATATTTTTCTTCCATCAAAAAATAGTCTGTGGCAACAGGTTTGATGTCTTGTTCAGTTGTCAGAATCTAAAGAAAAAGTGAAGGCAAACTCTGAGGAATGGGGCAGAAACTTAAATTGACATTCCTGGTGGTTTAATATGCAATTTATAAGTGAAACTTTATTGTATTGCATAATTCTTTTTGGAAGATTTAAGAATTCTGTTATGTTCAGAATGGATTGTTTATGTCCACTCCGGGCAATGGCACAACTTATTCATAATCCCCAGACAGCATAACTATTTTCCCACTGCTGGAATGAGAGCTCCTACTGAATTAAAAATTGTATGTTTCTCATTCCATGAACTTAGCCCTTTGTAATCTTGCAATACAGGACTGAGGACAAATAACCTAGTTTAGTATTTACTAAAATGATGTTTTTCTCACATTGGAAATAGTCGTCTTCTCATGGAAGGTTTGTAGGGCTAGATTTTCATGTGATCTAAGTTCCTGGGAATTATTTTAATAAACTCTGACAGTGTGCTTAAAGGGATTGTTTTCTTTGTTGGTTATTGATCCTGTGCAGTCAACCAGGGCAGCTGAGACAAAGCTCTGGATCCAGACAGACTTGAGTCTGAGGTCTGCCTTTAATACTTGTTGGCTACTTATTGGGTAAGACAATCCCTCGGAGACTGTTTTCCCATCTACAAAATGGGAACAGTAATAGTAGCAATCTTAATTTTGTTTTGTTTTATGGTTGAAGCATAAAGTGCAACATGGGTATGTTAATGAGAACTCAATAAAGATGAGCCATCATTATAGTTCTTGAGATAGTTTCCTTCTGTCACCTAGGCTGGAGTGCAGTGGCATGATTCTGGCTCACTGCAACCTCCGCCTCCCAGGCTCAAGCAATTCTCATACCTCAGCCTCCTGAGTAGCTGGAATTACAGGTGCACACCACTATGCCTGGCTAATTTTTGTATTTTTAGTGGAGATGAGGTTTCACCATGTTGGCTAGTGTGGTCTCCAATTCCTGACCTCATGTGATCCATCCACCTTGGCCTCCCAAAGTGCTGCGATTACAGGCATTATAGTTATTTTTACCAATGTATTCTTACCCCTATTGTACAGGTTATTACAAAAGGCTGAACTTGAAGAGAGTAAAAGTCACAGCAAAGAAACTCCCTTTGTTGCCTTCCTGTGAGAAGTAGCTTGCCAATGAGCCAAAGCCCAGAGTGAACATGTCTCGCAGGGAGGAAAAACAGAATGTGATGGACTGAGGATGGTGGGAGTGGAAGGCTGAGGAAGACTCAAATCCCTCCACTCAGCCCTTGGTCTGTAATCGATGCTGTGCTGTTGACTCAACAGGGGGCCAAGGGAAATACTACAGGGATAATTTGGGATGAGAAGCTTCTGGGCCACCTCCGCAAGAGGGCCTGCTGAGTCCTGCTTTACTTTGCATGGGTGACAGTAAAGCAATGGGCTGCTGTGGGTGGCTCATGGAAAGTTTTCCTTTATAAAACTTCAGCAGTGCTTTGTGATAGTGGACACTCAAGTACATGAACTGATGTATTAAAACAAAACCAAACCCAAATAAACTTTTGGCAATAGCTTCTGTTTGATAATCTATGAAATGTGACACCTGAGCCGTTTTCTCTATTTAAGTCGGTTATAAAATTCTGGACAGAATGCTGGCCTGTCTATAGAGATGTGCCTTCAAAGGACAGAGCCATTTATTAACACTTACTATTCGTGGTTGTTCAGTTGGTTTTTTAATTCCTCCAAAAGTTATGACCCCAGCTACATTTCATCATATACCCTAACTTCAGAGGGAGTTCAAGGGCCATTCCCTTGGTCATTTCTTCTTTTGGTGCACCCCTTTATAGGAGAAGGAATTCTTTATTTTTTTTTTTTTGAGACAGAGTCTTACTCTATCACCCAGGCTGGAGTGCTGTGGTGTGATGTCGGCTCACTACAACCTCTGCCTCCTGGGGGTCAAATGATTCTCCTGCCTCAGCCTCCCGAGTAGCTGGGATTATAGGTGTGTACCATCACGCCCGGCTAATTTTTGTATTTTTAGTAGAGATGGGGTTTCACCGTGTTGGCCAGGCTGGTCTCAAACTCCTGAACTCAGGTGATCTGCCTGCCTCGGCCTCCCAAAGGGCTGGGATTACAGGTGGGAGCCACCGCGCCTGGCCGCAGGGAGAAGGAATTCTGAAATGGGTTAAGGATAAAATCGTCTGCAAGGATATTAGGCCACTGTGCCAGGCAAGGGTAGTGCTTCTAGTCTGGTGAGAAAAAGGAATTACGCATGGGCCCTGCCTTGCCCTTTGGAGGAGATGCCCTCCCTCTTTGGATGCTGCTGCGTGTCCCTGGCTCTCTCACTCTTAGAAGTCCCCCCATGGATGGGGACCCTGCCTGCAGAAGGCCACAAAGATCCTTTGGAGGAGGATCTAGGGCAGAGGTGGTGCAGCATGAGGAGGCTTAGGCCAGTTCTGCTACAGGGCTTGGGGTAACAGGTTTCAGGGTCTCCATCCATCTTTCTACCACCAAAAGGAGAGGACCTCAGATTTCAAGGTCAGGTGCCAGGGGAGGGGAGCAAGGGGGCTGCTCAACATGCAAAGGAAGGCCATAGGCTGGAGGGGCAAGAAATGGTCTTGGGCCATGTGGCCCATCCTGATGCTCTAAGAATTTGATTCAACTCCTTGAATGACAAGCAGATTCCATTCACCTAACATGCTAATTCTGATTAATAATCTCTGTGTTAAGAAGGAAGATTAGGCCCATGTCTAGGCTTAGGGGGAAAGTGTGTATATGGTTGGAAGGCCACGCCTTCTGATCTTTATCATTCTAGAGTCTAGTATTTTTTATATCTTAAAAATTGTTGAAAAATATTCTCCACAGGTTAAGGTAGTTTGTCTAGTGGTACCAGGATCCATCAGATGATTCTTGGAATGTATCCTAATGTTGAATAGCATTCAAATAATCAAAAGACGTATCATCAACATAGACTTTTGTGCATTTGTGTGCATCTGTGTATATTTACACATGCAGGCATTCATACACACACATACATCCATACATCTTAGATTTTGGATTCTTCCAACCACAGCTCAGTGGACTTACCTGCTGCAGAAGCTGCTTTGCCTTGGTGCCTCCATTAATAGTGAAAACGGTAAAGGGCTCTGGCCCTGGGACCCCATGCACCGTGACTCTGTGAGTCTGCAGATATTTTCTTTCTTCTGTATTAAACATCTGTCAAGAAGATCACATGGCTGCTCATTCATCCTTAATCACATGATATTTCTAGGCTCTATTTAATACAGAAGTGCTAGTACTTAGACCTATGGATAGGAACACGTAAATGCAAAAGGTGCATCTTACTGTGGTAAAAGAGGCAATGGTACCTCTTCTTCAATCATTTAGTGAGGATATTTCCTCAATCATTTAGTGAGGATATTTCATAAGCACATCACCAAAATATTAATTTATTTAAACTACAGTGTCTCCATCATAATTAGGGGCCGATATCTGAAATGTATGTTAGTTCTTACTTATTAACTGATGTTCCACTATATCTACTGAGTTCCATCTCTTCAGGGTACTGGGATAGAAATTTGGATGGTAATAATAAAATGTTCTGCCCTTTGAGAGTGCACCATGAATGGTGCCCTCAAATCATTATATTGCAAAAATACATCTGTTAGAAGGAGCTCAGTAAATATGTAACTCAATTCTTTGAGCATTTTGTGTATTAAGATATATTCATTCAAAATAAATCATTTATGGAAAGCTTATAGTGAATCAGACATTATGCCTGTCCCTAGAAAATAAGGGACCAATGGGACACTAACCCTGCCCTCAAGGGCTTCCAGTTGAATGAAACAGCTAGAGGGAAAAGTAGGCAGTTGTAAGAAGCATGGTGAGTTCCTTGGGAACCCAAAGGAGATGGCCTAGAAGAGGTTCAGGAGAAACCAGGGAGGACTTTCTGAAAATGGTATCTGAACCAAATCTTGAAGGACTCACTGTGATTTAGTAGATGAAGAGTGAGACAAGAGAACCCCAAATTGATGTAACATGTATGAAGACTTAGAAGTAGCCAACAGCAGGGCATTCTGGGAACCTCAACAAGTTCTATGACTAACCTGTTGGAGGGAGAAAGGCTGGAGATGCAGGCAAAAGCACAGCCATTCAGCGCTTTGCCCTACTGGCTAAAACTTAGACTGAAACTGGCAAAATGAGGACCTGAGGGCGAAGTATATTGTTTAGCATGTACTTCATTTTTATTTGGGGTAGGGAGGAGAGGCTGGCTTTTTTATACTTGCACAACATGATCTGATTTAATCAGTTTTACTGAAGTATAATTGTCATACTGTAAAATGCACACGTTCTAATTGTATGGTTTAGTTTGTATGATATTAAAAATATTAAATAGTTGCCAACATTTACAAAACCCCAGATGTCCTGATGCTCTTGAAAAAACCAAAAGATCTGACCACATCACAAGGCAAGAGGCAGCTGCAGCTGAGAGCTAAGTGACAGCTGCCCCTCTAAATGACTCATGAGCTCTCTGCTTTCTAAGAGTCTCTGCTCAGCCCAGGTCCATGCATGCACATCATCTTCTTGGCACCCTCCTGGCATGTGAATTTGTTACTTCTGGTATAAACTATACCCTGAAAGCAATGGAGAACTGATGGAGGGCTTTTAACAGAGGAGTGACACCATCATACTTAGATAGATCTGTTTGGGAGGCAGATCATACTTAGATCTCTCTGTCCTAGAAAAGGACAGAGACAAGGGGCAAACCCAGAGGAAATGAGACCAGTTAGGAAGCCTCTACCACAAACTAGGTGAGAATGAACCAGGGCTAAGGCAATAAGGACAGACCAATATGAATGGATTTGAAAGATACTAAGGAAATAGAATGATCAAGTCTTAAATGGGGAAAAAGGCCAAGATGATCTGCAGTTATTGGCTTCAGCGATGGAGAGTGATGCTGTCCATGGTCAAATGCATATTTACCAAGCACATAGCCATATACGGCTGCCCAGAAACCCCAAGGATGGCAAGGTGTGATATAACAAAAACATATTTGGTCTTTGTCCCCAGTTCCTGGTACATAGCTCTTAAAACCCTTTATCTGTGGAGCCATAAGAGTGTCTTTGTTGTTAATGAGATGACTGGTGGCTGAGAAAGACCAAGGCATAACTAGAGGGGTGGAACCTTCAGCCCCATTGCCAGACCTCAAGGAGGGGAAAGGGATGAAGACTGAACTAATCACCAGTGGCTAGTGATTTAACCAGTCATGCCTAGGTCATGAAACTTCCATAAAACCCCCAAATGATAGAGTTCCAAGAGCTTCCAGACTGGTGAACATATCAAGGTCTGGGAGGGTGGCCTGGTGAGGACATGGAAGCTCTGCCCTCCTCCCATACCTTGTTCTGTGCATCCTTCCATGAGGCTACACCTGACACATCTGTTCTGGTGACTGGTGATAATAAGCAAAGCGCTCTTAGGAGTTCTGTGTCATTCAAGTGAATTACTGAATCTGAGGATTTAGAGGGATCCCCTGAATTTATAGCTGTTTGGTCAGAAGTCCTGGTGACAGCCTGGGACTTGTGACCAGCATCTGAAGTAGGAGTCATCTTGTGGGACTAAGCCCTCAATGTGTGGGATCTGACACCAACTCTAGATGAACAGTGTTAGAATTGAACTGAAATGGAGGACACCCAGCTGGTGGCAGAGAGTTGGAAAAGATACTACCTTTTTGGTGTCAGAAGTGTGAGTAAAAACAGTGCATTCGTGGCATCTGTGGAATCTTCAGCTGTAAAACATACTGAGGTCACCCAGCTCAGAACTGGGCATTTGGCCCTGCTCGGCCTTTCTTAAAGCATCTGATTCCTGGCTCTTTGTATCACGTGGCCCTGCCCTTGCTTATCAATCCTCTGCACAAGGTGGAAGCCACACCTCCCCCCACTTTGGCCAAAGTGCTGTTCTAAACCTTGGATACATGATGTTATCACCAGAGGATCCTTAAAAAAACTGATGCCTGGGGCCCATCTGCAGAGACTGGTTTAATTGGTGTGGGGTGTGGCTTGTGCACATGAAGTTTTTAAAGCTCCCCAGGTGATACAAATATACAGTCAAAGTTGCTGTGGAGTGAAGGGAAAAAGGAACACCGCCTAAGCAAACAAGGGCAGGAACAGGGGGAGACAAAACTGACAGTGGTGAGGGCAAGAAAAGGGCAGAGAAGAAGGCAGGAGGTGGTGGTGGAAGCCGTCATGGCCAGTGCCATTGTGAGCGCAGAAGGTACCTTTCCAAAGACTGTTAAGACTATGTTGGGGCCGGGCGCGGTGGCTCATGCCTGTAATCCCAGCACTTTGGGAGGCTGAGGCGGGTGGATCACGAGGTTAAGAGATCAAGACCATCCTGGTCAACATGGTGAAACCCCGTCTCTACTAAAAAATACAAAAAATTAGCTGGGCATGGTGGCACGTGCCTGTAATCCCAGCTACTGAGGAGGCTGAGGCAGGAGAATTGCCTGAACTCAGGAGGCAGAGGTTGCGGTGAGCCGAGATTGCGCCATTGCACTCCAGCCTGGGTAACGAGCGAAACTCCGTTTCCAAAAAAAAAAAAAAAAGACTATGTTGAGTCTGAGATTGACACAAAAGTAATCACATTATTAAACATGTAAAGAGGGTAACCAATGGACAAGCTTTTCAAATTTTTGTTTAAAGAGGAAGCATCATGGAATTAGCCAATTAAAGTAGTTGTTTTAAAAATAACTTTTTAGAGATGGGGTCTCACTCTGTTGTACATGCTGGAGTGCAGTGGTGTTATCATACCTCACTGTAACCTCAAACTCCTGGGCTTAAGCAATTTTCATGTCTCAGCCGCCAAAGTAGCTGGGACTACAGGTGCTTGCCACTCTGCCCAGACAATTAAAAAAATTTTTTTATAGAGATGGGGTCTTGCCCAAGCTGACCTTCAACTCTGGACTTCAAGCTATCCTTCTGCTTTGGCCTCCCAGCGTGTTGGGATCCCAGGCATGAGCCACTGTGCTCAGCCCAGTTTCTTTTTTTTTTTTTTGGGACGGAGTTTCGCTCTTGTTACCCAGGCTGGAGTGCAATGGGGCGATCTCGGCTCACCGCAACCTCCGCCTCCTGGGTTCAGGCAATTCTCCTGCCTCAGCCTCCTGAGTAGCTGGAATTACAGGCACGTGCCACCATGCCCAGCTAATTTTTTGTATTTTTAGTAGAGACGGGGTTTCACTGTGTTGACCAGGATGGTCTCAATCTCTTGACCTCGTGATCCATCCGCCTCGGCCTCCCAAAGTGCTGGGATTACAGGCTTGAGCCACCGCGCCCTGCCTTCAGCCCAGTTTCTTAGCTAAAGAAACCATCCTGCATTAGTGAGGGGTCCTGGTCCAAGTGTCCTCAAACTTTAGTGGGCACCACGCTTCCATGGGGAACTTGTTAAAAATGCAGGTTCTGGCCAGGCACAGTAGCTCATGCCTGTGATCCTACCACCTTGGGAGGCCAAGGTGGGAGAATCGCTTGAGTCCAGGAGTTTGAGACCAACCTGGGCAATATAGTGAGACCCCATCTCTACAGAAAAAAAAAAAAATTAGCTGGGCATAGTGGCACATGCCTGTGGTCCCATCTACTCGGGAGGCTGAGGTGGGAGAATTGTTTGAGCCAGGAAAGTGGAGGCTGCAGTGAGCCAGGTTGGCATCAATGCACTCCAACCTGGACAACAGAGTGACAACCTGACTCTGGAAAAAAGAGGCAGGTTCTGCAGCTCTGGCACTTTCTACAGTGTCCTTCTTCCATTCTCAAGGGTGCAGATTCTGCATCTCCCAGGCACCAAGGTACAAGTTATGCATCGCCGGTAGAGCCTATTGCTCACCCCAGCCTTGCTCTGCCTGTGACATTTGCCCAAGACTCTGCCTGGACTGCTGAAGAAGCAAAATATTTTCTTGGTTTAACCTAAAGTTTCTAGAAGTGTTGGAAATGTTGCCTACTAGGCTTTGCTTGATAAGCCTCTCCCTCACTTTTAATATTTGGCTCACTTCCCTGATAGACACTATAATATATGGGCTTTGTTACTACAAGCTGGGTTTAAATATTGGACTGCTGCTTGCTAGCTGTGTGACCTCAGATGTACTTAGCTCTACCATCCTCATCTGTAAAATGCAGATGATACTAATAGCTACTGCTGGACATGAGAGGACTGAGTTAGTATATATGTAAAGTGCTTAGTAAGTGCCATGTGTCAGCCATTATTGTCGTTATTTCCATAGCTACCTGATTAATAACTCACACTGGCCATTTTGCTGGTCCACAAAAAAGCCCACCTTCAGAGTAGCGATCCCATAAATATGCTGAGTGAAACAGAACTACATTACCGAAGAGGCTGACATGGTACCGCCAGAGGAATTTTCTTCCATCCTTCTGCTGTTAATGAATAAACTAGAGATTTCCAAGACTTCATTGTGAAGGTTTCGCAGCTGAAGATGGCGATATCCTGCAGTAATGCAGAATTGGGAAAGGCTCGTTAACCATGCACTGCTTAGAAGATGATCCACGGAGGTCAGTAAATGACAGGTAGAAAGAAAACCTTAAAATGGGCAGGGATGGCAACAGGCATGCAACCAACAGGCGCCTTTTCACCAGGAGACTGCTGCCCCCTTAGCTACCCAGTGGCACTTAACTTGTCTGAGTACTGTTTCCAACTTAGACTCAAACAGAAAATCTTACACTCAGACAAAACCTGATGTAGTAGAAAAACCTGATTACTAACAGTCCCTGTTTTACAAATGTTCCATCTCAGAGCAGCTTTAGTGATAATAGAATATAATGATGGGAGATTGGTTATAGATTATGGTATGACTTAAGCATGAAGTGGAATACACAGCTGATAAAAGTGGTAATGTACATGTATAGTTATTAACATGAAAGGTTGCTCACTCTTACCCTATGTACGTTAGTAAGTGAAAACCATAAGTTATAAAACACTAAGATTAGTAGAATGCCCATTTGTTAAAAATATATATGTATGCTTATATGTTACATACATGGGAAGAGAAAGCCTGCAAGACTTACACACCAAAAGTGACTGTGTTGGAGAGATGGAAAATGGATAATTTTTTTAAAAATTGTTTTTGTTTCTATGTACTTTCTCACGTTCTGTAATAACAGTATGGGCTGATGTGTCTCCCCCTGACCCCATACTCTCCCCACTCCTGTGTAGAAGTCCTAACCCTCAGTACCTCAGAATGTGAGCTATATTTCAAGAGAGGGCCTTTAAAGAGGTAATTAAGTTAAGATGGGATCATTAGGTTGGACCTTAATCAAGTGGGACTGGTATCCTTATGAGACGAGGGGATTAGGACGAAGACAACATAGAGGGATGACTGTGTGAGGACATGGTGAGCAGGTGACCATCTGCAAGCCAAGAAGGGGCCCCAGAAGGAACCAAATCTGCCAACCCCCTGATCTGAGACTTCTAGCCTTCAGAACTGTAAGGAAATCCATTTCCGTTGTTCAAGTCATCTCGTCTGTGGTATTCCACAATGGCAGCCTGAGCAGACTAATTAAATGACCACGGACTATTTGCACAGAGAAGAGAAAAAAGGAAAGGAACACAAACTAGGAAATTGTAATGTGTTTGTGGAGTTCCGAGTGTGGCTGGGAGAGGAAGTGTGTACTTTGAATATTGGTGCTCAAAGGAGACCATCAGAGCCAGTGCACCTGGGAGTGTTAAAAAAGGAACCTGTCAGTCTCCACCTGAGGCCACTGAATCACAATCTGCATGTTATTACCCAGAGTCCCAGGAGATTCCTATGTACATCAAAGTTTAAAAACACTGCACAGGCTGAAATTTGTCAGAGTGCCACCACAAAGCCAGTTCACAAGCCAACAGCTCTAGCCTTTGCCCAGAATCCTCCATTCCCCTCTTCCTGCACCTGAAACCCAGCCCCAGTTTCCAATACTGGACTTCTGCCAGGCACAGATGACAACCACGTGGTCACTTATGCCACCACCACACCAGGCCCCTCCCACATCTGTTTCCTCTCCTTATTTCAGTCCCTGTTTTCATACTGCCAGCAGTGCCGTGGGTAGTATTTTGGAAGAAAAACGTGGAAATGAGAGTGCAACCACCATTGCTTCTGATCTCAGCAGGCATGAGTGAGACTGTACTTTACAAGGGATATTGTCAGTCACCTCAGACTTTTTTTTTTTTTTTTTGGGACGGAGTTTCGCTCTTGTTACCCAGGCTGGAGTGCAATGGCGCGATCTCGGCTCACCGCAACCTCCGCCTCCTGGGTTCAGGCAATTCTCCTGCCTCAGCCTTCTGAGTAGCTGGGATTACAAGCATGCGCCACCATGCCCAGCTAATTTTTTGTATTTTTAGTAGAGACAGGGTTTCACCATGTTGACCAGGATGGTCTCGATCTCTTGACCTCGTGATCCACCCACCTCGGCCTCCCAAAGTGCTGGGATTACAGGCTTGAGCCACCGCGCCCGGCCCTCACCTCAGACTTTTAAAAAATGTAAAAGACTGTAATCCCAGTTCTTTGGGAGACTGAGGCAGGCGGATCACATGGTCAGGAGATTGAGACCATCCTGGCCAACGTGGTGAAACCCCAGCTCTACTAAAATACAAGAAATTAGCCAGGCATGGTGGCGTGTGCCTGTGATCCCAGCTACTTGGGAGGCTGAGGCAGGGGAATTGCTTGAACCCAAAAGGCAGAGGTTGCAGTGAGCGGAGATTGTGCCACTGCACTCCAGCCTGGCAACAGAGCGAGCCTCTGCCAAAAAACAAAATAAATAAAAAAAGAAAAACTTCTTTTGAGACATGCTTCAAAAGTGCTCAAATTTGTATTTCCTTTTGCTTATTTCAACTTCTTAATAGGAAAGTGTCAAACACAAGATAGAAGAGTATAAGGAAATTCTGGCACCCACCACCTAGCTAGGACAATTATTAACATTTGGACAATTTGATTCTACCTCGTTTTAAAGCTTTCAGTGGAATGATTCTCTGCGCCGTCACCGCTGAACTGTTGTTTTCCACAACTGCGAAACGAAGAAATACAAGATCTTCGAAATGAATGCGGAATAGAAACTGCTCGTTCCACATGGGGTTCAGGGTGTTTCGATGGATGGGCTTCGTGCGGAAATGGCAGCTGTCCAGAGGCATGCCCAGGACGTCGACTTCAATGCATGGGCTTCCTGTGCTGTTACCGGGGCACACATTCTGACCAGAGACAATCTATGGCGAGGGAGACACAAGGGACCAAAGTCACCAAGGATGAAAAGCAAAGACAACCTCTACACCTCACTGCTTCCCTCTGCAAAGGAAGTCCAAGAACACTGGAATGGGCAAAGTGAATGATTAACAAAACTGTTTAAAAAGTAAGTGATTGTGACCAGGTAATCGCATGACTAGAATCATGTAAAAAGCCTATTTGGTCAACATCATTTACTTAACTGTAACCTTTCAACTATCAAAACATTCAAGTATCTTCAAAAACCAAACAATTAAGATGTAGTTAAATTTCTCACAAAGGGCTAGGGGAAAGACAACTTTATGCAAGATAATCATAAATTTGTTACTAATATTCTGTTCAAAATGCCATAGGAATATGTTTTATAACTTCAAAGTCTTTTTCTTGAATAGTTTCATTTTGGGGCAAGTTGCAGACATGTTAGGAATTAATTCACAGCTTTCTGTAAACAGATAAAACTACCCTCACCTCTAGCTAAAATAAACAAATAGGAAAGGGGCTACTTCCCTACTGTCTTAGGGAAAGAGAAAAAGCAGTTTGAGTGGTAGGAAAGTCTGTGAATGGGTGTGGGGGGGTTCATACTTGGAGGGCTGCTTGGCATTCTTCCTATGGAGGGAGACAAGATCTAAAGGTGGAAAGAGATGACCAGGTCTCTGCTGTTTGTTGTTGTTGTTGTTGTTGTTGTTTTGTGTTGTTGAGGGTCTCGCTCTATCAGCCAGGCTGGAGTGTAGTGGTGCAATCTTGGCTCATTGCAATCTCCACTTTCTGGACTCAAGTGATTCTCTAGCCTCAGACTCCCAAATAGCCACCATGCCCAACTACCTTTTTTGTTATTTTTTGTAGAAACAGAGTTTCGCCATGTTGCTCAGGCTGGCCTTGAACTCTTGAGTTCAAAGCAATCTGCTTGCCTTGGCCTCCCAAGGTGCTGGGATTACAGGCGTGGGCCACCAGACCTGGCCAGGTCTCTATTTTTAAGAGGAGTCTGTGGACTTTTGACAATAAGTTAATTAGGTGAAAACGAATAAGGAAAGGCACAGGAATGGTAAAGGTTTAATTACAAGGAGGAAATATATTTAATTGTATTTATATATTGATGCAAATTCGTCTGATCTCAGAGCTTTTGGAGCTTAACATGAGCTGACCTAATAAACAGCTCACCAACTTTCATGGGATATACTCATAATTATGATTCTGTGGGCCCTGGAAGACAGAGTTAGCATCATCAGTACATCAGGTGAAGCAGGGACCTCATGATCCCACCCGCTGGGCTCTGGCAAACACAGTGTCTGGCGACAACTTGCCTAGCCATAGCTACTGCTTCCTGGGAGATAAAGAAGTGATTCTGGGAACTAAATCTGTATGACCAAAATTGTGACATGACAGCTTTGCAAGGCCTTGAATTCAAAACCAGTTCATTTTCAGGAAGGCTTAAACTTGACCTTATGTTCTTTCAATAGGGACGTGCTTACGGTTAAAGAATAGACTGCAGGGTCCATGTTGTCCAGATCTCTTTCCAGTGGAGAAAACTTCTGATACATGGGACAGTTCTTGTCCCACAGAACTGGAGGCTTCAAAACATAACCACAACCACCATTTGCCTCAAACATTGCAGCATTTAAATGTAAAGGGAGATCTGTAAAACAAACAACAAAGCCAACATAGCTTGTTACTTTGTCGTTTAAGTATCATCTTATAAATTTAAAATTCAAGGGCCAGGCACAGTGGCTCATGCTTGAAGTCCCAGCACTTTAGGAGGCCAATGTGGCAGATCACGAGGTCAGGAGATCGAGACCATCCTGGCCAACATGGTGAAACTCCGTCTGTACTAAAATACAACAAATTAACCAGGCGTGGTAGCGTGTGCCTGTAGTCCCAGTTACTTGGGAGGCTGAGGCAGGGGAATTGCTTGAACTTGGGAGGCAGTGGTTGTGGTGAGCCAGGATTATGCCACTGCACTCCAGCCCCATGACAAAGCGAGACGCTGTCCCTAAGCTCCAGCATGAAAGAGATAATCACCCATTCATCCCACAGATTGATAAATGCCTACTATGTGCCAGGTTGTGTTAGGGGTCAGATATAGCAGGTAATAAGAGAAAAATTCCTGTCCCTGTGGGGTTTACAGTCTATGGGCCAGTGTTACCACACCAAACCAGGTTCCACCCCTTGAAAACCCCTTTGCAAATAAAAATTTGCTACATCTGTCTGAAAAATCTTGTGAAAATACAGTTGACCATGGGGGATTGGTTCCAGGACTATGAGAAGTTACCAAAATCCACAGATGCTCAGGTCCGTGATATAAATGGTGTAGAATTTGCATTATAACCTATACCATCCTTCTGTATACTTTTTCTTTTTCCCCCGGAGCATAGATTAAAGTGGCCCTGAATATATGTTCCCTTTCTGTATACTTAAAATCATCTCTAGATTACTTAATAATGCTATGTAAACGGTTGCCATACCGTATTGTTTAGGGAAAAATAACAAGGAAACAGGCTGTGTATGTTCAGTGCACATGCCACCATCCATTTTTTTAATGAATTTTTCAACCCACAGCTGGTTGAATCCACAGATGTGGAACCCAAGGATATGGAGGGGCAACTGTACCTCATTTTATACTAAATTTTGGAAAGGAATAATGGCTTATCTCTAAACCATGCAGATAACTGTATGGACAATTCTTGCTATTTCAAATGTAAGATAAAATCTTAATTGTAAAAGAAAGGAGAATAGGCAGAAAAAAACATGCTTTTCTTTGAAATCTCAATTTCAACCCATAAATTACATCTACTTCTTTTAAAAAAAGTTGTAAACATAAAAAAAAAAAAAACCCTATCACATCTGATTCACATCATGTCCACAATCTCCTCAATCATAAACATCAGGAATCCTCACAAAGGCTTTGAGGTTTTTGTTGCCAAATTTTGTTTGGCACAGTTCTTTGATGAATGATTGGATTCCTGCACTCTTTCTGGGCTCTTACACACTGAAATGCTCATCTGATGGTGCAAGTCTGAATAGAAGTTGCCCAACTGAGTTGATGAGACACACCTGATGAATATTCCCTCGGATAGATTCCTTCCATGTGCAAGAATGAACTTTGTACATGGATCAAGGCAAAGTGCAGTAAGTGCCTTGGAGCAAGGAGAAGTTAGCCTTTACTTGTCTTGTCTGTAAAATTTTTCCACATCTGTGGGGTTGGCCAGTATTGTGTGCAGGATTTCTGATGTAAGATGTCTTAGACATATGACAGCTCCTTATCTGTAAAATGAGTATAGTACAGAGGACCTCATTTCTCAGGTCCCTGCCAGTCCTGATGTGACTGGTTCATTGTGGCCGTGCTGCCTCACCTGCACTGAGAGAAAATTCTCTTCTCAGGCCACTCTGTCACAGAGGAACACAGACATGGTGAAAGTGGCGAAGAGTGTGAAGCCAACTAGCTCATATGGCGTTGGTAAAGGTGAAATGGACATATAGTGCTAACAGCAGCAATGACAGCTCACACTCTGCACTCTAAGGACCAGATACCATTCTAAGCACACTTTATGTGCACCTCCCAATAACCTATGAAGCAGATCCTTTTAGTATCTCCATTTTTATGGATGAGGAAACTGAAGCACAAGGAAGTGAAAACACCCAAGGAACGTAACTAGTAAGTGGTGGATGCTATAATTTGAGCCCAGATTGCCTGACCCGTTGTTCCCAATCTTAACTACTGAGCCATATGATGTACATCTTACAGGGGTGTGGATACAGTAAATGAGATTTGGCACATACAAGGTACTCAATAAACAGTAACTTTTTTTGTCATCATGACATCAACCTCAAGTGACTTCAGTAGCACCACCATGTCTATCCTAATAATTTCCCAAAACATTAAAGCTGTAAAGCCAAAACTCTAAAGCTATTAAAACTTTGAAGCTTTTTAACAATTATTTTTTTGAGTTCCAGGGTACCTATGCAGGATGTGCACGTTTGTTACATAGGTAAACATGTGCCATGGTGGTTTGCTGCACCTATCAACCCATCCTCTAGGTATTAAGCCCAGCATGTATCAGCTCTTTCCCCTGATGCTCAGTATCTTAACTGAAATCTTATTTGCTGGCCTAACATGTAAAAGAGATCCATGTAGAGCTGCACAGTTTGGAATAAAGGTGGGACCCTTTTGCTGTCCCCTGGACGTGGTCCCAGAACTTCATCTGGGGCTATAAACTCTTCATTTTTAAAATCTTCATTTTAAAAATCTTCATTCTAATGAAGTGAAAGAGTGTGCACAAATCTGTGTAACCCTGCTACACCTCTGAATCAACGCACATGATAGATCGAGCATACCACTGCCCTGATCGTCTTCTACTCCTTAAAATACTCTGCATTATATAGACACCATTCTCATATTTATCCCTATATTTGAGGTTTGGGAAAGTCTGTTATTCAAAAAAGCATAATTTTTTTTTTAAAAAGACGTTTTTCTTTTGACTAAGCATTTACTGAGCATCTACTGTGTGCAAAGTATTAATATTAAACCAGGCTCTACCCCTAGTTTGCAGAAATGAAGACCATTTTTACAGATGTACACACTGATACTGCATGTAGCTTGTACTTTGTCCACATGGGAGGTGTTTAATCAGCACATTGAATGGAGAGAGGTTATATGATAGCACTTTTTCCCAGTTTGGAAGATTGTGCAGAGAAACTTGTCATTTGAGTGGGATGGCTTAAAGATGTACTCCCAATCTCAACTTTATTTGAAAGAGAGGCAAAGCCATTAGAGATGAGTGGAGGACAGGCAGCCTTAGTCTGTACTTCTGGACTGCAGGGTGGCCCACGGAGTGGCAGCTCCCTGTGTCCCCTTCATCTGTGGCTCCCTTTTGCCATCAGTGGAGTCAGTGTGTCTGTACCAGTCCTGGCACTTCTGGAGAAAGGGCACATCCAAAACCCCAAACGCACTTCCATTTCCTTGAGAAAATCCTTTGATAGTCACTTCAGTTTACTTAAAAGATGCTGGTATAATAGCCAATGGCACCAGTGGATACAGGACTATCGACAGGGCTAGAGATGTGAACTCACAAGCCACTCAGGAAAGAATGGACGGAAATAGAAAATAAATTTTTTACAACTTTGAGAGTATTTCATGATTATTTTCATTTGTGAGCCCAAATTATACTGTTTTTGTAACTTATCAAACACACTCAATGATAGTTAACCTTTGAGGAATGCTTTCTATGTGCCAGGTACTATGCTAATTATGGTACTTCACTGGCATTGTCTTTTTTAACTTCAATTGAAAGCAGCACATACAACATGGGCAGAAATGTGACTAGTATCTCCTCTAATCATATGTCCCTGGGATTATCCACCAACGGGTATTGTTGGCACCAGTGCCATGTAGCTAGCTGGTCCCAGAGCTAAAGCTGAGGTTTGACCTCAGCTGGGGACAAGGCCATACTGTGGTTTGTGGTTCAGCATGGTTAGATGAGACTGGATTCAGTTCACGTGAGATGAGTGATAATGGCTGCCTGCTGCTTGACTGTTCAAAAGAAAGACTGTGGTTTATGAATGAGATTTTAGGAAACACTTGTCTTCTCTTTCCCCACCTTCTGTAGCACCTCTCCTCCCCCATAACCAAGTGGAAACAAAATACTTTATGCTTTAAACTTCTAGACTCCTTGAATTTATTACAAGTCATCCTGTAACCTTGAACAAATTAACCCATTTGTGCCTTGGTTTGCTCATCTGAGAAATGGGGATCATAAAGGTACCCAACTTTAGGGCTGTTGTAAAGATAAGATAGTAGGGGGTCAAAAATTCAGCATACTGCCTAATGCACAGTGAGCATGCAATAAATGACAGCTTTTACTCTGGAGATGTAGGCTCATATCAGAGTCTAGTGGAGAAACATGATCACTACTTACTCTGTTCAGGTACTTCACATACTTGTGTTCCTTTTGCTAGCTACTCTGAGGGCACTGACCATTATTCTCCATCTCAATTCCAAAAGGATAAGAAGCAGCTAAAATGGTTGTAATTTGCAAAGTGGTTGGAGCAACACTCCTTTTTGACTGCAAGAATAACTGCAGAGTGAGACAGGCTAACTACGCGGTGTTAGGAAATCCCTGCTCCAAAAGAGCTTTAACATAAATTGGGCACGGCTCTGTCAAGAGCAGCCTGGTATTTGAAAATTGCATTAAAAAGGGGCAGGATCAGAAGACCTTACAGGCCCGTTCGAGGTTCTTTTCTATTACCTTAATCTGAAACATCAGAGGCACAATTCAGTATCAAATTCACTTCTGTTCTGTCATCATATTTTCAGTCTCACACACAGTGTGCCCCAGTCTGGAATCTTGCCCCTTTGAAAAAATGTTGTCAAACTGCACTTACTGAAATGTAAGATGCAAAGGAGAGAGGTGAGCATGCAGGCCCCTTACCATCGGTCTGGTAGTTGAGTGCCACAAGCTGTATCCCATGGAGCCAGAACATGAGGGGGTTCGGGTTGGAGGAGTCGATGCGGGTGGCAGCAGGGTAAGTTCTTAGCAGCTGACAGGCGGTGTGCTGGATCAGCTTCTGAGAATACCTGCGACATAGACGTTTGGCAGCATTTTCATTCAGCGACGAGATATGATAACATTTGGGAGTTCTAATGATCGCGCTGAGGGAGGTGGTTGGGTTGAGAGGGGAAGAAGATTCCTCCCAGGTCTGTCGAATTCCTTCACAGGAACCTAAACCACCCAAGAGATTAGCCGCAGATTAGTGTAGAAAACTTTAAATATTTTTGAAAGATAAACCTGAACAACATCCCAGTAAACAGTCACAGCATGTAAACCACATCAGAATACCTGTTGGATTTTACTTGTGAGTTAGTTTGCAACCTTAAAACAACATGGTGGCTACTTAGTTTTAAAATGAGTGTGGTGGCTGGGTGTGCTGGTTCACACCTGTAATTCCAGCATTTTGGGAGGTCAGGGTGGGAGGACTGCTTGAGCCCAGAAGTTCAAGACCAGCCTGGGCAACATTGTGAGAACCCATCTCTATAAAATATAAAAAATAAAATCAAACAAAACCCCACAAGAAACAAAACAAAGTGAGTGTAGCAACATCAATTTAAATTAAAAGCCTGGAAGTTCTTTGCCTCTGTACTTCATCTGTGTTGTGGTATATTTGCACAAATAAACAATAGATGTACAAGGGTATTCACTCTAGCATTGTTTTTCATAGGAAATAACAAATGAAAACAAAACCAAGAAGCAACCCAAATGGATCAGTGAAGAATCGATTAAATAAATGACAGTATGTCCATGCAGTGGACCACCACACAGGCATTAGAGAGAATAAGAAAGCTATATGTACAGAAAATTATGTGAAAAGCTATGGCAAGTATAAAGGTTATACAAGTGTGTTTGGTTATACAGGCATACCTTGTTTCATTGTGCTTTGTTTCATTGCACTTTGCAGATGCTGCATTTTTCACAAATTTAAAGTTTGGGGCAACCCTGCCTCCAGCAAGTTTGTTGGTGCAATTTTTCCAATAGCATGCACTCACTGTGTGTCTCTGTATCACATTTTAGTAATTCTTGCAAAATTTCAAACTTTTAACCATTATATCTGTTGTGATCTGTGATGAGTGATCTTTGATGTTTTATTGTAATTGTCTTAAGTTTACATAAGATGGTAAACTTAATTGATAAATATGTGTGCCCTGACTGCTCTACCCCACCAGCTGTTCACCCATCTCTGTCCCTCTCCTCAGGCCTCATTATTCCATGAGACAGAATGATATTGACATAAGGCCAATTAATAACCCTACAGTGGCCTCTAAGTGTTCGAGTGAAAGGGAGAGTCACACGTTTCTCACTTGAAATCAAAAGTTATAAATAAGCTTAGTGACGAAGCCATGTCAAAAGCCAAGATAGGTCAAAACCTAGGTGTCTTGTGATAAACAGTTAGCTAAGTTATGAATGCAGAGGAAAAGTTCCTGAATGAAATTAAAAGTGCTACTCCAGTGAACACACGAATGATAGGAAAGCAAAACAGCCTTATTGCTGATATGGAGAAGGCTTTAGTGGTTTGGATAGAAGATTAAACCAGCCACAATATACTTTAAGCCAAAGCCTAATTGAGAGCAAAGCCCTGAATTCTCTTCAGTTTTATGAAGGTTGAGAGAAGTGAGGAAGCTGCAGAAGAAAAGCTGGAAACTAGCAGAGGTTGGTTCATGAGGTTTAAGGAAAGAAGCCGTCTCCATAACATACAATCAGCAGTACTGATGGAGAAGCTACAGCAAGTTATTTGCAAGATGTAGCTAAGATCATTGATGAAGGTGGCTACATTAAACAACAGATTTTTAATGTAAATGAAACAGCCTTCTATTGGAAGAAGATGTCATCTAGGACTTTCATCGCTAAAGAGAAGTCAATGCCTGGCTTCAAAGAAAAGGCTGTCTCTTGTTAGAGGCTAATGCAACAGGTGACTTTAAATTGAAGCCAGTGCTCATGGACCATTCTGAAAATCCTAGGGCCCTTCAGAATCATGCTAAATCTACTCTGCCAGTGTTCTATAAATGGAACAACAAAGCCTACATGACAGCATGCCTGTTTACAGCATGATTTTTTATGTCTGCTAACACAGTATCCAGTTTGCAGCCTATGGACAAAGAGTAATTTGGACTTTTAAGTCTTATTTAAGAAATAAATGTTAGAAGGCTAAAGCTGCCATAGATTGTGATTCCTCTGATGGATCTGGTGAAAATAAAAACCTCCTAGGAAGATTCACCATTCTAGATGCTCTTAAGAGCATTTATGATTCACGGGAGGAGGTCAAAAGAGCAACATTAAGAGAAGTTTGGGAGACGTTAATTCCAAACTTCATGGATGACTTGGAGGGGTTTAAAACCTCAGTGGAGAGAGTAACTGTAGATATGAGTAACAGCAAAGAAGTGTAGCCTGCAAATGTGACTGCATTGCCGAAATCTCATGATAAAACTTGAATGAATGAGGAGTTGCTTCTTAACGGATGAACAAATAAAGTGGTTTCTTGAGATGGAATCTACTCTTGGTGAAGAACCCATGAACATTGTTGAAATGACAACAAAGGATTTAGAATATTTCATACATTTAGTTGATAACGCAGCAATGGGGTTTGAGAGGACTGACTCCAGCTTTGAAAGTTCTACGGTGAGTAAAGTGCTATCAAACAGCATCGCATGATACAGAGAAATCTTTTGTAAAAGGAAGAGTTGGTTGATGTGGCAAACTTCACTATTGTCTTGTAAGAAACTGCCAGACACCCCAGCCTTCAGCAACCACCCACCTGCTGAATCAGCAGCCATCAACATCGAAGCAACACCCTCCACCAGCAAAAAGATTACAACTTGCTAAAGGCTCAGATGATTGTTAGCATTTTGTATCAATAAAGTATTTTCTATTGAAGGTATGTGCATTGTTTTTAGACATAATGCTATTGCCCACTTAATAAACTATGATATAGTGTAGACATAGCTTTTATAGGTACTGGGAAACAAAAAACTTAATGTGACTCACTTTATTGTAGTGGTCTGGAACCAAACCTGAAATATCTCCAAAGTATGCCTGTATCCCATTTGGATTATCTTTAAAGGGATCTTATTTTTTCTTGAACAAAACACAAACTTAACAGTGGTTACCTCTGGGGAATAGCACCAGGACATTGAGTGGAAAGGAATTTTAATAATACTCTGTATTGTTTTGAGTTTTTAACTATGACAATTTATTACTTTCATAATAAAAAGTAACTAGAAATAGATATGTCTTCTGGAGTTATAATGGTGAAGAGAACAGTTCCAAGAAACCACTTGAGTATTCCAAGGTGCCTCTAATTTTTACTTTGAGGCAAACACTGAACATCTTCAGTGAAATGTTATTTTTATTTATTTGTTTATTTATTTTTGAGATGGAATCCTGCTGTGTTGCCCAGGCTGGGGTGCAGTGGCATGCTCTTAGCTCACTGCAACCTCTGCCTCCTGGGCAAGCGATTCTCTTGCTCAGCCTCTCCTATAGCTGTGATTACAGGCGTGAGCCACCACACCTGACTAATTTTTGTATTTTTAGTGGAGACGGGGTTTCACCATGTTGTCCAGGCGAGTCTAGAACTCCTGACTTCAAGTGATCCACCTGCCTCGGCCTCCAAAAGTGCTGGGATTACAGGTGTGAGCCACTGCACCGGGCCTGAAATGCTATTTTTAGTAAGTATAAATTAGCAATTACAAAAATTTATACTAAGACAATATTAACGTTCATAGAAATAAAAAAGAATAAAAAATTCAGAGGAAGTGCTTAGACAGTAAAATATCTAAATCATCCGGCATGCAAAATCAAGCAAAGATATTGTAATAAAGTAACTTTACTTTTTCCAGATGTTTTGTTAAATGATGCTGTCTCCCCTGGGCTCATTCTGCCCGGATTGTTGCCAAAAATGGACTTCCTGCTTTTCCTTTCCTTTCCTCTGCTAGAGCCAGATGCATTTAGAGTTGACAGGCCTGTTCCCATAAAATGAAAATAAATAAGCCAAAAGCTACAAGCAAGGCAACTCAACATTTTCCATCCCTGTCAATGTTTATTTTGAAGTCCTACTACTCCCTTGGAACCCAGTACGGAAGCCCTGCTAGCAGTTTTTGTTCTGTTCATAATAGCATTGCAGGCAATTAAAGCAAAGTTTAAAAAATCTCTAGGCAAATGCAACAAGAACTGCGCGTTTATCGTAGAATGGCCACAAAATCACACACACACTTAGCTTATTGTGCATCAAAAATTTTGAAAAACTGGATGAAAAGAAGGTGCTGTAGCCGGAAATGATCAGGGGCTAATTGTTCAATTTGGAGAGATGAAGAAATGGCTACGGGCTTGAGTTTTAGTGTCATATTGTCTAGGTTCAATTCCTGTTGGTATTAGCCTTGACTTAACACCGCCTTCTCAGTTTCCTTATATACACAATGTGTGTAATGATAGGAACTCGCTCATAGGGTTAGTCTGAAGATTAAATGGGAAATATGGTGAAAATTATGTTTCATGGCTTCTCTTTCTCACTCCTGGTCTAACCACTCCCTGATCCTTCATGCCTGGCACAGTGCCTGGTGCAGAGCAGGAACGGAATAGTTATTCGCTGAATGAGGAAATGAATACGTACCACACAGACCTGGCTCCAATGTAAAAAGAGTGAGCTGAAGGCACCAGTGAAGCCAGAATTGCCTCCAAATTGTTCCCACTGTCATAATTGTACCTTTAGAGAGTAATTCCCTAAGCTGAAGCAGCATTCAGGAGGTCCTCTTTCAGATGAAAATACATCTTCCAAGAACATCATCAGAGGAGACAGGCTAGAGTAGTGTTTAAGAGCATATACTCTGGAGTGAGACACAGCTGAGTTTAAAATCTGTTCCTAGAAGGGCAACCTAACACAAGTTACTTAATCTCTCTAGATCACACTCTCCTCATCTATAAATGAGTTGTGGTTAGGAATAAACAAGAAAATATACATATACAGGTTGAATATCCCTTATCTGAAATGCTTGGGATGCAAAGTGTTTCAGATTTCAGATTTTTTTTTTCCGGATTTTGGAATATTTGTGTCATACTTACCTCGTTGAGCATTCTTAGTCTGAAAATCCAAAATCCGAAATGCTCCCATGAGTATTTCCTTTGAGTGTCTTGTCAGCATTCAAACAGTTTTGGATTTTAGAGCATTTCGGATTAGGGATGCCCCACTTGTCCATACTTAGTTGCATGTCTTGCTCAGGAAAGTGCTCAGTCCACAGGAGCTGTTATTATTATAGCTTAATGTGGGGCTTTTAAGGTGTTTTTTTTTTTTTTCCCCTCCAAACTATTCATAACAGCAAATGTGCACAAACTTAGACTATTGAGTTCTTATGCCTTGATCTTAATATTTGTGTACATTTTGCTCTTGACACAATTATTTAATAATGGATTTTCTCCCAAGTAAAACTGATGAGGGGCCAAGGGGAAGGGCTCTGTTCATTCTGGGGTTTTGCATGTATCCTGCCACATGTCAATATCTTCCACCAGTATGTGGATACCCCGGTGAAGAGCCTGATTACTTTTTTGGGATGGGGAGGGGAAGAATGTAAACAAGGGCTAAGTGATCAAAAAAAGGAAGGATTTTGGACTGTGAGAAGGGGTTCAGAAAAAAATAATGAAGAAGCAACAAAGAACCTTCATCTACCGTGTTGGCTCACTTACCAATAACGACATTTCCAGAAAGCTATGTTCCAGACAATGTGCTAATCACACTAGATACTTTCTTGCTATTTTTTACAGCAACTCTTTAAGTTAGGACTGTTACAGCCCTTTCACAGATAGGGAATCTCAGGTGTAGAGCACCTTTAATAGGTAACTGTTCAAGTCAAGGTCACAGAGAGACAGAGCTGGGATTTTTTTTTTTTTTCCTGAAAATGCTCCACTGGGCACATGGAACAGAGCTGGGATTTAAACCCACATGGTTAGCTTGATGGCTGCCTCTCTTCCTCAGTTGAGTCTCTAGTTAATTTTAGGGTCTTCCTCTCATCTGTGTTTTTCCTTGTGGTTGCGAATGAGAATGCTTATTTTAAATATAGGTGTTGGAACATCTGATGGTGACTAAAGCTTCAAGATAGAAGTTTGAGCAGAAGCTGTCTAGGTATTTAGGAATAAACCAACTCCAGAGCCAGATGCAGTGGTACACAGCAATAGTCCCAGTGACTTGGGAGGCTGATGCGGGAGAATCACTTGAGCCCAGGTGTCTGAGTCCAGCCTGGGCAACTTAGCAAGACTCTGTCTCTAAAAAGAAAAAAAAAAAAAACTTAAAAAAAAAATAAATTGACTCCAGTGCATATGATGGTATCTTCCTTCAGAAATCCTAATTTGTACCATGCAGCAATCTTGCATGTTCTTCACATGTACCCCAAAACCTAAAATCCAATTAAAAAAAAAAGAGAAATCCTAATTTGGCTGGAAGCTTTGAAATCAACTCCATAGTGATGTACAGTCATTAGCTGCATAACGTTTAGGTCAACAGACCACGTATATGACAGTGGTCCCATGTAAGACTATGCTGGAGCTGAAAAATTCCTGTCACCTTCTGCTGTCCTAACATGATAGCATAACACATTACTCATGTGTTTGTGATTAGACTGGTGCAAACAAATCTACTGTGCTGCCAGTCATATAAAAGTCTAGTACTACAATTATGTATAGAACGTACTTGATGATGATAAACGACTATGTTACTGGTTTATGTATTTACTATACTTTTTATCATCATTTTAGAGTATACTCCTTCTATGTTACATATATATTTATGTATGTATGTACGTATGTATGTATGTATGTATATAAACTATAAAACAGCCTCCAGCAGCCTCAGGCAAGTCCTTCAGGAACTATTCCAGAAGAAAGCATTGGTATCACAGGAGATGACAGCTCCATGCTTGTTATTGTCTCTGAAGACTTTCAGGAGGACAAGATGCGGAAATGGAAGACAGTGATACTGGTGATCTTGACTCTGTGTAGACCTAGGCTAATGTGGGTGCTTATATCCTAGTTTTAAATTTAAAAAGTTTAAAAAGTAAAAAAAATTGAAGTAAGCCGGGCCCAGTGGCTCACACCTGTAATCCCAGCACTTTGGGAGGCTGAGGCAGGTGGATCACAAGGTCAAGAGGTCGAGACCATCCTGGTCAACATGGTGAAACCCCGTCTCTACTAAAAATACAAAAATTAGCCGGGCATGGTGGCACACACCTGTAGTCCCAGCTATTTGGGAGGCTGAGGCAGGAGAATCACTTGAACCCAGGAGGCAGAGGTTGTGGTGAGCTGAGTTGCGCCACTGCACTCCAGCCTGGGTAACGAGTGAAACTCCGTCTCAAAAACCCAAAAAAAAAAAGAAGTAAAAACGTTAAAAATAGAGAAAAGCTTATAGAATAAAGAAAGAAAATGTCTTTGGCTAGAGTCACAGAATGGAAAAAAGAAAAGGAAAAAAATAAGAAAGAAAATAGCTGGGTGTGATGGCTCATGCCTGCATTTCCAGCACTTTGGGAAGCCAAGGCAGGAGGATCACTTGAGTCCAGCAGATCAGCCTGGGCAACATAGTGAGACCCTTGTCTCTAAAAAAAAAATAAAAATATTAGTCAGGTGTTGGTGGTACATGCCTGTAGTCCTAAGTACTCAGAAGGCTAGTGTGAAAGGATCACTTGAGTCCAGGAGTTCAAGGTTACAGTGAGCAATGATTGCACCAGTGCACTCCAGCCTGGGTGACAGAGCAATGTCAGGTCTCTAATTAAAAAATAAAAATAAAAAAGAAAATATTTTTATATAGCTGTACAATGTGTTTGTGTTTTAAGCTAAGTGTTATTACAAGAGTCAAAAAGTTAAAAAATAAAAGTTACAGTAAGCTAAGGTTATTTTTGAAGAAAGAAAAATTTTTATTTATAAATTTAGTGTAGCCTTAGTGTCCAGTGTTTATAAAGTCTATAGTTGTGTACAGTACTGTCCCAGGTCCTCACATTCACTTGCCACTCACTCACTGACCCACTTAGAGCAACTTCTAGTCCTGCAAGCCCCACTCATAAGTGTCCTATACAGATGTACCATTTTTAACCTTTTATATTTCTACTGTACCTTTTCTGTTTATATATGTTTAAATGCACAAATACTTATCATTGTGTTATGCTTACCTACAGTACTCAGTACAGTAACATGCCGTACAGGCTTGTAGCCTAGGAGCGATAGGCTACACCATCTAGTGTAGCCTACTACACACCTACAGCCTAGGTGTGTAGTAGGCTACACTGTAGCTTTGTCTAAGTACACTCTGATGTTTCGTGCAATGATAAAATAGTCTAATGAAGCATTTCTCAGCATATCTCCCCGCCGTTAAGTGAGGCATTACTGTAAATATAATCAGTGCTAGGCTTTCTCCTGGATGCTCTCCCAGAGACATCAGAGGATTCAACATATTGTCACTCCTAAAATCAGGAGAGAAGCTAAGTCTGGGGATGGTCTGAGAGCCACTCAGGGTCACACACTTCTCCTTCCTGAGTGCCTTGCCTGCCATGCTCTGCAGGGCACAGCTGGGTCTCATCTTACCCGGTCCCTGTAGGCCTGAAAAGCTGTCTTCACTGGTTTGGCAAGATAGTGGGAGGCACTGAGAGTAACTGAGTTTTGGTGAACAGGGCTACCTCTCAATGGTGTGTTGGTTGACATTCTGCTGAGAGTTCTGTTCCTAACCCTCTCATGTCCTGAAATGCATCCCTTTGCCCTCCAAGGTGTTCCAAACTGCAGGACCACTGTGGGTCTGAGTAACCCAGAATGGCTATGGGAAATGCCAAGGCTCTCTGTGGGGGACGGCAACACTCAGTGCCAGGAATCCACATCCAGCTAGCCCAAAGCTGTCCTAGGCAGCAGGGTTCTACTTTTGTCATTCAAATGGCTTGTTAGTAAACCACTGTTTGATGAACAAAGCTTGTCTCTCAGTGCTGAGAAAATCAGTGTGTGTGTCCAGGGAATGGACCGACATTTGCAAGGCTCTCCCCATGTGGATCCTTCAGTGTAGGAATAAAAATGAACACTGGAAGTCACAGAATCTTGGACGAGCCTCACCATGGAATCCCTGTGCGCCTGCTCTGTGGGCTGTGTGGTGGATCCAAAGGAGAATGAGGCAAAATTCCCCTCAGAATCAGATTTCCAGATCATTTGGCGCTGGCTGCTCCTGAATCGCCTGCCTTAGAAACCAGGGACCAGGGCCTTGCAGTGCCTTCCAAAGGTAAATCCCTGGAAGAGAGGCCGGAGACTGGGTATGTTAATCAAGCGGCCTGGGTGATTCTGAAGATTTCAGCAAGTGTGGTAAACAAACAAGGATTCTAGTCAAATCCACTTTTGAGTGAGAAAGGCTCAGAGAGATTTGCCTTGGCCAAATCACAGAGCATGGTAGCCAAGAGCCCAGGTCTCTGACCCATGCTCTTATCTGATGATCTTGTCACCACTGAATAGAATTTTTCTTAGAAGATTATACTCTTTTAAGCTATGGGTATGCCAAAGCATACAGAGCAGTAAAATGGACATTGGAGACTCAGAATAGGGAGTGGGAGAGAGGTGAGGGATGAAAAACTACCTATAAGGTACAATGTACATGATGTGGGTGACAGGTACACTAAATCCCAGACTTCATCACTATACAATTCATCCATGTAACCAAAAACTACTTGCACCACGAAAGCTGTCAAAATTTAAAACTCAAAACAACAAGGTTGTACTCTTAACCATGGAAAAGTTGGGTTATCTAGGAGGTACCCAAAAGCAGATGTCACAGTGAGTTGAAGAGTCTCAGATACTTTACAAGGACCCTGTCAAGGGGTCAAGGGGAGCAGGAAGGCCAGGCAAGGCTGAGAACACTCTGAGCAAAGGCCTAGCACTGGAAAGACAGCAGTGTGTGTAGGTGCCTAAGGAGAGTGCAGGATGCAGGGGAGCTTGTGGGAAGATACTGGAAACTACGTTAGTAGGGTCATAAAATAAAAATACTATACCCTTTTTTTTTTTTTCCTATTAGAAGGGGAAAAAAACCCAGGTCAATAGAAGTAATAAATGCAACCGAGAGACAAACCCTAAGAGAAGGCAGGTTGAAAAAACTCGACTACTTCCATAGTGTGCTGCAAAGAGCCCAGCCCTGGAGCTGACAGTTCTGGCTCTTGCCCTGCCACTGAACTAGCTTCTGATGGTGGGGAAGTTCCTTCCCTTCTGTGGGCTTCATACCACATGATTGTTGGGTGCCTTACTGCACTGAAGGGTATTTTTTTTTCATATGGCTTGTAAGAAGGGACTTGGGATGATGAAAGGTGACACACACTGAAATTGATAAGGTAGCAAAATTAAAACACAGCATAGCAAAATGAACAGTTTATGGCATTTTCCTCATGTGCATCAAACACATAACAATAAATATTTAAAAGGTATTGTAACAATAATTTTTGGCAATCCAATTTAGCTATTTTGATAAAGGAAATAAAATTGGGGGAAAATGTCAGAAACTTCATTTTTCTAAAAAAATTAAAATACACTATACCTATAAAAAATGTGTGCTACGTGAACACTTTTAAAAAACAACATACTTGGAATTTTAAAAATAAGCCAAACAACCACATGCTTAGAAGCTCTACCAAATGACCTCTTGATCCTTCCATGATTTTCTATTGGTACAGAGACTTTATCCTTCACACTGACTTCAAATCTCTTTGGGAATTTGTGCTCCTTAGAGAAGAAAAGACAGTGAGTGGGATGGTCCAAGTGTAGCATCAGCAGCATTTATAAAGAATAAGAAATGCAGTGGGTGTGATTCTTAAACAGAGACTCCTGTTCTCATCCTTGTTCCTGCACTGAAGGACATGCCAGCCTCCATGCTCTTTGACAGGTGAAGAATTTTATGCCATCATAAAAAGAGTTTTGCCAGTTGCAAATAATGCTCATATTGTACTTCTATGCTGTGAGGTCATGGTCTGTGAAATTAAACTTAAATGGCTAGGTTCCTGCATTTCTTTGAAATCTCTGCTGGTTACTTATTGATTCATATCCTCCTCCACAGGATTTGCTAGCAGACCAGCAGTAGCAGCTGCCAAAAGTTTAAAAACAGTTTATAGGAGAAAACTTACAATTAAAAATGATTTAAATCTCATTAAATATATGATTTTTATCATATCATTAAATAATATTTTTTTTACTCTGGTGCATGAAAGGGTCACTATTATCTAATTGTGATTTGAAGAATTTAATTATTACTATTTTTTAGAGGCGAGGTCTTGCTATATATGTTGCCTAGGCTGGACTTGAACTCCTAGACTCAAGCATTTCTCCTGCTCAGCCTCCCTGGTAGCTGGGACCACAGGCATGCACCACCACACCCAGTTTGCCTAACTTTTAAATAGCCCAATGCCTCTGACCCATTTGCCAGGCACGGTGAGAGACTGGGTGCTTAAGATACGCTCTGAAAGCCAGGACCTGAGTTCAGCCCATCTTGAAAAGATGAAGACATTTTAATGCCTCTCTCCAGGCCAAGTCAGTATACCCTGTTTACTAACTAATGCGTAGACTGATGCTCCTATCTCAGCCACTTTCCCGTTCTCAGAAATTTTATTCAAGAGAATCCTTTTTCTTAGTATGAAAAGATGAATTTTTCTGAGTTCCGTGTACTTATGGAGTTTCTTGTTTGTCCTCCACCCCAGGTACCCCATTTGTGGGACACATAATTGAGTAAGCTCATTGAAAACAGCTTGAAATGAGAGAGGCCAGGCAGTATAAGGGGTAAGGGCAGGACTCTGGAAACAGGCCATAGGTCTACCATTCATTAATTGAAAAGAACACTGTTTTGGGGAAGTGGTTCGTCAGCCTAAGTCCACTGTACTTCTAGAAACAATCAGCTGGGGAAATCTCCCCTCCCACTTCAACTCCATCCTTGGTCCTTGTGATTTGGGTGGGGCCTTGCTACCCAGCTCAGGGGTGGAACATGTGACATGGGCTCCAGACCATCAGAGCACTGCATTCCTCTGGCCACAGTGACTGGTTAAGGTTTGGGTAAAGAGAAACAATGAGAAACAATGACACTTCTGTGGGAAGTTCTGCAAGAACTTCCTCCCCTAAAGCTGAAACTGGAAGCATGTAGTGCCAGCCTGCTGAAGCCATCTTATAACCACAAAGAAAAGAAAGGAAAGAAAGCCAGTGTGATGGAGGCAGAATGAGAAATGAGGAGAGAGAAAGCATGTGCCTTGGTTAAGCTATCCCTGAAACTTGTGTGTCTTCATTTTTAAGTATATGAGTCAATAGATTTCCCTTTGCTTAGGTCAATTTCTGCCACTTTCATACAAAAGAATCTTAACTGATATACTCTGAAACTTGCAGCAAATTACTTCATCTCTCTCAGACTTTGTTTTATTTTAAGATAGAGGAAATATCACTTACCTTGTATAATCATTATGAACAGTAAAGGAGGTGTATGTAAAATAGCACAAATCCTAGTAATTAAGTACTTAATACATTTTAACAATTAAAAATTATGATTATTTTCATAATAATTATTAATTATAAAAAGACATTGTGTGATGTGGAAAATGAATTATGGTATTTTTCCTCATGAGCATCAAAGCAAATTATAACAATAATGATATTTAGGAGGTATTATAACAATGATTTCAGCAACACAATTTAGTTATTTTGAAAGTGTTCACAATGCCCAATTAAAGAAATGGCATATTTTTAACCTTTAGTATTTTTAAATGTTATTGATGATATTGCCTAATCTTACCTGGAAATTTTACTGCTTGACAGTAGATTACAAGGTCAGAAAGCTCTGGTGCAATCTGTCTGCTTTCCTTTTTATTTTGAGCAAGATAAAATTCTTCTCCCAGTTCCATATCATAAACCTAGTAAGGGAAAATGATACCATTTTACATGGAAGGTATATGCCACTATTCTCTGAATTCCTAAAGCTCTTTATCTGTTCTCTTCTGGTGTTATGACTGTATTTCCCCTTGCACAATAATTATCCATATACATATCCCAACGGCTTTCCTAGAGTAAAAGCTTTCTGAGGGCAGGAGATGAGTCTAATTCATTCTTCATCTTCCCTCAGTGCATGGTCCACTGTCTTACATGTGGAATGGTCAATTAATCTTTGTTAAATAAATAGAAGATTGACTACATCTCTTCTGTGCCTCAAATTTTTGACGTATTTTATAATTCCATTATCCAACAATGTCACTGCAACTACATGTAAAGATTTGCTCGGAGTCTATAAACCATGCGGCACTTGGGGGTAGGGTCTGGGTATCTCATTTGTCTTTCTATTCTCAGTGTCATTCCTCTGCTATCTGACCCCTGTTTATCTTCTTGGTCATCCCAAATGCCTTTCAAACTTCTTGCAATTCCCTGGACATACCAGGGAATGTCTTGACCTGAATGTCCTGTTTTTGTCTGCTTGGCCAAATCTTCCTTCTCAAACATCTTTCCTTAGAGCCTGTCCTTAATTCTCTGGCAACACAGTGTAATCATTGTTCTATGCACTTATATTCAGCAGAGTTGACATGTCTATCTCCATCACTAAACCACCTCCTATGCCACTTCAGTACCTGCCACACTTGGACCATCAGTAGGTATTGATTGGATGAATCAATGACTAACTTTCCACAAACGGAAGGTGGGTATCTCATAATATCACCAAGTGAACTTTGACATCTGAAGGAAAGTGAGGGGAAAGGTGAAAGGGAGGGATAGGGAGGAAGTGGAATCCCAGCTGAAACTGACAAGAGTACCACATGGTCCAAGTGTCATTTAACAGAAATCATTCACCCACCTTTCCTTTGTTGCAAGCTGAGTTATCTGCTTTCTTTATCCTCTTCGGGATTTCTTCATTATACTCAAATTGAAGCTTGTCATTACATGATTTATTTTCAGGTCTGTCTTCTAGAATGTTGTCTGAAAATAAGTTAGCAGGCTTCCGTGAAAATGAACCCAATGCTTCACTTAAGAGCTACCGATACATCACTATGAGGACATCCAGATACTTGAATGAGGCTCTACCTATAGTATGTTGACAAAATGATAGCTTGAAGCATACTTGTAAAAATTGGGTTGATGCAGTTATTTTCAACTTAATTGATTTATTGACCAGTAGTTTTTGTCACTTATAGACATAATTTAAATGATTCCAAATAATCTGGCATACAAACATAATTTAAATGAGGATGCCCATTTTCATACAGATGATTGGAACTGTGAAAATATTATGGAAGAATCCTGTGTCAAGAAGCTGACAGCACGTTTGGGAAGGATTTAGTGACTCAAGCACTTCTAGATGGTACATATACGATTTAAACACTCTCACTTTGAAATGAAGCTATTTACTTCTTTTGCCTTGAGAAATGCCAAAACCTAGGGGGAAAGACTTATTATTGGGTACAATGCAAAGTTTTCACAATTATAAGTTTTCATGACTGTTATTAATTTTTACTAAGTGATAATCATAAGAACAGAAAATAAAATATATCTAATAAGTATGAGATATAATCATATTTTGTTCTTTTTTTGCCTTTCTATTCTGAATGACTCTAAAGGTATTAGAGGTATATCGTGATGATGGCCTTTTACAACGAAAAACAAGAAAGCTAATTTCTCACTCAAGATTTAGTATCTCATCAGAGCACAAATGCTTAGATCAAAATGACCTTATACCAAATCAGGGCCATGCAGGCTAAGAAGTAAATGAGATAAATCATTTCATTACATGTGTATTCACAGAAGTATCACAACGTCATGCTAACCAGGCCCAAGAAATTGGAAACAGAATGTTGATGTCCATGCAGTTAGAATGCCCAGTTCAAATGGCATTTACCTTCCTGACCGTTAGGAGCAGGGGAGGCAGTAAGGACATCTGCTATAGAAAAACAGAATCAGAAAGGGGTAAAGGAAGGAGAAAATTAAGACAAACACCAGATAAATTAAACAAAGGCATGAAGCAAAGCATAAATAACAGCAGCTTAGATTATCAGATAAATGAAACAAGAAATGCTATATAGATTTAATATTCTGACTGTTGAGTGACACAAGGACTAGCAGTAAAAGTGAACATTATTAATGTGTATCATGCCAAGGGTTGACACATTGATGTTACATATTTTGAGTTACTGTTGTAATACTCCCAATATGACTTCATTTCAAATAGACGGAAACAGAGTAATTTGTTGGAATCATGCTGTCATTGTCAGGGAATATGTCCATGTTAATTATAAATTCAAATTTGTCTGCAGTGTATGTTCAAAACTAGTCACAAGGTACACAACAAGGTTGGGAGAAAAATATTCATTAAGCATTTATTACCCAAAAGGCAGAGTTGCAATTTCTAAAATACATAACTGTCATTTGCAACTTCCTTAGGGTTTTCTTGCAATAATTGTGTGGCCAGGCATTATCTCATTTTTTTTTGCAACAATTTAATTATTTTTTTATTGTACTTTAGGTTCTGGGGTACATGTGCAGATCATGCAGGATTGTTGCATAAGTACATACTTGGCAAGGTGGTTTGCTGTCTCCATCCCCCCATCAACTATATCTGGCATTTCTCCCCATGTGATCCCTCCCCACCCCTGCTGTCCCTCTCCTGGCCCCCCACCAACAGACCCTCGTGTGTGTTGCTCCCCTCCCTGTGTCCTTGTGTTCTCATTGTTCAACACCCGCCTATGAGTGAGAACATGCAGTGTTTGCTTTTTGTTCTTCTGTCTGTTTACTGAGAATGATGGTTTCCAGATTCATCCATGTCCCTACAAAGGACACAAACTCATTGTTTTTTATGGCTGCGTAGTATTCCATGGTGTATATGTGCCACATTTTCTTTGTCCAGTCTATCATTGATGGGCATTTGGGTTGGTTCCAGGTCTTTGCTATTGTAAACAGTGTCGCAATGAACACACATGTGCATGTGTCTTTGTAATAGAATGATTTATAATCCTTTGGGTATATAGCCAGTAATAGGATTGCTGGGTCAAATTTTTATAGCCCAAAGGAATTTAATTAAATAATTATTTAAATAAAGGAATTAATCTAACACGTTGGCATGAATCCAACATCCCTGGGTATGAAAACAAAGGACGAGAGATGCCACAGAGATAAACTGGGCACCCTGACTTCAGAGATAGGTTCTTAATCTAGGATGCCCATGTGGGTCTTGGGAAACTTATGAAACTCTTGTAGTTGTGCAGAATTTTGAGAGCACGTTTTATTTTTCAGAGGTGACAGCTTTCATCTTATTCTCAAAAGGACCCATTATTACAAGAAACTAGGAAACCTTTTAGGCCCCCTAAGAGGCTGGTCATGGTGCTTCCCACAGCAGGCAGATTTCTGTTTTCTATCCCTGCTGGAGAAAGTGGAGACGGTCACAATCAAAGGCGTATGGTTAGCAAGGCATTTAATAGTCACATACAGAAGCCTTAACTGGACAAGCTTCAACAAGTCACAGCATAACTACAGGGCCTGTTTGAGAATCATCCAGTCAGAGGGATCTTTTAATGAAAGGGGAAATACTCATGTAGTGGTAGTGGGCTTAAGTGGTCATACATCATAGATGTTAGTCCTGAAAGTAAAGGAAGAACATCACCAGACACTTCACAAAACCTTTTCATTACATATCTGAGGCATGTAAGGCCTCAAGTGATGAAAAGGACATTGTCCCAGGTCTCATAGTCTATTGGAACAGAGCCTTTTGGGGTCTCCATTTCCACTGATACCCCAATCTCTGCTTATGTGGATTTTTTAAAATGCATACAACTATCTTAGAAATTCAGTGGTATAGAATTAACTTTTACTGTCCCAAATGAAAATAAATCAGAAAGATCCTTCTCCCACTTGTTCATTTTGTTATTTGCAAATCAAAACCATCTATAATTATTTTTTGTTATTTCTTTATGTGAAATCTACAGTATAATAATGATTTCTAAAAACTTTCTCCTTTCCTGTTCTCAGAAGTACAGAAAAAGCACAGGAGTAATTTAGGAGAAAACAAATTTGTTTTCTAGTGGACTAACTACTTATAGGGGCATATGACATCTGCATTAGTTAATTTCTTAAGTGTGCTTTTTATTTCATATCTGAATCAATTTGTTCTTCTATGGGGCATTACTGCAACTGTAATGGGGAAGAAATCCATGGGGAAGAAGACTATAAAAAATTCACATTCCCATGACTTTTAAGGAATAGGCTGTAGAGAAATTGTCTTGACTCCTTTTAATTTTTTCCCTCTTACTATCTGATGAGATATGTCCCTCATATTAGCTCATGGGGTTTCAGGTGTAGCAAATTGGCTTTTAATTGATGGTAGGAAGCAATCAACTGTTACTAAGGACAAATATTAAGTGACATAGTTTAGTATTATATTTGGGGGCAGACAGAGACTGCAGTGTAACAAGTGATGGAGGTTCACAAAACTATGATTAGAGACAACCCAAATTTCTGCTGAGCAGCAGATATTTGGACGAGGCTGCTCAGTTGTCTTAATGCCTGACACAACTTAATGGTAAGTTGTTTCTGGTCTGGGCATATCTGCATATTCAGCAAAACAATTATTCTACATAGAAACAATATATTCTACTGTATAATGTTTATAGAAATAGGAACCTTGGCATTTTCTTATTATATTGTTGTCTTTCAGACGTCACCAAAATGAAACAGTCTTCTATCAGCAAGGGAACCCGAGTAAACATTCTGCAATCTCTAACAAGTGTTTAATGCAAATTAATCACACTGAAAACCTAATTCTCAGGTAAGAAGAATCCTTCGCTAGTAATCTGTAGTTAACATCATTCATGTGACTTTTTTGTATTGCAACACTAGCAATTGCCCATGTTTTTTCTCTTTGGTAGGGCCAGAAGGAAAGATCTTGTTGGCTTAGTGGTGTGAGAGTGAAACGAACAGAGAGCACAGAATCGTGATGCTGCCCCCTGCCGGTGGTGCAGGAAAAAGGACGCAGCCTCAGACTACAATTCCTGCCAAGAGCATCAGCCACACTAGAAACTAAAGGGTGAAAACAAGATTTTTTTGCTGTAATTTCATCTCTTCCTCTAAGAATTTGTCATAGGAATGACTCCCTGTAACTTCCCACACCTGCCTCTTCTTTCCTTCAGTGGTGGCTAACAGAATCCCTTTCCTTCCTCGGTCCTTGCTAAGCGACTGAATTCAGAAACTCCTGGACAATACTATAACAATCTGTATTATTGGTCTCTGGAGCTCCAGGTTTATTTTAAAAAGAAAAATGTGGAAAATCATCCAAACATTTTCCTGTGCACAGCACAGGGATCTGTTTCTCTTACCATCAGAAAGGGATTCATAGTCATAATCATATTCGTCCTCCTCATCTTCCTCTTCCTCATTATTGGCCGGTGGGGGGTTGGCATTCCCACCAATATAAGCCTGTGCTTGCATAGATGCTAACTGATGAGCCTGTAAAATAGCAATAATTGTAAACTGCAGATGCCAAGCTACTGAATTCATTTATAACCTTCAAAACTACCCCTGATGTTTAACACAATCGCTAAAAGTAGCTTAACCTATTTTGATACATTTGGAAGAGGAGAAAAACATCTAGATTCACTTGAAATGCAATGTCAACACTCAGGTGAATGTTAGCATTCTTACAGGAAGAATCCTGGAGCTTTTATACACAGTCTCCAGAAGACCGTATGAGGTGCCCAGCTAGCCAGGTTCCCAGGGCAACCACTCCAAGAGAAAGCTTTGGTGCTTTGGAGAACCAGCATCCATCCCAAATGACTGAGGAAGTGAATCACCCATCAATTTTTGAAGGTATGTCTTTGTTAATAAACCATTTTTTCCCCTTCTTAAAATAATATATACAGGCCCCTGACCCAGAACAATGTTAGAATCCTTATGGACAAAGAGGCCTAAAGAATTATTGTTGGTTTAAATAAAGTTTTTTCAAAAGACTATCTGAACCGTAAATCAGATTAACAAAACAGGCCTGGAAGCTTTAGGAAGTTGATGTGTGCAGCCAGGAAGGTCACATACTCCATGTTTACTGGAATTGCTGTGAAGTGATAAGCATCAGGACAGGTCTGAGAAACTGCCTAGCTTAAGAAAATCATCTGAAACATGGGAAAAGTTACTTGCATGAACTAAAAGCAAGAAACAACCTAAAAGTCCCACAATAGAGGAATGCGATCAGTAAGCAATGGTTGTCTGCTTGAGAGAATGAGACATGAAAAAATAATTGATATATGTGTATTGAACAAAGGAATTGAACAAATTCTTTTGTTCAATAAATTTTTTCATTCAATATTTATAAATTGAATATTATATAGATTATATATGCACATATACATAGACAATTCTGCATGTGTATGTGTGCATAGATATGTGTGTGTGCTAATATACACTATATATAAAATGTATGTGTGGGCACACAGATATCTATATACTATATATACATATAATTCTGTATTCTTTGTTTTATATATTTAAAATACAATTATATAAAATGACAGTCATAAAAGTGCTAGATAGTAAATGTTAATACAGCAGGGTTTCTTCATTTGCTTTTGTGTCATAGACTTCTCTGGTTGTCTGGTGAGATGGGATCCCTTCTCAGAATGAGGTTGTAAATGCATAAAATGAAATGATTAAAAGGAAATACTGTTGAATACAGTTATCACATGTTATAGGAACAAATTTGTGCTATTAGAATATATGTGTTTCTTTATTAACACAGTAGAAAACATAGTAGTAGGTCAAGTAACATTTTTGAAAATATAAATTGAGCATAAATACTTCTTGGAGATATTAGTGACAACTGTGAAGTATAATGAAAAAGTTGCCATTTCTATTGGTGACAATAGGTACTGCCTACAGTACTGTAGTTTATTCCCTATATAATCAGAGGAAATGCTAAATTTCACCTAGAAACTAGTGAAAATAAAGATGTAATTTTTTTCCATTTATATCTACAGACTCCCTAAATTCTATTTGTGGATATTACCAATGTTGAGAACCCATGTAATACAGGTGTTTGACCCTGGAATTATGTATGTTTTAAAATAATTCTCTATTCCCCAATTTTTTGAAATGTGGTTATATTACCTTTATAATAAAAATGTATACATAAGGAAGATACAAGTTAGGCTGTGTCCATAACCAGATGAAACCTATTCCAGATAACTAGACATTGTCTAAGCTGAGATTTCTCAAAGTGGGTTTTATGGAGCTCTGTGGGTGTTAGTGTTATGGAAAAACTGACAATCACAGGATCCATAAAACACATTGAATGCCTGGAAACAGCAGCTTAACCAAACCTGAACACATTCCTACTGCAGGGTTTCACACAGCCTTCATTTAATATGCTAAAGGGCATTGCGAATCTTCAAAGATCTCCAGTGCAACATGTCTCATACTTACTTAACCAGGAAGGATTTTCTTCCCCATCTTTCTCTTCTCAGAGTCTCTCACAGCATTAGTATTCTAAACTTTGGGAAATCTGTTATCGGCACAAGTGAGCCCCAAAAGCAGGTCTGTTTATGGCTGATAGGAGAAGGGCCTTGACGCAGCGAGCACTCAAGGTAACGCCAAGTGCTGGGAATGATGAGGCCAAGGGCTGGACAGACCCACTGGCAGGAAAGCATGAGAACTATATAGGAGAAGGACACCACTCAAAGAACCACGGACAGCAGTGTCTGAAAGTGGAGTGGCAAGACCCCTGAGATGCTCAAGCAGAAGCATGGGAGAGGTAGCCCAATGAACAGCCAGCAGCTGGGACCCTTCTATACAATATTGTACTTATTCTAGGGTAGAAAAATGGGATCTCAGCCCTTCAATAAAAGTAACTCGGATATAGGTCAGGGTTGGAGGTATGGGTCAGATGAGGAGACTGGTCCTAATAGGGCTAGGCAGGAGCAACGTTTTACCCTTCTCTGTTTCCCCAGTACCTCGCCACAGTGCCTGTTATCTAGGGCGAAATGTTGGAGCTTTTTGGGTTCAAGTTCAGGAGAGGAATGGCAGAATCTTGGAGAATCCGGGTGGGGTATAGCTAGGAAACCTCAGGATGTATCTCAGCACAAGCCAGAGGCAGGTGGAGGGCTTCATAAATCCTGCTCTGAATCAGTCCATCCTTGCTGAGGGCAAGTTCTTTGTATGGAAATGATGTAGGCCTTCTATGTTAAGGGATAGGTCTGAGCCCACTGGAGCTCTGGGCATTCACCCAGCTTATGTGAGGTCAGATCGCTAGGTCTAGACCCATGATCTACCAGAAAACCGAAAGGCCTTACAGATATGACAATGGAATCATTGCTGATACTCCCTGGGAAGTCATCATGAAAGGTTGCAAGCAGTCTTAGAAAACTGGAAATGGGGATTATGTTGTCCCATTTTTCCAAAATGAGGAACAAGTAAGCTACGGAAATTATACTGTGGGCAATGTTAAGGTGGTAACTGACAAAATTTCATGATGGGGTATTAATCACTTGGTTTGTGAGAACTTAGAAAATAAAGAGGTGGCTTGCAAGAGTTGGAAAAGGTCTCCTAAGAACAAGTTCGGTGCACAGTAACCTCCTTAGCTTTTTTGGATAAGGTAATTCACTTTGGGGAAAAAAACAGCAGATAAATAGTGTTTCTCAAACTTCCAGGATTAGATGAATTATTATTGTTATTTATTTTTTTCTGCAGACACCATGGTAACTTAAGGAATTATTTTTATATAAACAGATGAGCAGGCTTTCTTGTGGAAATTCTGACTTTAGATTCATGACCTTAGAATCTGTTTTTCAAAGTGCTCCAGTGATTATTCTTATTAATAATTCTGACTTCCGTATCACCTTTGAAAAGGGCTTCTATAAAGACCCACATCTGAGACTAAGCTCTGCTGCTGTGAGCTGGGTGGCCTTGAGAAAGTCACACAAGTGGCCAGGCTTCAGTTTTCTATTTTATAAATAAATCAATAAAGAGGTTGAAGCACACTATGGGAAATGCAGGCTACAAGAGAGAAGAGCACCAGACAGGAGCAGTAATCATCTAAATGTTGGGGGTTCTTTAAGAAGGGCACAGGCTCTTCTCCATGGCTGACTGACTCAAAGGCAACTTGGGATGAAGATGCAGTTTGAGAAACTGCTAATAAATGGACCAGATGACAGAAACCAAATTCACAAAGAACCTTGTAGACTGTATTAATGTACCAAAACCAAGAAGAGCAAAAATAGAGATAAATATGAGGCTCCCATATACAGAAGGTTAAAGACTGGGCATATCTATTGGAAAATAACTGAATGCTTTTTATTTTCTACAAGCTCAACACAAGCCCAGTGTGTGCTAAAGAATTTTTTTTTTTTTTTTTTGAGTAAGGGTTTCACTCTATAGCCTAGACTGGTGTGCAGTGGCATGATCACGGCTCACTGCAGCCTTGGCTTCCCAGGCTCAGGTGATCCTCCTGCCTCAGACTCTCCAGTAGCCGGGAATACAGGCATGTGCCACCATGTCCAGCTAATTTTTATATTTTTTATAGAGATGGGGATTTGATATGTTGCCCAGGCTGGTCTTGAACTCCTAGACTCAAGCAATCCACCTGCCTCAGCCTCCCAAAGTGCTTGGATTACAGGTGTGAGCCACAGCAGCTGGCCAAGAATTTTTAAAAAGAAAACAGTCTGAGGCTGCATTAACAAAGGTTTAAAGTTCAAATTAGGGGAGGTGATGGTTTCACTGTTCTTGGGCTGTCAGATCCTATCTAGAAGACTGAGTTAGTTCTGGAAATCACATTTTAAGATTGATAAATTCAGGAATATCCACGATATTCTTAATGGTAAATGAAGAGTCTTAGCAACCATATCCTGTCAGGAACAGTTGGTACAACAAGAATTTTTAGCTTGGAGAAGAAAAGCTGCTGGGGAAACACATGATAGCTTTCTAAATATAACATTAGTCTGTACAGCTGCAGGGGGAAGAGGGAGGGCCAATGAGAAGGAGGAACAGGAAGGAAGGTTTGGGCTCAACATAAAAAAGACTTCTGTTCATTAGCGGAATGAAAGCCTTATAAGTAACTGCAAATGACTGCGCCAGAATGGGAAAGGCAAGGACATTCACATATATCTTGAAGTCCTTAGCGGTATGTGTGGTTAACAGCTTTATCTGCTTGGCAGTGAGGATGGGGCAGGAATCGTTGGATAGAGAAAACAGCATAGATGAACAGGGCTCTAGGAAAAAAAGCACCACTGCTGGGTGGTCAGTCACTGAGGTGGCATTTGAGAAAGGCCAGTTAGAGTATACATGCTAACATTTCAGTTAAATAACGTCATAACACGGCCCATCAGCAGAGGTGACATGGCCTCTGGAACCCTAGCAAAGGCCAGGTCACCTGGAGCTGCTTTGAGAGTGTAGAACCAGATCAAGTTAGCCCTGGTGGAGGTTTCCAACTGGTGGCCCTTGGGGCTGACTTCACCTCCAGACCTGACTTGTTTGGCTGGTGCAGTGTGTTAAAAATAATTGAATTCGAGCTGTTCATTGATGAGGCATGCACACCCCACTCCTGTCCTCACCACTTCCAGCTGTCCTGCATCCAGCTGGCTCCTCACACTGATGTTTCCTATTTAGCCCCTGAAGGTGGCTGATTTTGCAACTTTTGGCTCAGAGTCGTGAGTGATCTTCAAATTGGGTGATGTATACCTCAAGAGTACACAACGATTTCAACGGAATATGCAGGTTTGGATGTTCGTCAAGAAACTGGTTTCTGAATCTTTAGCATCTATGTACTTGTTCTCTTTGAAAGACAGGTCAGCCTGAGAGCAAGTCTGTAGCTGGCTAGTTTCCAAAGTGATGTTTTAGGAGCAACAGTGCCCTCCCAAGTAGGACAAGTAGTTTTACCAGCTGTCATCCTGTGGGATAAGTAGGTGCAGCCTGGCAAATAGACTCAGTGTTCTGGATCTGAACTTTCTTCACCGACCTTTGGGCTGAGGGTCTCCTACACAGGTGGGTTTGTCGTTCTTGGGCACAGATCTCTGTTGACGAGATCTGGGCCCAAGCAACACAAACCAGTGATACACTGGGATCACAGGGCTGCTGCTATTGGGCTTCCACTGCAAGCCCCATGCCAAGTGCTCCCCTAAGGGGGCTCTCCCTAAAGGGGACTATAGCAGCCATTGTGGGATGGACAACCCTGAAGCTCACTTTCAGACACAAGAGTCACTCATCATCCCACTCAGAACACATTAAATAACAGAGGTTTATTTGATGTGGGAACAATTCCACAAATTAAATCTTAGGTGAGTGAGATGAGAGAATTTACTGGTCTATGAAAAGCCCAAAATCAAATTTATCATTTAAGGAAATTCGATCTTGAAAAACTAGTAAACCAGCAGGTCATCTGAAAGGTTAGAATGACCTTTTTTTTTTTTTTTTTTTTTTTTTGTTCTAAGCACACTGCCTTTTCATAACTGGTTTCACAGCAGGGGAGTACCTTTTGCTTTAAGATATCCACTGGCGTCTGATGGGCTTTTAGCTTCTTGTTTTTAAGAAGCACTTTCCTTCTGAGTTGGTCAGGTGAAGGAAGCATTGGATCATCTGAGAAATCAGTCTCAAATAAGAATTTAGCCACCAGCTTTTCTCCAAACACAGTCTAAAAAGAATAAAGAAAAATATACAATCAATACCTTTTATCTATAATTGATAAATACATGTATACTTCATAAATATAGTAGATATTTTAGATTGGTTGAATTATTTAAAAAGTCTTAGAAAGAGGAACTAGGAAGGAAGTTGTCCCCTGCTCTGCCCTCTTCAGTTTCTTACTGAAAGGAAGGGAGGTGATTAGAAGGACAGGAGGAGAGAATGAAGCCACTTTGCAGCTGGGGTCAGTTCTAACTATTTAGGAAAATATTCTGAGGTCTAAGGTATTCAATAAGAAAACAGAGAACCAGTTAGAGGCTGTTGTTTGTACAATAAGGTTAGTTTCGGGTGAAGTCAAATCAAAAGGATAGAAACTTTGGAGGGGACAGGGTGTAGGGACAAAGATGAGACTTAGGTAGAATTTGCCCCCACATAGTGTGAAGAACCACAGATACAATTCTCACAAAGATTTTGAGCATCAATTTCCAAAGCGGAGTGTGTGCCTCTCCAGGAGGCAGGTGGAGAGAAGGCAGACACGGGGTAATCTATTGGGGTAAGGATAGAAAATACGGCAATTTCTACCCTAGTTTTTTTATTTGGAGATAGGGTCTCACTTTGTCACCCAGGCTGGAGTGCAGTGGCATGATCTTGTCTCATTGCAGCCTCCACCTCCTGAGCTCAAGCGATCCTCCTGTCTCAGCTCCTCAAGTAGCTGGGAGTACAGGCTCATGCCACCTCACTTGGGTAATTTTGTATTTTTTGTAGAGACAAGGTTTTGCCATGTTGCCCAGGCTGGTCTCAAACTCCTGAGCTCAAGTGATCCACCCGCCCCAGCCTCCCAAAGTGCTAGGATTACAGGTGTGAGCCACTGGGCCTGGCCTTTTTTTTTTTTAATTGGAAAAAAAAAAAATCAAAGCTTAGGCCATGACAATATGAAGAGTTAATTAGTTTTGTTGGCATTAATATTTGGGGACATTTTCTTTTGCTGGTGCCCCTCTTCCCACTGAGAGCCACATTTCCACAAATGTCTCCACCATTAGAGGAAGCGGGAAGCATAATGGAATATCTGCTCCTAAATTTGGGTGCATTATTCCCTTACATAAGGAAGGGCTGACTGTTAACATAGCAACTGTGCTGGCCAGTCTAAGCTCTTTGCTAACTTGGATCCTTGTACTGCGGTATAAGATCTTCTCCTACAAGAAGATTTGACTTATTTGCCCTGAGATATTTTCAGCTTTTCCACATACAACTGACAGTTGACACCCTGGCATCCCTGACTTTTGGTACCAGAAATGTTGGAGAGTTGGTCTATCGTTTCCTCCTAAGGCTTTCTGGAAAGGGTCAGGAGACCAGAGAGCAATGTGTATATTATTCCAGCTGAAAAGAGGGACAATCCCCGAGAGGGCCCAGGCTGAGAACAGCCCAATCTCTCAGATCTGTGGGACCCTAACTGTATATGCTTCATGGCCAAGGTCCAACTGTGGTGTGGTCCACAAAGGCCTCGTGTAATACCCAATGACAGCCGGATGTGTGGCTCATGCCTACAATCCCAGCAATTTGGGAGGCCAAGGCAGGCAGATCGCTTGAAACCAGGAGTTCCAGAGCAGCCTGCCCAACATGGTGAAACCCTGTCTCTCCTAAATATACGAAAATTAGCCAGGCATGGGGGTGCACACCGGTAATCCCAGCTACTCAGGAGGCTGAGGCAGGAGAATCACTTGAACCTCAGAGGCAGAGGTTGTGGTGAGCTGGGATTGCACCACTGTACTCTGACCTGGGTGAGAAAGTGAGACTCTGTCTCAAAAAAACCCAAAAAACAAAAAGCAACCCAATGACAATTGCAAGACAAGGACCAACACACCATTCTGCTAACACACCATCCTGCCTTTTTGTTGAGAGCTCACCTTGAAAATTTCTGCCATTTTTCGTTGCTGAGGCAATGAACAGTGGTTCTCAATCGATATGATGATTGGCAGGTCAGAGTTGATGAAGGCACTGCGATCAATGGCTTCCACCACTTCCTATGAGAGCCAAAACAGCTCATTAGAGTCCAGATATCTGTCCAAGGATATAGCCACAGAAAGCATCTCAGTTGTTGCATACAGCAGACTCTGGTCAAAGGTGGTTTTTGTATTTTCAAATGAAGCATGAGGATAAGGCTATTTTGTAGAAAGACATTAAACTGTTTATAATGAGTATTGTTCACATAGTATAAAGAACAACTATCATACTGAATTTAACAAATCTATCTATATACATATACTCTCTCTCTACATATAGAGTATATTGCAGGTAAAAGATACTCTCTTATTTATAGCAGCAAACATAAGCACAAAATACCTTCCTGCTTATAAAGAGTTTATAATTTATTTGAGGCAGTATGACATATATCACATATATTTATGTGTATATGTAAACACAGTTATTAACTCGTCCCCTGACCAATATAGCACACAGGAGCTTTAGGAGTACTAAGTAGGAAACCAAGTTAAGGAGAAAATGCATTTTAGCCACTATTTCTACATAGGAAATAAAAATAATATTCCTTTACAGCCTGGCCACAGTTCAGAGAAAAATAATGTTACACAGCCTAAGACCTTCTGAATGAAGATAGTAATTGCATAACTGAATGAATAAGCTACCCAGAATTTGAAACACAAATCCAATGACATCAGTCTTCCTGGGTGACCAATCTTCTAAGGTGGAACTGATGCTCATAATAGTATAATGCTAACTATTTAACCATCTCCTAACTCTTGGCATTGGCCTTTGTCAGCATTATACCAGGACAAATGACCGTTAATTTCTACAGCAGGAGAACAGACCCTGCCTTTTATATCATTATATTATGTAAAAGTTGCAATAATATTATTACATGCTAACTAATATAAGGTAATGGCTACTAACTTTGGTTGAATGGGGAATCTAATGAGAGTTCTAGATTAACTCCAGAAACATGAACGTGTATTCTACATGATACAGCAAACACTTTTGGGAAGTCTTCATTTAGACCCAGCATAAAGACCCTTGACCTAAGGTGTAATTTGGTCACGTCACTGATTTAAATGATGAATGGAGGCCAGGTGTGGTGGCTCATGCCTGTAATCCTAGCACTTTGGGAGGCTGAGGTGGGCGGATCACTTGAGGTCAGGAGTTTGAGACCAGGCTGGCCAACATGGTGAAACCCCATCTCTACTAGAAATACAAAAATTCATTGGGCTTGATGGCATGTGCCTGTAATCCCAGTTACTCGGGAGGTTGAGGCAGGAGAATCGCTTGAACTTGGGAGGTGGAGGTTGCAGTGAGCCAAGACGGCACCACTGCACTCCAGTCTGGATAACTGAGAGAGATCCCATCTAAAAAAAAAAAAAAAAAAAAAAAAATGGAGATAATGTTTCTTTGTCTTTATGATTTGATTTAAAGAAAGTTATGAAGCATTACCTTGAAGGGGATCTTGGTTGTCAGTGTATGTCCATGATAAATGATGGGCATCCCATCATCTCCGTCCCAGCAGTCCAATTCTACACTTCGACAGCCTTGCAAGAGGACCTGTGTGATCAATGAGAATCCACCCCAGGTGAGTACCTGGAGATAAAGCCTCAAACTAAACCCAGCATACAGTTCTACATATCAGTCAGTGTTCACACTCAGGACTAGAGCAGAAGGGCATATGGTCTAAAACGAGCATTACATTTTTGCCAATGGCCACAATTAATCTGGAGTGGGGAAGGAAGGGAACAGACTAAGGAAGGAAGAATGTTTACCAGAGCTGAATGTTAATGGAAAGTAAAATTTGATAGAAAAACCATATGGTCATTTTCCTAGCAACTTTGACCCCCTGAAATGGCACATCTTGAAATTAGAGAACCAGGCAAATGCTCTATCTGGGCAGACATCCATGGAGGTGAAAATGCTGATGCTACAGCCCAGGGAAAGTAAGGCCACTGAGTCCTTAATGACCTGGCTAAACATTTATAGGAAGCTAATCAGGATAAAATCTCCTCCATTAAGACCCATATTAAGCTACGATTAAACATATTTGCTGTGACTGTGTAGCATGTAAGAAGAGTAGAAACAAAGAGTTATCAAGGATTTGCCTGGCTATCTAATTCCAGATCAGCAACTAGAGCAAAGATGGCAAATAATCCATAAACGATTTCTTTCTCTCAGACGCACAGCACACGTCAATAATCAAGCTAGGCACACTTGCCCTCTAAGCTTTAAAATATGTTAGCTTACAACCTCTTTATCAAAATGCTCCAGAAAACACTACCAAAGAATCAGATGAGTTGATACCTATTTGCTATCCTGGATCTAAAGTGGGAAGCAGAGCTCAATACATGTGCTTGGGTTGCAACTTTGTAAAGTTTGCTGGAAGCAGCCTCTTCCTCCATAGATCTATCTGTACGTCATCTTAAAAAACTATCACATACTGGAATGGTGACCCAAGCCAAGAGGTTTGAGTCTGTAAATGTGCCTACCTACTGATTTTAGAATGCACATAACTGTTTCTATGTGACAGCAATCCATTACTGGGGCTTAGGAGCCACTAGAGTTTCTGAAACTAAGCTCAGATAGTGGAATGATTCTCATTTTAACACAGTATGAGATATGTGCTATATTCTTCCTATTTTACAGCATAGTCGGTGGCCTAGAATCCCAATGCTAGCTATCTGCTTCTTTCAGCAGCTGGAGTATCTAAAGGTGCAGTGCCTTGGGCTGGAAATTGCTCTGTAAAATGGCGGCTGCAACACCAGCCTGCTTATCTCTGTGCTGACCCTGCCAGACTGGGAATAATGTTCAGCAAGGGGTGACAGATGAGATGGCTTTTCAGCATGAAAAAACTAAAGGTCTTCACTAAACTCTACATGACCTTAGACCTCCACATATGGCTAGAAGAGGAAAACCTGGGCTGGAAATTCTAGATGAGAAGAGCAGGGCTTATTCTCACTTCCCATCTGCCCAATGGAGAAATGTTAAGAGGTAATTTGGAAAGGCCAAGGAAGCGTGGAGAGGGTTAGAAATGAAGTGAGAGGGATCCAAACCTGTCTGCACAGTAGGTTTAATCACATTTGTGAGTCTATTTGAGGGGTTCTTGTGCCTTATTCAAAAGCTGTAATAATTTCATCTTAGGATGTGATGTTAAGAGGTTTAAAAACTCTCTGGAGTCAAACAGAGAAATGAAGTAGGAATTAAAGCCAGGACACTGGTCTTTGTTTATTTTCCCGGGAGAAATAGGCATACACACAAGTACATAGATATACATAGATACGTATATATGCACTAACATATATATGTACAAACATGTATATGTAGATATCTATGTGTGTGTATATGAAATATATATCTGTATTTACATGTATATTTCATTTCTTTCCTACAGAATAATGGATTTCAAATTTCTTTCAACTTTGGCATCCTGTGTGCAAATGGAGGGACAATATGCAAAGTGTGTGTAAGAGTAGTACATTAGCTGAAGCGGGGGAGCATATGGCACCTGTCCTACTCTCTTGCTTCCTCATCTCAGTGTCGGGGGCTGAGGCCCCGTGACAGAACTTCTGTTTTGAAAATCACTACTCTAAGGACACATCTTCTTTCATAATAAAAGTCCCTTCGAGAATGCGGTTTAAAATGCATATTCTGTGCTAAACAAGCTTTGGGACAAAACACTGCCCCATGCTTTGAGGAATATCTGGACTAATCTGGGAGAACAAAGGGAACTCATTGTTGCTGGGGTTGTGTAAACCATACAACTGTGATTTCCAAGCTTGGATCCACATGTGCACACAATGACACATTTATATTCCCTGGACCCAGCCTAGCTCCAATCAATTGATCCTTCTTGAAAGAGTTCAGAAAACAGGCAGAATAGATGAGGAAGCTGCCCACAGTATAGCAGACAGGCAATGGACATGCAGATCATTGCAAGTTGGACGTTTAGGTTAAAAGGATGTACTTCTTCTAGTTTAAAGAGCCTAGTAAGTTTCAAAGAACATTCTCATGAATGTGTAGAGACAGTGCCTACACTCTGTGCAGATTTTTTTCTGCATTGTTTTTGGTTACCATAGGGATAGATTAATTATTTAACAAACTGAAAAGCAAAACAAACAATATTTTGGGAATAACTATATAGAAAGTTGCATTTTCTACTATGCTTTCCCACTACCATATATTGATTTATTTAGCATTTAGAGAAACGATTAGATAATTTTCCCATGGGAAAATCTAATTTTAGTGGGAGTAGGTCAGACTAACTAGGATCTAAAAGCTATGATTCTCAAACACACACTTTTATTTTGGCCTAGAATAAAGGTTAAGTATAGATGGGGAAAACAAGACAAAAAGAAGAAAGAAAACAACTGCTGTATGTATAGCCAGTTTTCCCACACATCGTGGTTCCCCACTTTTGACATGCCATAGCTTATAAGATCTTCAAAGGAGTCTGGGGTCAGGTTTTCGTGACTTTGGGGGTTATGTAAATAATTAGGTTTAATAAAAACCACATTCCAAATGGCATTCCCTGTACCTGGCTGTAGAGTTCCACCGAGGATTCTCCTTTGAGCTGATGGCCTGTGAGGTAGGTATTGTGTGAAGATTCAATGTAATAGTATGAGAGGGGTAGCTGCAGTTCTTTGACGTTCTCCTGTGACTCATCATTTTTTGAGGCAAAATTTTCTTTATCCATCAGAAACCTATATGAAACAAATTTTCTTAAGACCACATGGGAAAATGTATACTACTTTTAAAAATGGACAAAAGATATTTTAAAAGTTACCTTGCAAACCCTTCAAATGACATTAGTCCCTGATGACACATACTGATGCTAGGCTCAAACTTCTGCAAGGAATTAAAAAAAATTTTTTACTTAGGTTAAGGAAACTAAGGGGTAAAGAAATCGCCACATCATTTTTTAAAGCTGTTCTGTTTTCATCAGGAAACATCTAAACCAAATATTTGAACTAATTTAGCAATGTAGTGGTAAGAAGTAGTTTTTAGTCCAAAAGAAAATATTTATTAGATGTGAGTTTATTATACTAAGCATATTTATTTAATAGAAAAAAGGAGAGAATGAGAAAAGAACAAGGCTGATTTCTATGGAAACAAAGTGTATCAGTTTATCCAGGTGAAAATGGGGATAATAGCTACCATAAAGCTGGTGAGAGGCGAACTGAGATGATTCACATAGAGCACTTGGTGCCATGCCTGTATTTAGTTATATTATAATGAGCACTCAACAGTATGACAGTCATCTCATGATTTTAGCATTTTCAGTGATGAAATCCAACTGCTGCACAACGAATACATTGATACCCAGTCAGGTGTTAAGGGAGGCTGAAACCTAGACTAATTTGTTGCATGCAGCCACAATGAATGCTGTCCCCACTCCTCTCTGCTGCCACCTTGTAGTCTAAACCTTCACCAGCTATTGCTGGTTACTGTGATAGCTTCCTCAGCAGTTTCTCTGTATCTATTCCTTCACCAGCACAGTTTAAAATGGGGCCATAGTAACCACTTAAAAAAAATCTTTTTTAAGAGATAGGGTCTTGCTATATTGCCCAGGCTGTCCGCGAACTCCTGGGCTCAGGCCATCCTCCTGCCTCAGCTTCCTGAGTAGCTGGGACTACAGATTTGTGTCACCATGACTTGCTCAGAGTAATCTCTTAAAAAATAAAACAAATCATGTTACTCCTCTACTCAGAAATGTCCAGTGGTATCCCATTTCACATATTTTACGTGGACTAAAGCCAACCTCCTTCTCGTGCTCTACAAGGCCCGGATGATTGGGCCCTTGCACATCTGTCTGACACTGTGCCTGCCACTTTGCCTGGCTTGTGCAGCTCACAGTCCGCCAGCTTTCTGTGGTTCCTCATAAACTCCCAGCTTTCTGCTGCTGTGGTCTTTGAGCCTGGGGCTCCCTGTGGGGAATGCTCTTTCCTGAGACCTTCGAGTTGGTTATTCACTTAGGGCTCAGTCCAAAATGCCACCTCTTCCAAATGGCCTTTGCTTACTCTCCTGAGCCCTCCAGTATCATTCCTTTCCCTTATTTGACTCAGTTTTTCCCCTACCCCATTAGTACCAGAAATTACATCGTATCTTTGTTTGTTGTCTGCCTTACCCTTTAGAATATAAGCTGCATTGAGGGCCAGAACTTTTATCTTATTCTCTGCTATATTTCCACCTCCTAAAACTGAACCAGCATAGTAGGAACTAGTACATATTCATTAAATGACTAGTGAGTTTGAAAACCTAGACTAATTCTGTTGCATGTTCTAAAATAACAAGAAAAAATTATGTACCAACTCCTTGTAATAGCTACTGAGTTAGAGAAGGCCTGGGGCCTATGTTAATTATATGTTAGAGGAGAACACTTACATACTTGCTTTTGTTTGTGTTTTGCTCTGTTGCTCAGACTGGTGTGCGGTGGTGCAATCTCAGCTCGCTGCAACCTCTGCCTTCTGGGTTCAAGCGATTCTCATGTCTCAGTCTCTCAAGTGGCTGGAATTACAGGTCTGCACCACCATGCCTGGCTGATTTTTTTTTTTTTTTTTTTTTTTTTGAGATAGGGTCTCAATCTGTTGCCCAGGGCAGTGACGTAATCTACGCTCACTGCAGCCTCCACCTCCTGGGTTCCAGCGATTCTCCTGCCTCACCTTCCTGGGCCCCTGGGATTACAGGTATACGCCACCACACCTGGATAATTTTTGTATTTTTGGTAGAGACAGAGTTTCACCATGTTGGCCAGGCTGATCTTGAACTCCCGACCTCAGGTGATCCACCTGCCTCAGCCTCTCAAAGTGTTAGGGTTACAGGTGTGAGCCACCACGCCCAGCTCTGGCTGATTTTTGTATTTTTAGTAGAGCCGGGGTTTCATCATGTTGGCCAGGCTGGTCTCAAACTTCTGGCCTCAAGTGATCCGCCAGCCTCAGCCTCCCAAAGTGATGGGATTATAGGCATGAACCACCACGCCCAGCCCATACTTGGCATTTTGTTAAAAACCAAACCAAACCAAACTATTTCTGCCCCAGATTTAAAAGCTTTGGAAAGAAGTATAGAAAGAGTAAATATTTAGCAGCAAAGTATTAGAATAGCCAGAGACATCACATACACATGCACACACAAAACAGGCACAAACCTGGATGATGCTGAGGATTTCATCATAAGTGCAGTGCTCTCCTTGGCAATTCACGAGGAAATCGTTGAGCTGAAGTATGCCCACCCCGAAAATGCCCAGAGATGTGCTCTCAATCCCAGTGCCATTTGTCACGATACTTGCAGCAGCAATGGCATCAGATATCTGCCTCTGGTTGTCCGACAGCTGCTGTTTACTCTTAATGAACAACCCCAAATCCGAAACATTTCTGGTCAACAGATCTGAAACAGAGCCACCACAGTACATCGACAAGATAGCTAGCAGCTTTCACCAATTCGTTTTGGAAATAATGGTATGGCGTTACTAAAATGAAGAAGCCCTTTACTAATGTATCTGAACAAGCCAAAAAATAAATGTTTATTCCTGGCTTCACACAGTGATACAAATAAAAAAACAAATCAATGAATAAATAAAGGAAACTAAGGGCTGGGCATGGTGGCTCACGCCTGTAATCCCAGCACTTTGGGAGGCTGAGGCAGGTGGATCACCTGAGGTCTGGAGCTCAAGACTAGCCTGGCCAACATGGTGAATCCCCGTCTCTACTAGAAATACAAAAATTAGCCAGGCGTGGTGGTGTGCACCTGTTGTCCCAGCTAGATGGGAGGCTGAGGCATGAGAATTGCTTGAACCTGGGAGGCAGAGGTTGCAGTGAGCTGAGAATGCGCCACTACACTCTAGACTGGACAATAGAGTGAGACTCTGTCTCAAAAAAAAAAAAAAAAAAAAAAAAAAAGGAAATGAAGACAGAGCTACATTAATGATCTTTTGATATCCCATGCGGCTTTGGCATTACATGGCAACTAAATGTAGATTCAACTGGGAGCATCAGGCCAAATTCAGGCTTTGGTTTTGGGAGTAACTACTTCCACATTTTTATGTTCGTAGAAACTGAAGATGTACCCTTAAAATCACAGTTTTACTGTAATGTACAAGTGTAACTATAAACATTTGTATGCAGATTTCTGTGTGAACATAAATTTTCAACTTGTTTGGGTAAATATCAAGTAGTGCAATTGCTGGTCACATGGATAAAATATGTTTAGCTTAGTAAGAAACTGCCACACTGTCTTCCAAAGTGGTTGTACCATTTTAATTCCCACCTACAGTGTACCAATTGCTTCATATTCACACCAACTTTTGTATGGCCATTTAAATTTTAGCCACTTTGGAAGACAGTCTGGCAGTTTCTTATGGAGCTAAACACAGGCTTACCATATGATCGAGCAATCGCACTCTTCAGTATTTACCCAAATGATGAAAAAACTTATGCCCACACAGAAACCTGCAAACAAATGTTTATAGCAGCTTTATTTACACTTGCTAAAACTTGGAGGCAACCAAGATATACCTCAGTAGGTGAATGGATAAACAAACTTTAGTACCTCCACAAAATGGAACATTATCCAAGGTAAAAAGAAATGGGCTATCAAGCTGCAAAAAGCCATGAAGGAAGGAAACTTAAATGCACGTTGTTAAGTGAAAGACGCCAGTCTGAAGACTCTATGTACTATATGACTCCAACTATATGTTATTCTGGAAAAGGCAAAAACATGGAGATAAAAAGAGCAGTGGTTGCCAGGGATTTGGTGGGAGGAAGAGCGGGGGATGGAAAAGTGGAGCACAAGGAACTTTCAGGGCAGTGAAACTATGCTGTGTGATACTGTAATGGTGGACACGTCATCTCACATTTGTCAAAACCCGTAGAGCGCACAACACAAAGAGTGAATCCTAATGTAAACTGGACTTCCGTTCATCATAACGGATCAATATTAACTCATTTGTATCAAATGTACCTCACTAATGCCAGATATTACTAACAGAAGGAAGTGTGTGGGAGAGTGGAAGACGGTATATGGGAACTCTGTACTTTCCACTCGTTTTCCCATAAACCTAAAATTCCTCCAAAAAGAAAGTCTAGGCCAGGCACGGAGGCTCATACCTAAAATCCCTGCACTTTGGGAAGTTGAGGCAGGAGGATTGCTTGAGGCCAGGATTTTGAGAGCAGCCTGATCAACAGAGCAAGACCCTGTCTCTACAAAAAAATTACATAAACAAAAAGTCTAATAATTTTTGAAAAATGCAACTATTTGACTAATCCAAAGTTCTGCAGATTTTATGACTAAAGTTGAACAATAGTTAATAGTCTTAGCTCAAGGACAACATAAGCTTATAAAAAATTATGAAGCAACTACATAAAAGAGGAAAGTTTTTTTTGTTTTTGCTGTTTGTGTTTATAGTTTCCAGCAAGAACAGAGGAGGAAAATTATAGGCTTAAAATGCATGAGTGGTTAAGAAAAATGCATTGGTGGTGATAGTAATGGTGGTGGTGGTGAGTGGGATAGGAGACTGAGACATTCCGGTTTACACCAAATATCCTGGACAATCATTCCGACAGAAGTAGCCTGAGGAAGACACTGAAGACTCTCCTTGTCAAAGGGCAGGAGACTACTGCCCTGTGATTGAGCACCCATCTGTCTGTAGGTAGTGAAGAGACTGGGGGTTCTTCACTGTGACACATACCACATACCTAGCAGGCATTTGGAAATAGTCAGTGATATGGTTTGGCTGTGTTCCCACCGAAATCTCATCTTGAATTGTAGCTCCCACAATTCCCACGTGTTGTGGGAGGGACCTGGTGGGAAGTAATTGAATCATGGGTGCGGGTCTTTCTCATGCAAAAAATGTTCTCATGATAGTGAATAAGTCTCATGAGATCTGATGGTTTTATAAAGGGGAGCATGCCCTGCACAACCTCTCTTTTCTTGTCTACTACCATGTGAGGCATGCTTTTCACCTTCTGCCATGATTATGAGGACTCCCCAGCATATGGAACTGTGGGCCCATTAAACTTCTTTTTCCTTATAAATTACCCAGTCTCGTCTATGTCTTTATCAGCAGCATGAAAATGGACTAACACAACTGGGAAAGGATTTTTGGTTGTCAGAATGACTGGAGAGATTTATTGGTTAAATATCCTGGAATACATGGGCAGAACCACACAGTGATGAATTTCTTTGCTTAAAATGCCAGTGGCCCCTGCTCCCACGACACCAGATGACACCTTGAAATAATTATCTAAGTGTTTCCCTACATAGCAGTAATAGTACACCATGTGGGACAGGCTCAGAGTTTGCGTGATTGGACCTCTGACCTTAAGTTTTAGACAGAAAGGTCCCAAAGGGAAATCCTAAAATGTTCAACAAACCTAGGTCAGGCTGAAGATCGCTGGTGTTTTCATCAATTGTGAGGTTGGTGTAGAGTGGGGCTGACTCAGAGCCAGATCGGTTGCAGGGCACTGCATAGACATCAAAGAGATCCTTCAGGTCCTTGCGGCTCCGGACACTGAATGAGGAATGGAAGACAACTCACATTGAGGATCTTTATAGAAACGGGGGCCTAAGAAAGAATAAGAAGGAAACATACACTGTACCTGAATGATTTGAACAGCTCAACAAATTCAACAAAACTCATGTTGCTGTCTGAAACCATGAAGCTCTGAAATCCCTTCATGCCGCCTTTGATCCGCCCATGCCAGCTACTACTGCTCCAAGCACTGCAACAAAGACAAGGCCTTCATGGGCACAATGGCAGGCCACCGTTGTGATTCTGTTCCACCAGGCCTTCTCCAATTAGCAATACGAGCCAAAGGGTGAGTGCAAGTTATTTAAGGTTGAAGCTATTTTCTGGTACTCTTTTTACTTCTCCTAATCTATATTGTATCGCAGGAAATAAAATATGTTGTATAAGAAAAAGAAAAGATGTTTCTAGTCTATTTAGTAAGGGCCCAGGGATGATGTTAATATTTCTCTATTAATCAAAATAGTTCTTTGAAATTGCAGAGCAATGGGCAAAATAACTCAGTGTTTCTGAAAATGTCTTTTTATAAAAGAGCCCCAAATTACCACTCTTAATCTGTGGAGAATAATGCATGTTCTTTTCTGTATTCTAAGTTATAGAAACACATAGAAGAAAGTTTTGAGTGTATCTATGTCTTGTCTGATTCCTTTCCTAATCAGTTCTTAGATGAAAACAGAGAAGAGCTTTTAAAGATTAATAGAAAATGTGAGTCAGAAAACGTTAAGAATAGAAAGGGCTGGGTGTGGTGGCTCATGCCTGTGATCTCAGCAGTCTGAAGGCTGAGGTGGGAAGATTGCTTGAGCCCAGGAGTGCAAGACCAGCCTGGCCAATATTGTGAGGCACTGTCTCTAATTTTAAAAAATCAAAAAAAAAAAAAAAAAAAAAGGAAAAAAGTGAGCTTTGCCTAGGATATTTGCACCTGCCAAGGCTGCATCTATTCAATGTAGAAATATCAGTCAACTCAGTTAGAAATTCAGTTTTACTGTTTCACAACAGTTTTTATTATCTATACTGATTTCCTGACACAATGGTATGAAAGATGTTTTGATTATGGTTTGTAGTCAAATTAGTGAACAGGATCTAGTTTTGTCTTGAATTTTAAAAGGTTTTTTGAAATATTTCAAATATATAAGTATAGAGAACATAATAAAATCTATTTTATATATATTAAATATATAATCTACAAGCAGTATACTTAAGACTATAAGTATAAAATATATAGTCTATTAAAGTTACTCTCAACCCTTCTAACAAGGTTCACTCATGGAAAATTAATTTGTGCTGAGATCTGAAGGTCACCTTCAGCAATGGAAGAGTACTATGAATTGATAGCTTTATAGCATTTTCTAGGCATTGTAGGTTGTTGATCCCCAGTGTGGTATAGGAAACATAGGGTAGAGGTTCAGGGAGAAGAAAAAGGTGACCCTGTCATTTGCAGCTAAAGTAAATTTCCTGTCTTGCTTCTTTCTGGTTGCAGGCCCAGCTACCGTCTGTAGGAACCCACTTCCCTTTGACTCTAGGAAACTCTATTCGTCCCCTCTTCCCACTACCAGACCTAGGACTCAGTCTAGATTCCTCCCTTAACAGCATTCAAGCTAGTTTTTCTGCTCCTGCCTTGTGTTTTCTTTCTGTTTTAAAATACTTGAGAGGGTACTGACCCCTGTCCTCCTGGGGTTGGCCTTCTGATCTTGCATGTTAGTTTCTCTTTTAAAATATTTTTCTCCCTTACTCTGTCCTTTCTTTTCCTGCTCATGAATGACTGAAATAAAGAGGAAATGCCATTTAATCCAGGTTCCTTGCTGTTTACCCAGGATATTTCACAGGCTGAAAGTATAATAAACAGGATTCTGATTTTTCTAACTTTTAGTTTTGTTATGAATCTAAATTTACAGGAGAGTTGCTAGAGTGGTACAAAAAATTCCTATATAACCTTGACCCATGCTCACCCATTGAATCTGAATGTATTATAGAATACATTCTATAATAGAATCTGAATGTATTATAAGTTCATCGCTCACATTGTGAAATAATTATTTTATTTAAAAGATAATTTGCTGTCGGATTCTTTTTTCCTTTTTTTTTTTTGAAACAAGCTCTCACTCTCTTGCTTAGGCTGGAGTGCAATGGCAGTGATCATGGCTCACTGCAGCTGGAACCTTCCAGGCTCAAGTGATACTTCCACCTCAGCCTCCTGAATAGCTGGGACCACAGGTGAGAACCAGCACACCCAGCTAATTGTTTTGTTTTTTTGTAGAGATGGGGTCTCTGTTGCTCAGGGTGGTCTCAAACTCCTGGGCTCAAATGATCCTCCTGCCCTGCCCTCCCAAAGTGCTGGGATTACACATGAGAGCCACCATGCCTAGCCAGTATTCTTATCAGAGAGAGGGAGAGAGGGGGAGAGAGAGAGAGGGAGAGAGGGAGGGAGACAGAAAGGGAGACAGGCAGGGAGGGAGGAAGGGAGGGAGGGAGAGGGAGGGAGAGGGAGGGGAAGGAGGGAGGGAGGGAAGGAAAGGGAGAGGGAGGGAGGGAAGGAGAGGGAGAAGGGAGGGGAGAAGGGAGAAAGGGGAGGGGGAAGGGGGGGAGAGGGAGAGACAGAGAGAGAGAGTGTGAGAGTGTGTATGTGTGTGTGATAAACACATTTCTTAAACTTTAACGTGGGATACAGGGAGATGGAGTGGCATTCTGTCCCTTTGGAAGTCTGCCATTTTAATATCTTTTCTTCTTCTGAGAGGGTATTGTTTCAAATATGTAATTTGCATAGACCTTATAAAATAATTATAATACTAGCTTCAGAATTATATTTAAACATATCCAACTTGCTGTGATACTTGAATTTGTTCCTCTAGGCATGTGTAACTTACGTATGAGAAAAGTATTAAATATATTTCATCAATTAGCAAAGGGGCCAAATAGTTAACATTAAAATAATCTATTCTCTCTTCTTCATTTAGAGCAATGCTATCCAATATAACTTTCTGCAAGGATAAAAGGAAATGTTTTCTATCTGTACTCTTCAGGACAGTAACCATCAGTTACTTGTGGCTGATGGTTACTGTCCCAAAGAGTACAGATAGAGAGCACTGGAAATGTCACTGCTGTGGCTGAAGAATTGAATTTAAAATTTTAATTAATTTAAATTTGAATTTAAATACCCACATCTAGTTAGTGGCTGGTATACTGGATAGCATAGATTTGGAGAATCATGGGTTGGGTTTCGTTACTGCTACTGATCTTTGAAGTAATATGAGAAGGTAGGAGTACAAAATTGGGAAAATTGGAATCATTTAAAATTTGAGGATTTTTCAGTTTTCAATTCAACTATACATCAAAATGTGAGACAGTCTTTCCATAGACAACTGTAAAGATACACCCTTCCACACAACTGGAATCATGGGAAGGGTCCTTCTGTTTTATCATGTTAAGGCCCCACCTGGACGGGCTCTTGTTTGAAGAAGGCAGCACAGGGGAGGACACTGGCCTGATGGGAGATGACGTCGTCCCAGCAGCCAAGTTGGGGGACCCAGTTGTGGTCAAAGAGTGGGCTCTTCTGGAAGGGAGGGAGTTTGGAGGGATAGTGATGGCATTCGCCTCTGTGAGGATGGAAGACAGAAAAGAGAGAATGACTCAGATTATATTCTCCCTCAGAACCAGATACAAACCAGAGAGGCTTCTGGATGTCTGAGCAAATCAACCTATGCAGCTGTTTTCTATACAAGCACCACCAAAATATTTTTGTTAATGGGCTAATCTTGTGGGGGTCTCAACTGGCTATAGGTTAGAACCACCTGGGAAGCTTCAAACATAAACAGACATCCAGGTCCAGCCAGAGAATATCTGAATAAGTTATTCTTGGATGTGGCCAGAGGAACCAGATATTCTCAAAGGCTCTAATATGTAGCAAAAGTTGAGAATCACTGGTCTAATCCATCAAATTGCACAATATATATCTAGTATTCCCCAACAGTAATGGCAAGTTAATTAACGAGAATTTTATCCCAAGTACACCATGCTTGCACAAGCAACTCTTAGATTTCATTGTCTGGTTTGGACAAAGAGTTTTGTTAGAAATGTTTGCAATACTAAAATCACAATTTAAAACCAAATGTATGCTGTTTTCCCATAAAAATTAAAAAAACAAAAATCTCAGATGCAGACATGCCACTTTACCCGATTCTTCTTGTTCATTAACGTCTTGAGGATCAGAACCACTTCGGCTTCGACACTCTTTGTTCATCTTGGCCTTTCGGGTTGCCATCTCGTCGTCAGTTGCCTCTCCACTCTCACCCTGGAAACACAAAGCTCAAGATAGTTCCAAGCCTATATTTCTGTCCCACCACTGCTTTAGTTCAGGTAGGTCTCTATTTTCTGACCTACCCACCTTCGATACTGCCTTTCCCTGGTAAAACCAGTAAAGATCTACTTTAAGGCTGCCTGAGTATTTCTCATGCCATATTATCTCATTTGTTCTTGACTATACAGCAGCACTCCTCAGGGGAGGGAGGCAGACAGGAGGAGGCACACAACCTCTGGAACCTCTGTGTACAGAAAAAACCATGAAGCAGATAAAGTTTGACATGAGCATCAAAGCCTCCATAAGCAAAGAATGGCACTTTTTCGAGATAGATAGTATGGTTTGGATGTGTGTCCCCTCCAAATCTCATGTTGAAATATAATTCCCAATGTTAGAGGTGGGGCCTGGTGGGAGGTGTTTGGATCATGGGGGTGAATCCCTCAAGAACGGCTGAGCACCATTTTCTTGGTGATGAGTGAGTTCTGGCTGAGTTCATACAAGATCTAGTTATTTGAAAGTGTGTTGGCTGGGTATGGTGGCTCATGCCTGTAATCCCAGCACTTTGGGAGGCTGAGGCAGGAGGATTGCTTAAGGCCAGGAGTTCAAGACCAGCCTGGGCAACATAGTGATACCCTGTCTCTACAAAAAATAAAAAAATTAGCCAGGCATGGTGATGCACACCTGTGGTCCCAGATAGTTGGGAGGCTGAGGAAGGAGAATAGCATGAGGCCAGGAATTCAAAGCTGCAGTGAGCCATGATCACACCACTGCATTCCAGCCTGGGTGACAGAGCAAAACCCTGTTTCTAAAAGAAAAAAAGTGTGTGGCACCTCTCCCCTTCTCTCTTGCTCCCACTTTCTCCATGTCATGTGGTGGCTCCTGCTTCACCTTCTGCCGTGACTGTAAGCTTCCTGAGGTTCTCACCAGAAGATGATGCTGGCATCATGCTTCCTGTACACCTGCAGAACTGTGAGCCAATTAAACTTCTTTCCTTTATAAATTACCCAGCCTCAGGTATTTCTTTACAGCAACACAGACTAATAGCCATGAAGCAAATATACTACCACTTCACAGTGATATTTCATATTGTATAATGTAATTCATAATACATAGTGCTAATATACTTTACATTGTGTTCTACACGCAGTATCTGGGGCCGCTGTGATCTCTGTTCTCTTCTGCCCTTCCTTGTCCACAGTGTGCTCATGCTCTAGCCACCCATAACGGCATGTGCTTCCTTGAACAAGCCATCTTTTATGTCTTTATGCTGTTTTCTCTGCTGGGGATACTTTCTCCTATGTTGTTTGGCTGGTAAAATCCTACACGTTCTTCAAGACCTGCAAGTCAGCTGCTCTGTGAAGCCTTCCACGTCTGCCCCTCAGCTCTCTAGTTTCCATCTCTCTCTCCCACAACACTTTGTGGATGACTCAATGATGTCCCTTTTTAGCTTGCACTGTGTTTGTTTACATGTCTATGTCCTTCTATGGACCTTGTCTTTTCCCTGGTTTTCTTGGCACTAGCCTGGAACCCAGGAGGTGTGTGGTAAGTCCTTGCATCTTCTGTTTTATACTGACTTTGTCCTCAACCCAAACAACCTAAAGAGGTTTATGGTGATGTTCACCATACAACAGTCCTAGAAGATGAGTTTGATGCTTAATAAACAAATAACACTATACCCTCATGAGGATTTTCTTCTTTTTCTTTGTAGTGCTTATGCCCAGTGTGTTGTTTCTCTGCATATTGGGCTTCTCAGCATTCTTTGCTGATGTCCCAGGACTGGGGTTTCGAGTACTCCATCGTCTGCCACCAAACAACTCCACAGCATGAGCCAAAGTTGGGCCTTCATACCGTCCATCCTCCTGTGAAAGAACCACATGGTGAACATGATAGGAAGCACCAAGCAATGGGGAAGTAAATATATTAATGGCTCCCAGAAAATTCCAAGAGGTGGAAGAGCACAGGCGGCCACAGAAGAATAATGATCTGGCCACCCAAGTGGCTCTGTTTATTAACTCACAAGACTGTCAGGAATTTCATCATGTCCCCTGTTGTCCTGGTGACATCCCTGCTAAGTTCCAGTGACATGCTTTAATACATCCACTGGGGAACAAAAACTTCCCATCCCATTTACAAAGGTTAAATTCCAGAACTACCACTGTTGGAAAATTCATTAAGACTTACTTTGCAAATTAAAGGCTTGGAGGTCTTAGAAGGTAAGGCAAGTTATGAATCTAAGTAAAATCAAGTTGTATTTGTCCATTACTACCAGGTAGGTTTTCACCTAGTTTGATGCTTAGGACAGTCTGCCTTGAAATAAGGGGTGTGTGGCATGCATGAACTTCCTTTTGCAGGGCCCTGGGGAGCTCCTAAGATAGTTGAGCTGCCATCCTCTTAAGTGGCTGAAATCCAAAGATAAAGAGCCCATGGTACTCATAACACCATGTATATTAGGATGCTGTGAGCAGCAACAACACACTCAAGGGACAGGCAATGGTTCACAGTCGCCACTGTTTCTAAGGCAGCACTGCATAACATCCTGTAAGTAACAGCAGGGATCTATTAATTAAACAATTGTCAATGATTCTCCCCATAAATCAGGAAAATTAGTTAATAAAACCACAAAAAGATGCATATGAGCTAAAGATGATATTGCTATTTCACACATTGTATAAGAGGGTTCTTTAAAAATTAATTTCCATGTACTGTCTTTACTCTTCAAAAACATTTAAGGCAGGTTGTCCTGTGCAGTTCCAAAGAAACGCTTATAAATAGATTTTGCTTTGTTGCAGATCATATGCAAAGAACCAAGAGGCGTGTGTGTGTGTGTGTGTGTGTGTGTGTGTGCTTGCTCCTTCAGCCTAATTAATGTTCAATAACTATCTGATTTTATGACTTGTGCATTCCCACTTCCTGTATCCTGCTGTGGATCCCAGGATGCTGAATAACTTGGGTACTTGACAAATAAATCTTTTGGTGACCTCTTACAGTGGGACACTGTGACATGACTGTCCATGATCTATTTCTCCCATCTCTAACCATACCCTAATTTTACTTTAACTGTCTCTTCTTCACTGGATGCAGTCTCGACAGGTCAATCAAGCTGAAATATCCTCCTTTGACCAATGATTGATATATGATCCCAATAAGCCACTCAGAATCCCCTTCCTGGAGCAGGGTTCTTGAATGCAGTGATACAGAGAATGAAAATGGCTACAGATCAGTTCACCTGCTGAAGAGACTCCCTGCTAACAAGTCACTAGGAGTGACTCCAAATTGGAATAAACATTTCATGAATGAAACCTAATGAATAGGTTTTAACTACCTTTTTGAATAACATACTCTGAATCAGAAAGAAGAGTAAAACTTTTATTTATGGATTTTAACCAACATATCTTTAAAAGCTTAGTAGACTTATTACAGTTTACATGTAAAAGAATTGGCACCATTAACCTCTATTGCTTTGATTTTTCTAATTTCAGAACATCCCAAGATGGGCCAAACTTTACCACTAACAGAAATATGTTTAGGTAAGGAAAAGGAAGGATGCCTTTGTTTAGTCTTTTCTTTAAAGGAAGCTTTCTGGGAAGTAAAATGCAGTTTAAATCTTTCTTTTGTTTTACACAAAATAACATACTTGTTTGGGATGGATGAAGGATATACTTTTTTTTTTCTTGGAGACAGTCTCCCTCTGTTGCCAGGCTGGAGTGCAGTGGCATGATCTTGGCTCACTGCAACCTTCCCCTCCCAGGTTCAAGCAATTCTCCTGCCTCAGCTCCCAAGTATCTGGAATTACAGGTGCATACCACCACACCCAGCTAATTTTTGCATTTTTAGTAGAGATGGGGTTTCACCATGTTGGCCAGGCTGGTCTCGAACCCCTGGCCTCAAGTGGTCCACCTGCCTTGGCCTCCCAAAGTGCTTGAATTACAGCCATGAGCCGCTGCACTCGGCCTACCTTCTTTTTTTAATGTGGGAGATGGACTACCAGGAGTGAAGGCACATTTTCAGTTTTAGAAAACTGTTTATGTCAAAGTTGAAGAATAGAAAATAGATTCCTTAAAAAATATCCATGCACTGTTACCTCTTGGCATATCTTTGAATGTGACATTTTGAAGACCATTAAACTAATCTATATCCTTTGAAGAAATCTCTTTTTTCCCCTGAAGATAGCCAGAATCTGTTTGTTTGCTTATAACCAAAGATAGTTACCTATTAATCCCATATTTAGCCTTCTTAGCCTCCCAGAGCTCCTTCCTAATACCCAGGATTATGGGTCATCAGTTCTGTCCATGATAACCTTAAGCCAAAGCTCAAGATATTGGTCTTTCCTCCATACCCTACATCAACATCTATGCACAGTTTACTTTCTTGGATTTTCCTGATGGAAGTAGTAACAAGAGTTAACACAAAAGAAGTAATAACATTTTTTTTTACTTTAAAAAGGCATCTCTTTAAAAAAGCGGCCTGTCAGGGACTTATTTGTAGTGAAAATAAGGAATTTTTCTGTATTTTCTAGGAAAAATACAGAAAAATCCAAGAAAGTAAACTGTGCAGAGATGTTGACTCACAAGGTGAATGATCTCTGCATTTCCAACTGAGGTACCAGGTTCATCTCATTGGGACTGGTTAGACAGTAGGTACAGCCCAAGGAGGACAAGCCAAAGCAGTGTGGGGTATCACCTCACGTGAGAAGTGCAAGAGGCCAGAGAACTCCCTCTCCTAGCCAAGTGAAGCCATTAGGGACTTATCCTGACACTCCAGCACTCTGGATCAGATACTGTGCTTTTCCCACGGTCTTCACAACCTGCAGACCAGGAGATTCCCTTCGGTGCCTACACCACCAATGCCCCGGGTTTCCAGCACAAACCTGGTTGGCCATTTTAGCCACAGCATTTTTTTTCTCTCATACCCCAGTGGTGCCTAGAACAGCAGTGAGACAGAACTGCTCATTTCCCTGAAAAAGGGGGCTGAAGCCAGGGAGCCAAGTGATCTGGCTTGGCAGGTCCTACCCCCATGAAGACCAGAAAGCTAAGATCCACTGGCTTGAAATTCTCGCAGCCAGCACAGCAGTCTGACCTGGACCTGGGAGGTTTGAGCTTGGTTGGGGGAGGGGTGTCTCCCATTGCTGAGGCTTGGGTAGGCGGTTTTAACCTTGCCTGTGTAAGCAAAGTCACTGGGAAGTTTACACAGCAACTGGGTGGAGCCCATGGCAGCTCAGCAAGGCCTCTGCCGGAAGACTGTCACTAGATTTCCTTCTTGCTAAGCAGGGCATCTCTTTAAAAAGACAGCAGCCTGTCAGGGACTTATAAATAAGTCCAGGATCAGACAGGTTCACAGCCAAATTCTACCAGAGATACAAAGAGCAGCTGGTACCATTCCTTCTGAAACTATTCTAAACAATGAAAAAAGAGGGACTCCTCCCTAACTCATTTTATGAGACCAACATCATCCTGATACCAAAACCGGGCAGAGACGCAACCAAAAAAGAAAATTTCAGGCCAATATCCATGCATGATGAACACTGATGCGAAAATCCTCAATAAAATACTGGCAAACTGAATCCAACAGCACATCAAAAAGTTTGTCTGTCATGATCAAGTTGGCTTCATCTCTGGTTGATGAAGCAAGGCTGGTTCCATATATGCAAATCTATAAACGTAATCCATCACATAAACAGAACCAAAGACAAAACCCACATGATTATCTCAGTTGATGCAGAGAAGGCCTTCAACAAAATTTAACAGCACTTTATGCTAAAAACTCTCAATAAACTTGGTATTGATGGAATGTATCTCAAAATAAGAGCTATTTATGACAAACACACAGCCAATATCATACTGAATAGGCAAAACTAGAAGCATTCACTCTGAAAACAGGCACAAGACAAGGATGCCCTCTCTCACCACTCCTATTCAACGTAGTATTAGAAGTTCTGGCCGGGGCAACCAGGCAAGAAAAAGAAATAAAGCGTATTCAGTTAGGAAAAGTGGAAGTCAAATTGTCTCTATTTGCAGATGACATGATTGTATATTTAGAAGACCCCATCATCTCAGCCCAAAATCTCCTTAAGCTGATAAGCAACTTCAGCAAAGTCTCAGGAAACAAAATCATGTGCAAAAATCACAAGCATTTCTATACACCAATAACAGACAAACAGAGAGCCAAATCATGAGTGAACTCCCACTCAAAATTGCTACAAAAATAAAATACCTAGGAATACAACAAACAAGGGATGTGAAGGACCTCTTCAAGGAGAACTACAAACCACTGCTCAAGGAAATAAGAGAGGACACAACAGATAGAAAAACATTCCATGCTCATGGTTAGGAAGAATCAATACTGTGAAAACGGCCATACTGCCCAAAGTAATTTATAGATTCAATGCTATCCCCATCAAACTACCACTGACTTTCTTCACAGAATTGAAAAAAACCACCTTAAATTTCATATGGAACCAAAAAAGAGCCCACATAGCCAAGACAATCCTAAGCAAAAAAAAAAAACAAAACAAACAAACAAACAAACAGCTGGAGGCATCACACTACCTGATTTCAAACTAGATTACAAGCCTACAGTAATCAAAAGAGCATGATCCGGTACCAAAGCAGAGATACAGACCAATGGAACAGAACAGGGGCCTCAGAAATAACGTCACATATTTACAACCATCTGATCTTTGACAAATCTGACAAAAACAAGCAATGGGGAAAGGATTCCCTATTTAATAAATGAGGATGAGAAAACTGGCTAGCTAAATGCAGAAAGCTGAAACTGGATCCCTTCCTTACACCTTTACAAAAATTAACTCCAGATGGATTAAAGATTTAAACATAAGACCTAACATCATAAAAACCCTAGAAGAAAACCTAGGCAATACCATTCAGGACACAGAGATGGGCAAGGACTTCATGACTAAAACACCAAATGCAATGGCAACGAAAGCCAAAGAAGACAAATGAGATCTAATTAAAGAGCTTCTGTACAGCAAAAGAAGCTATCATTAGAGTGAACCAGCACCAAAGAGAATGGGAAAAACTTTTTGCAATCTACTCGTCTGACAAAGAGCTAACATCCAGAATCTACAAAGAACTTAAATTTACAAGAAAAAAACAACCCCATCAAAAAGTGGGTGAAGGATATGAACAGACACTTCTCAAAAGAAGACATTTATGCAGCTAACAAACATGAAAAAAAGCTCATCATCACTGGTCATTAGAGAAATGCAAATCAACACCACATTGAGATACCATCTCATGCCAGTTAGAATGGCGATCATTAAAAAATCAGGAGACAACAGATGCTGGAGAGGATGTGGAGAAATAGGAATGCTTTTACACTATTGGTGGGAGTACAAATTAGTTCAACCATTATGGAAGACAGAGTGGTGATTCCTCAAAGATCTAGAAATAGAAATACCATTTGATCCAGCGATCCCAATACTGGGTATATATCCAAAGGATTATAAATCATTCTATTATAAAGACACATGCACACATGTTTATTGTGGCACTGTTCACAATAGCAAAGACATGTAACCAACCCAAATGTCCATCAACGATAGACTGGATAAAGAAAATGTGGCACATATACACCATGGAATACTATGCAGCCATAAAAAACGATGAGTTCACATCCTTTGCAGGGACATGGATAAAGCTTGTGTCAGTTTGCCAAGTATGAAACCATCGTTCTCAGCAAACTGTCACAAGAACTGAAAACCAAAGACTGTATGTTCTGACTCAAGCGGGTGTTGAACAGTGAGAACACAGACACAGGGAGGGGAACCTCACACACCAGGGCCTGTCAGGGGGTGGGGGGACAGAGGAGGGATAGCATTAGGAGAGATATGTAATGTAGATGATGGGGTGATGGATGCAGCAAACCACCATGGCACGTATATACCTATGTCTAACAAACATGCATTTGCACACGTACCCCAAAACTTAAAGTATAATAAAAAAAAAGAAAGTAACTTCACTTACATTTACTACATAAAAAATTCTAATGTCAGACAGATTATTTTCTATATAAGCACTTCCCGGCCAGGTGCGGTGGCTCACGCCTGTAATCCCAGCACTTTGGGAGGCCGAGGCGGGTGGATCACGAGGTCAAGAGATCGAGACCATCCTGGTCAACATGGTGAAACCCCGTCTCTACTAAAAAATACAAAAAATTAGCTGGGCATGGTGGCGCATGCCTGTAATCCCAGCTACTCAGGAGGCTGAGGCAGGAGAATTGCCTGAACCCAGAAGGCGGAGGTTGCGGTGAGCCGAGACCGCGCCATTGCACTCCAGCCTGGGCAACAAGAGCAAAACTCCGTCTCAAAAAAAAAAAAAAAAAAAAAAAAGCACTTCCCAAACTAGTGATTTAAAAATGCTGTTATAGAGCTGTTAATAGAAGTTTGGAAAAACCCAAACAGTTTTTCACAAATTTCTTTAGCTTATAGATAAATTTAAATGTATTTTTTTTTAAACTTTAGGGCATCTGAGAAAATTTAATTTTCTAACAGGTATTATAAATCACCAAGAGAGCATTTAACATTAACAAAAGATTTGACCTTTTGTTCTCTGAGTACTAAGCATCTTTTTGGTAATCCCCGAGTCAATTTGGGAACTGGGTTATATGATGAGAAAAGGATCAGTCCATTGGTCTTTCCCACTTTTTTCTCTTGAAAGAAATCCTGAGTGTCTGTTTCTAAGGCACATTGCCTGACTTCATAAATGGCTCATGTAGAGAGAGCAATGTCGAGAAAGAATGTCACCTATATTTCAGAAGTGGTTGAGGAATATGAGCTGTTTTGCCTTTACACTGCAATATCTTGGTTCTGTGCAGCAATGGCGAGGGAGGGTGGAGCTGTGTTTGCAGCTGGGCAGTACTGAGTCTTCTCTAGGTCCCTTCGGTCTCTGTTCCAGCGGCAACTCTTACCTCTTCATCTGCTGTTCATGGTCTCAGCTGGTGCCTCCTTCAATGAAAGCTGAAGAGTGCTAGGGTAAATGGGAAACCAAGTACCTCTTATGTATTAATTCAGTTACCTATGCTAAGCTTGAGAAGGAGACACGTGGAACAACTAAACCACACAGACTTTGTGAGGGGGATTGTAATTGAGCTCAAACACTGTCGTATGCCCATGTGTGGATTTTCCTCATTCTAGAAGGCTGAGGAATAATCATAATTAAAAATTGACATTCACAGTAGCTCCTGAAGACCTTTTTTTTTTTTTTTTTTTTTTTTTTTTTTCTAGCTGAGTCCACTGAAAACTCCCTGTGGAGTACAAAGGAAGCAGGTCTTTCCCTCCCTCCCTCCTTTCTTCCTTCGAGACAGAGTCTCTCTGTCACCTAGGCTACAGTACAGTGGCACGATCTTGGCTCACTGCAACCTCCACCTCCTAGGCTCAAGCAATTCTCCTGCCTTAGCCTCCTGAGTACTTGGGAGTACAGGAGCCCGCCTAATTTTTTTGCATTTTTAGTAGAGGTGGGGGTTTGCCATGTTGGCCAGGCTGGTCTCTAACTCCTGACCTCAGGTGATCCACCCATCTCAGCCTCCCAAAGTGCTGGATTACAGGTGTGAGCCAGCGCAAGGTATTTTGTTTTCCATTTTAGAAAAGTTAAAACTGTCTTTGTGCTGTGTGACATTAGGATAATTGTGTACACAGGCCTATCTGCTTATTATTAATCAATTAATCAGGTTAGTAGTCACTCAGGATATAGTCTTTACTCATAATCATGTCATGGGTGTGGGGAAAGAACAAAGAAGGGGCATTACATGTGCCTTGCCTAACTTCCCAGGGTGACAAATGTTTTTAATTGTCAGAAACACATTAGAACTGTGAAAAGTACATGAAATCAGCCATTTGAGTAGTTCAAGTAGTAGTTCTATTTGTTCTGTGACAATAATACAAAAGATATTTCTTTTTGCCATGAAGATAGAAAAGCATAGCAAAGAAGAACTGAATACTTTGATACAACTCATTTGGCAATGACACTTCAAGTGTCACCTGGTTGCAGAATTTAAGACTCAATTTCCAAGCAATCTGTACCCTTTTTTCCCCAAAGGATGCTACTCTGGTTATGCCTCTGTCTCTTCTATCTCATTCAGCCCAGCCCTGCTGCCACGCTAAAAATATCGTGTTAGAGTACTTGATAACGTAGGGTTAAAGAAAGACGAACTCACTCAATGCAAGCAGCTGACCATGGAAAAACTGCCCAATAAGGGCTGCTGTCACTACAAACCTAGTAAGGAAGAACTCCACATAAGAATTATCCCACATTTGGGAAAGCTTTTTTCAACCTTAAAGAAATTAACCCCTAACCTCTACAAGTAGGCAGGAATATGCAGTAAATTAAAGAACTCACCAAAAGTTACATAGCATGTTAAGAAATGAACCAGGATTTCAGTTTCAATAGGGATGGTTTTCTATATATCAGCTAGTTACTAATCATAAAAATATTCAGATAACAATGCTTTCCACTGAACCTTGAGTAAGTGAAAATGCTTATATTAACCGGTTTCTTTGCAGATGGGAGAACTACCATGACATTAGTCACTATTTTTATGTAATATATAAAAATAATACAAAATACAAATAGTGACCAGGGTCATGGTAGTTCTCCCATCTGCAAGGAAATCAGTTAACAGAAACATTTTCACTTACTATAAAAAATAAGTAAAATGTATTTCATACAAAATACAAATAGGACCTCCTATAAGTGCAGACACTATTCTTTATACATATGAATTATACTGTGGCTTTACACATATTAACTCAATGTTTTTTTTTTTTTTCTGCGACAGAGTGAGACTCTGTCATGGAATGCAGTGGTGCAATCTTGGCTCACTGCAACGTCTGCGTCCCGGGTTCCAGCAATTCTCCTGCCTCAATCTATCGAGTAGCTGGGATTATAGGCATGTACCATCATGCCCAGCACATTTTTGTACTTTTAGTAGGGACGGAGTTTCACCACGTTGGCCAGGCTGGTCTTAAACTCCTGACCTCAGGTGATCCGCCCATCTTGGCCTCCCAAAGTGCTGGGATTATAGGCGTGAGCCACTGCCTCAATTAATTCTCACAGCCACCTCTGAAGCAGGTACTGTTATCATTTCCATTTTATAGAAAAGGGGATTGGGGTACCAAGAGGTTAATTAAAAGCTGCCCAAGGTCACCACAGGTAGTAACTGACAGAGCTAGGAGCACGAACCTGGTGGTCTGGTTGCCAAGTGTATGCTCTGGAGTATTAACCGAGGAAAGACAGACGGCTATGCCCCTTACCTGATAGAGGCTGACGTACTGTTTCCGCAGCCACTGCTGTCTTTGGTCAGGGAATTTCCTCATCTTTCTCACAGATCTAGTGAGTTCCAACAATCCACTGAAGAGCATTTTAGCTGTGTGCTTTGGTGCCACAAAGTGCAATAATCTATTGTCCGTGGTCTGAAGCCCATAGAGCAGTGTCACGCCAGTCTCTGACAGAAACATGCTACCCAGTTTGTTCTGAACACACACAGTGTGTATATCAATGCCAGGGTGGCCCATGTATACAGCCTTCACTGCAAAAAGATCCAAGACCCCTTCTGTCAGGCCACTTAACCCAGCATTGCCCAGGAGTGGGAATTTTCCAGGCTCAGCTGTGTTATTAAGTACGCCAAGTTTTGCTTTAGTGCTGGCTAGGGAGGCAGTTGTGGGCTTTACCCAGGTCAAGGTGCTGTTGTCGGGCTGAAGCTGGAGGAAGCAGCGGGCAGAGAGGTGTGTGTCCTGATCGTAGTGGATGACCGTGGCCCCCTGCAGCAGGAACTGGTGCACGTCGGCTTGAATGGACAGCACGTACCATGGAATGAGCTCTGTCCCATGGTCGAAGGCCTTCTGTGAGTCCTCTGAACCATGAGAGTCATATTCTTTGGATTGCTCAAAGATGTCACTGTCTGAATCCAACAAATCTCCAATTATAAACCTGAAGAAAAGAGACCAGTTTGGTTTGTCTTATAATCAAAAGTGTGAACAACCCAAAGTCATTTTCACTGACACTGGACTTTATTTTTCATCGCACTATGAATTCAAATTAGCATAGGAAATACAAAATACTAAATAGCACACAGTAACTTTTAATAACTGAGGCTGGGTGTGGTGGCTCATGCCTGTAACCCCAGCACTTTGGGCGGCCGAGGAGGGTGGAACACTTGAGGCCAGTGGTTCAAGACCAGCCTGGTCAACAGAGTGAAACCCCATCTCTACTAAAAATACAAAAATCAGCCAGGCATGGTGGCGTATGCCTGTAGTCCCAGCTACTTGAGAGGCTGAGGCAGGAGAATTGCTTGAACCTGGAAGGCGGAGGTTGCAGTGAGCCGAGATTGTGCCATTGCAATCCAGCCTGGGCTACAGAGTGAGACACCATCTCAGAAAAGGAAAATTTGAGTAACTTTTTACAACTGTATTCTAATATTCTTTATAACTGTATTATCTTTAGCAAGGTATCTGACCATAAGCACAAGAAAGCAACTACTAGATGACCTATTGTATTTTTATTCTTAACAATAATAATCTTCATTACATATTAGTTTTCCTGCTTGTGTCAGGAACTGTGTTCAATACTTTATGCACATTTTTGTACTAAATTCAGTCTATGTGCAAGGTAAGTTTTATTATTCTTTTTCTACCTATGAGGAAACTGAGATTCAGAAAGGGAAAGTAATTTGCTCAAGGTAGCTCATCTCAGAAGAGGCCAAGCTAAGGTGAGAGATTTTGGTCTAACTTTATAGCCTGGGATCTTCATTGTTAGGCTTGTTTGCATTCAATTAAATCATAAACAAAAGTCATGATCTGAAGATACTGGGGCTAAAATAGGAAAAAACAAGAATTAATAGGCTGGCTTGAGATGTATCTCTGTTAAAAATAAAGTACAATTAGTTCAAAGATACTCCTTGGAAAGTAGGCAGATTTCTTGAGCCCAGAAGTTTGAGTCCAGGCTGGGCAACCTGGTGAGACCCCATTTCTACAAAAAATACAAATGTTAGCTGAGTATGGTGGCATGCCTATAGTCCCAGCTACTCAAGAAGCTCAGGTGAGAGGATTGTCGGAGCCCAGGAGGTGGAGTCTACAGTGAGCTAAGGCGGAACCATTGCACTCCAGCCTGGGCAACAGAGCAAGACCTTGTCTCAAAAAATAAAAAATAAATAAATCTTTAAAAGGACATTCCTTGGGAAATATGGTAATGGTGGCCAGATAAGCAAGACAGTTTTCCTGGACTCAGCCTTAGATTTTTTACTGTGTGCGTGTGTGTAGGTGTACACAGAAAAGGCTAGTCTGCATAGAAAATTTAGCATGTTCCCTCCACTGAGTCAGGAATCTGGATTATTTGAGCCAGGAGGATCAGGGAGCAGTGAAGGCAAGGGATTGCTCCTTTTCTACATGGCCACCTTGACAGGAACCTGCCCAAGAGTCTCATTCTTTACAAAGCATAGGAAAAGGTAAGACAAAGGTTTCTGCTGTTTCGTCCACAGACATTACTAGCAAAGTGGTGGGTAAAACTGTGAAGGAGCTGGTGTATAGGCTGTTCCACGTGTCTCTGGGAAAGAGGACCCTCATGCTCAGGATACACTTGGGCCACCTACTCCTCCTGATGAGGCAACAACAGTAGCATGGGGCTTGGTGATGCTCCTCAGTTTAGACTGTGGCCCCTGAATAAGATTACCATTCTTGCTTTCAAACAGCAGGTCCTACCTCCTTGCCCCACACAGTGGATATTCTTTCTTAAAAAAAGAAATATTGAATTGTAGTGTCTCACAAATCTGATGGTCAGAAAATCCATTTCAGTGGCCCATACCAGAAACAACCGAAAGTCCAGCAACAATAAAGTTGATTTTGTATCTAAATACATAGAATTTGGTGTATTCATGCAACGTAATTCTGTACAGCAATGAAAATGAGTAAACAACAACTACATAGAACACCACAAAGTTTAAGCAGGACACACAAGAATGCATATGGCATGTATTTGTGACACAGAAATACATACATATAAGTAAATGTCGGTTTCAAAACCAGGCAAAACTATACTGTACTATTTAAGAATGCATATGGGTAGAAAAACTACAAAGAAAGACAGGATGTTGTAAAACTTGTAATAGTTTTTTTTCTAGGGGAAAGCTGGAAACATAATTGGGAAGGGAAATAAGAAGTTTAGAAATGGTGGCAATGTTCTAACCCTGGGTGCTAGCTATAGTCATTCACTTGATGATTATTCAAACATATTTTCTGATAAATGGTTTATTTTAGAACAGTTTTAGACTTATAGAAAATTGCAAAGACAGTATACCTTACACAAAGTTTTCCCTATTAATATCTTACATTAGTCTGGTATACGTGTCATAATTCATGAACAAATCCTAACACATTATTTCTAAGGGTCATACTTTATTCAGATTTTCTTAGTTTTTACCTAGTGTCCTTTTTCCTCTTCCAGGGTCGCCCATTACATTTACTTGTGAGGTCTCTTTAGGCTCCTCTTGACTATGACAGTTTCTCCTTGTTTTAGATGCTCTTGACAGTTTGGAGGAGTACTGCTCGCATATTTTGTGGAAGGTGCCTCAATTAGGACTTGCCTGATACTTTTCCCAGAAGTAGATGCAGGTTATGGATTTGGGGAAGGAAGACCATAGAGGTAAAGTGTAATTCTTATCACTTCATATTGAGGGAACCTCCTACCAACCAACATGACTTCTCCCTGACGATATTGACATTGATCACCTGGCTGAGGCCCTGTGTGTCATGTGCCACTGTATACTTACTATTGTTACTTTTAACTCATTTTCATACTCTACTCTTTGGAAAAAAGTCACCATGCCCAGATCACTCTGAAGGAGTGAGAAGTTATGTTGCACCTCCTTGAGGATGAAGAATCTACCTATTTGAAATTCTTTTGCACAGAAGATGTATCTCTTCTCCCCCATTTGTTAATTTATTGTTTACACATATCATTTACTTTTGTCAGTATGAGCTCATGAATATTAATACTTTGGGTGATTTATGATACCGCTTTAATTATTTTGTTGCTGTGGCAATTGGGAGCTCTCCTGTTGGCTCTTGTATTCCTTTCACATATTCCCATCACCCTGTGTGTTTTCTTTTGAGCACTTCCTTACTACAAGATGCTCCAGGCTCATCTTGTGTATTTTCTGTCCCAGTCCTAGAATCAGCCATTCTAGGAGAAACCTTGCCTCCCTTTATTAGAAACCAAGATCTGGCCAGGTGCAGTGGCTCACACCTGTAATCCCAGCACTTTGGGAGGCCAAGACAGGTGGATCTCTTGATGCCAGAAGTTCAAGACTAGCCTGCCCAACGTGGTAAAACCCCATCTCTATTAAAAATGCAACAATTAGCTGGCATGGTGGCAGGCGCCTGTAGTCCCAGCTACTTGGGAGGCTGAGGCACAAGAATTGTTAGAACCCGGGAGGCTGAGGTTGCAGTGAGCTGGCATTGTGCCACTGCATTCTGGCCTGGGCAACAGAACAAGACTTTTTCTCAAAAAAAAAAAAAAAAAAAATCAAGATATGGGATTACATATTTTATGCCCTTTTCCCAACGTTATTCCATAATAAAAAGTGAAAAAAGAAAAAATTCGTTTGTGTTGTATTTAGCTCCATCCCTCTGAAACTGCTCTCAGTAACATTGGGAAACCGAAACTTATGTCCTCTTACACAACAGCTTCATATATGCCTGCTGCAGTCACCCTGGGTTTAATGTTAAATGTCACCTGTTTACTGTGTGACCTTGTCAAAACACTCAACCTCTCTGGGTCTCACTATTAAATGGCAAAAAGACAGTGCTCATCTCACAGAAGGATGATGAAGATCAAATAAAGTAACAATTGGAAAGCACTCAGCACAGCGCCTGGCTAGGTAAAGTACACTCATTAAATACAGGAAGACCAAGGTTTCATTCCTTGCGCTTTTCCTTTCCCGCTTCCTCTTCTCTAGGCTACCACAGCCCATCTGCTCCTCTAGAGGGGCTTTCTTTTCGGACCATTTCCACATTCCCCATGTCCTACTACTTGTTGTTTTAAGAGTAAAAGGATTCAATTGGTGAGTATTAGTACCCAGTAAAATACAACATATAAATTTGGACATAGAACTTCAGATTTTAATTTAGCAAGATAAATGGTGTTTTCCATATTCCTTTTAAGTTCTGAGTTAAGTCAAGCATGTTCCAGTGAAAAACTACAAGCATTTTAAAAAATAGTGTCTGGAAAAGAAAAATCGTAAGCCTTTTCTGGAGCCTGTTTCTGCTGCTCAGAGATGATGTAAGCTGGGAGAGAGGGGACGCTGTCTTTCTTGGCATCAGTTTTTATTTTAGAATGCAAAAAAAACTAATGCCAGCTGGTAATAATTCCATTAAAATGCAATCTTCCAGAGACTAATGCTCAAAATAAAATTGACAATTGTTTGTAATGAAATAAGTTCATTTTGAGCAGGAAGCTTGTAGCTTTTGTCTATTAGATGACATAGTGACTGTTATGCAATTTTGTGCCTGATTCTCTTAGAAGATAATTTCCTGTGAGTTTACAAGAAGGGATAAGGTAGAATGTTAGGAGTCATTTAGGAACTAAATAATGTTAACCAAAGATCAAAGATATGGTTTACCAGTAAAAAACCTACCTTGTCAAACTTAGGTTGTATGTCTTAAGGAGAGGACCAAGGAGTAAAAACAGAAGAAAGGTGTTTATCCTCCTCCTAAAGAGCTTCCATGGTATCCTTCAGTTAGAAACCATAAATAGACAGTCTTGTCTAATGTTCCCTGATGAAAATTTTATATTGGGTGATCAACAGGTATTTGTTAACCTGGTTAAATATTTCCTTTGTAAGCATTCATTTGCCTCCTGCAAATTTAACATAATCTCTTGAACATGAATCACCAAGTGATAAACAAGCCTAAATTAAAATTTTTAAAGGTAGAAGTAAATCTATGTCCTTTCCAAAGGACTTGCTACAGCTGTTATCTCTAATAAAATCTTGTGTTTTTAATGCTCTCTTCTGGAAAATTATTGCTTTTAATTAACCTAGCACCTTCCTTGACTATAAGCATTCTCTGATTATATCTGAGCAGTTTGTTGGTTTTGGAACCAGCCTGCCCGAATTTAAATCCTGGCCCTCCTGGCTGTGAGAGTAAAATGGAACTGTTAAGATTAAATCATTTAATATATGGAAAGAATTTAGGGCAGTGTTTGCTTAAACATAGGCTCTCAATACATATTAGCATCTTAAATATCGTTAATATTATTGCTGTCTGGCTTGCATTTACTAAGTTAGTATTGTAGAACAAAGCCATCAATACAAACGGAGCTTCTCTGTAAAAACGATATCCAAGTTTCAAGTTGGGATTTAAGTGAGAAACAAGCCTAAGGTGAACGTTGTGCAGGCAGTGGGTAAATGGCCTTCTTTGTTACAAATCACAGAAGCAAGATGGGTCTGAGGTGTTGGCCAAAGAAGCAGAAAGAGAGAAATACAGGATCCCAGGTATTCCCAGCAAAGCTGGGGAGTGAGACTGTAGGAAGGTCTGGGCTGGGCTGAGGCAGCTGGAGCAGATAAAGGGCGTTGTGAGTTGGGGGTTGGTAAGGCTGAGGCCTGTCTGCATCTTTCGCAGTGAAGAATAACTGATTTCCTATCCTTTTATGATTTGGGGCAATCACATGCGAACTTGTGTACGTGCGGTTAATCCAGGTAACTATTATCTTTTCTCAGGTATTTTACTTTCTTATGCTTAGCTTTTTTTTTCCTATCCCTGTGGGGTTGGATTATCTTCCAGGCATGTCTTTAATGAGGCTACTGGGGTTGAAGGACACAGAAAATAGCTCTTTGCAGTAAGGGAGAGGAGATGACTGAGGGGTACTTCTGAAATGGTGACTGCTGCCAAGAGTGTCCACACCTAAGTGCTGGAGCCGCCTGTATTTGTCTGTTTTCACGCACTTATAAAGAACTGCCTGAGACTGGGTAACTTATAAAGGAAAGGGGTTTAATTAACTCACAGTTCAGCATAGCTGGGGAGGCCTCAGGAAACTTACAATCATGGCGGATGGCGAGGGGGAAGCAAAGCACCTTCTTCACAGGGTGGCAGGAAGGCAAATGAACACAGGAGGAACTACCACCCACTTATAAAACCCTCAGATCTCACGAGAACTCATTATCATGAGCCCAGCATGGGAGAAACTGCCCCTATGATTCAATTACCTCCACCTGGTCTCCCCCTTGACACCTGGGGATTATAACTCAAGATGAGATTTTGGTTGGAGGCACGGCCAAACCATATCACCCTCAGAGGCTCAGCTTGGCATTTTAAGGGTGTGAGGCACACATTAATGACAATAGCCACCATTTATATTGGCACTTAGAAAGTGCTGTGCATTTTTCTTAATTTATATATCTCTCTCACATAATCCTCACAAAAACCCTGTCAAGTAGTATTGTCATTCCCAGTTTACAGATGACAAAACTGAGGCCTCGTAAGATTCAGCTACCTACCTAGGTGACAGAAATAGTAAGTGGTGGTGTCAAAATTCAGTCCCAGGCAATGTGACTGAAAGGTCTGAGTTCTTAATCAGCTCAAACAGCCTCCGTTCTCAGTTTCTGTCATTATCTACTTAGATCTCATTTCTCCAAATGTACAGATCCTTCTTAAGGTGCAGCATGCCAGAGAGGGTCAACAATATTGAAAATGATGACAATAAGAACTTGCAGCTCCTATATGACTCTATACTCTTCTCTATACACCTTAACACTCCGAATTTCCATTTCCCAGCAATGGTGCTGCATGCTACTTTTAGGTCTCCATGCCTTTGTAGGTTTTTAAACACATACCTTTTTAAAAACATGCACAGGCATAGCTTATTTATTCTTTATGCCAGCAAATAAAAAAGTATTTATTAATGAGCATTATAATTCATATGAAATGTAATTGGAATGCTTTCAGAATTCAGATGTTCCTAATCTTCAGGAGTTAGACATAAAAAGAGGGTGAGGTTTAGCCCCTCTACAATCAAAAGAAATGCCTTAAACGTTGCAGGACTAAGGATCATTGCCTGTGACTGAACACATGGTCAGGCTCATGACCCAGCACTAATATTGATTAGTCAGGCAAGTGGTGTCAGCTCACTGGGCACAACTTCTTCATCTGCACAGAAGTTAGACAAGCCTACTTGAAGACCCCATTGACATTTCAAGATTTTCTCAACCCAATTCCCTTCCCTGCCGACATCTTGAAGTTTGTTTTTCGTTGTTGTAGAGACAGGGTTTCACCATGTTGCCCGGGCTGCTCCTGAACTCCTGGACTCAAGTGATCTGCCTGCCTTGGCCTCTCAAAGGGCTGGAATTACAGGCATAAGCCACTGCTACCCAGCAAAAAGAACTCTTGAACTTTTTATAATCACTTTTTGAGATTTCTATGAGTGTTTCCAGTGGTTTTCTGGCAGGAGTAGCTGTGAGGTTTGGGAAGAATTATAAGAGCACCCTGGAGGCGGGGTGAACCAAAGGACCTTGAGATTGTCCTTTCTTTCTTTGCTGTAGTTTTCACAGGGCTGGTGGTTGCCAAGTGAACAGGGGCTGGAGGTTGCTGTTTGTAGAGTCTCTGTTTCAGCCAGATCAACAAAGCATAATTCCTATGGGCTTTTCGATCTGCACGTCTTTGGCACACATAACCCTGTTCTGGACATTTTAACATGGGGCTCTGAATCAGCAATGGATTCCCATGTCCCGGCAGATGGCCACAGAAGTCGTGCTTGCTGATCTGGTTTCAGTGAATTTCGTTAAACAGTCCCGTGACCTATGTTGTGTGTTGAGCTTCCTTTCAGAATAGCAGTCACTTGAGGCAAGGAAGCTATCACTGGTATTTAGGTACACAAGTTTCAAAGTGAGGATTTCAATATGACTTCACAGGTTTTATAAAAGAAATATTTGCATTTTTGTGTTTTTCTCCCCTTCTAAGAGTGCTTGCAGCAGGGTTTGGAAAATGGGCAGAGGAAGAGAAATGTTCTTAGGATGTAGATGATAAAATCATTAGGAAGAAGACAAGAGACTAAGGAGAAAATTAGAAACAAAAATTTCGTAACAGGTGATGAAATGATGCAAGAAATTTATCAGCTGAAGGAACCTCAAGGGAAAGGAAAGGATAGTCTAGGGTCTGAGACTCAGTAAAAGTGGCAGTCCTGAAGGTATTTTAGAAAGGTTGAATGACATATACACATGCACAAACATCACACAGCCCCAGATGAAGGTTATTGTAAAAAGAGCCATGTGAAATTCATTATTTTATCTACTCCTATATGATGTATCCTAGCCTTGATAGTAGGATTTAAGGAAGAAATTTCAGCCAGATCCCAGTATGAGGAAAAGGCATTCTTTTCCCAAACATCTGTTTAATCTTTCTTACAAATATTGTGAAACCTATAATGAATTGTGATTTCCTCTCTCCTTTGACTGCTAAGAATCTCAGCACAAAATTGAGTCACTGTGTAGACTATATAGTACACATTTTTGTATGTTTGGCTTTCTCCTATCCTTATTTTTCTTTTCTTTAATATCCGCAATTATTCATATTTATTCTATAAGCATCTAGAAAATCTTTTGGTGAAAGAAATAGATATTTACCTAGATACTGAGAAAGAGAGAGAGAGCGATTAAGAACTTAAATGGCTCTGAGAGGCTTCCTCTGCAGATGTGCTTATTTGTAGATGGTCTTCTCTCTACATGTAGTTTGCCACTAATGTCAGCAACCTGCTAAGTGAAAAATCTTTGAAATAATCTGAGCAACTGGAAGGAATGAACAATTAAAAATCTGCAGATTCCTTGTGTGTGTAGGGTTAATTTTAACACACCTCACAGAGCACTGTTTCTCAAAGTGACACCCTTAATTGTCAACTCAGAATCACCCAGAGTTTGGGAGAGCTAAAAATATTGACTTCTAGGTATCACCTAGACCTAACTAAATTAGTAGATTTGATTTAAAAATATCTTAATACCCACCCAAGAATTAATAAAACCCACTGTTAGAAAACTAGGAAATAAAAGATCACAGCTCTCCTCCTGAAATTTAATGTGTTGACTTCTTAGAAATGGCAGGATAGCTCTAGGTCTGTTTTTTTTTTAAAGAGGTAATAAGTTGTAAGAAGTTAAATTATAAGCAGTAATTTTAGAGCAAAGCAGCAAAATAAGAAAGATAAATTCGAATTTGGACTTGGTAAGGTTTGACAATAAAGAAGTATGGCTTAATGATAAAAGTGGCAGGTTTTGATGAGGTGTCCATCTGAAACTAAGCTGAAGTAGGAAACGACTCATCAACAGGAAAAAAGAAGACGTGGGCATTCCCCACTTTAAAGTGTAAAACTTACTGCCATCGGGTTTTGTCCTTCAAGGAACTTTTCCTGGAGCTGTTCCCTTCACTGGGGCTGTCCTCCTCCTCTGTCTCCAGACTTCGGCTGCAGCTCCGGATGACCTGGAAGATGCTGTTGACAGTGGACTCCTTCTCCGAATTCCTTAAGCCATTTTGTCCCACTCGTTGTAAGAAATTATCTTGTCCACTGTAATCTGCCACAAACTACAGAAAAATATATCGAGAATTTGCTATTGCAATTTAATATGCCTGGACAACCTACTTGGCTGGGAAACGAAATCATAAAGTAATAAATAATGGCATTTGTGCCTATTTTATGGGAAAGAAAACAAGAGCCTCCAGGAAAAACATTTTTTCATTTCACCACATGAAATATCAAAACTCACCCTTGTTTCCACTGAGACAACTTTAATCCCTCTAGGAATCGACACTCACATTTAAAACACCAAAAGCAATATTATTCCAGGGTTCCCTAAGGAGAAGATTAGCCACTTTGCAGAGGAAGGGCATGGTTATTTTATCCTTGTAGTGAGAACTGAGAAAAACCATGAGTAAAGTATGCTATTCTACAGAACCAGATAAAATGACTGGGCCCAAGCAAAACACTGAGAAGAGGTGATGTTTTGCTTTACTGCTCGTGTCCTATAACAACACAGTGGCTTCTTCCTGGCTTTTAAGCTCTTTTTGTTTGTACAGTTGATCCAGAAGCTTCTCGCATCAGAGGTGAGAGCTGTGCCTGGGATAAGAGATGTGGAGTGAGGGGTGTGGCCTGGGAGGCTTCCTTTAAGCTTCCTTCTCCATTTCTTGCCATTTTATCCCAGCTCATAACCCAGAGAGATGCCGGCGGTGTTGCCTGTACCTGTCAGGGGCTCTGAAGTCTTCCTGATATCAGGTGATGCCTTTGCTCCCAGGTGACACAGAAGAGGCTGAAGGTTGAGGAGAGTCTTCCCACTTCCATGGAGAAGGTGTGTGCATGACTCTCTCTCTGTGTGTGTGTGTGTGTGTGTGTGTGTGAAAGGTCAATAGTGTGTGTGTGTGTGTGTGAAAGGTCAATTCCATCATCATGGCAGGAATGATACTAGATTGGGGTTTGGTCCCAGGGAAAGAACTTCCCAAAATCTCCATAAAGCTTTTTCCATTTAGTCGCTTCTTTCATTTTAAAACACCTTAGAGAAAAGTTTCCTTCTCATTTCCCTCCAGTTTGTCAATCCCCCTTCTCTCCAATGCCCGATGCCCTGGATCAAAGCTCACACCATCCCTTCCACTTTGGGAATCAGGAAAAGGAGGCAACGGGTTTGGAAGGAACAAGGCCCCAGGAATCAGGAGCCCGGAGCTTGTCTCTAGATGAGGCTCCAGGCTCCCCAGCATCTTTCTACAAGGGATGGAAAGGAGGCAGTGTTGACTTCCCCTCTTTTTCTTCCACTGATGTGGAAAACTTAATACACTCATTGACTTTCTTTACTCCCTGCATCCAGACATTCCCACCCAATAAGAAAAACCTGTCAATCCTTGAAAAAAAAATCTAAAACAACCACCTTTTCAACTTGTACTTATACATTAAGCCTAAAACATTAAAATTAACTTCACAGGCCGGGCGTGGTGGCTCATATCTGTAATCCCAGCTCTTTGGGAGGTTGAGGCAGGTGGATCACCTGAGGTCAGGAGTTCAAGACCAGCCTGACCAACATAGTGAAACGCTGTCTCTACTAAAAATACAAAATTAGCCAGGTGTGGTGGTGCATGCCTGTAATCCCAGCTACTCAGGAGGCTGATGCAGGAAAATTGCCTGAACCTGGGAGGCGGAGGTTGCGGTGAGCGGAGATCCCACCATTGCACTCCAGCCTGGGCAACAAGAGAAAAACTGTGCCTCAAAACAAACAGACAAACAAAACAAACAAAAAACTGACCGCAATACTATGCCCCACACAGTGCTAGCTGGCATTGTTTTCTTCAGAACATCCACGGATCTATGTGCCACCCAGAAACAGTAATAACAACTGTTAACCCTGTGTTCAATCAGTGATCATTTCTTTAGTGGGCACAGGCGGGGCCTGATGAAACAGACGGCAACAGTGGCTCCTCAAGCCACGATGATTCCGAAAGGCCTTACCTCTAAAGTTTCTTCTCGGGAATTGTACCGCGGGCAAAGCTTCATGAGGCCGGAGGCACCATCGAGCACTTCACAGAGCTCCTTCAGAAACACCCCACAGAACGGAACCACTTTACAGCCAGGGATGTGCAGGGCACGCGTCACCACCTTTCTGTACTCACAAGAGGACTCATGCTGGGCCATAGTGTCCTTCAGGCCCCTCATGGTCTCAATATCAGACTGGTCCATAAACTGCCACATTTTTAAAACTTTTCTTGACCTATTGCAAATAAATGACATTTTTTAGTCTGAAGGAGGAACAATATAGTTTACAGCAAGGAGCCTAAATTCCATACAAATTCATTCTTTTTGTTAATTTTTTTTTTAAGGTGGGGTCTCGCTCTGTTGCTCAGGCTGGAGTGCAGTGGTGCGATCTCAGCTCATTGCAACCTCTGCCTCCAAGGTTCAAGCAATTCTCCTGCCTCAGCCTCCCCAGTAGCTGGGACTACAGGTGTGTGCGACCATGACTGGCTAATTTTTGTAGTTTTAGTAGAGATGGGGTTTTGCCATGTTGGCCAGGCTGGTCTCGAACTCCTGACCTCAGGTGATCTACCCGCTTCGGCCTCCCAAAGTGCTGGGATTACAGGCGTGAACCACCACACCCGGCCCCAAGTGTTCTTTACTTGTTAATATTTATGTAGGGTTCCTATCCCCATTGACTTCCCCAGATAATATGAATAATACTTTTGTAAATTGAAACTAAAAATTAAATAGGACAGATACAAAGAAAAATAAGCATATGGAACACGTTAGTTATGGAAGCTGGGCACTGAATGCAGGTTTGAGTTTTTCTGGCAGCTATGGCCAAAAGGAGAAAGCAGAGGGTAATATGGTTTGTACAAATATTGATGGAGGAGGACTGCCTGGGGAACCTGGCCCATCTGGTCCCCTTGATCTTTTAAACATTACTCTTGGATTAAGCCAGTCCCTTAGTGATAAACATAAGACCATTGTTTTCACCTCTTCTGTATAGATTTTTACTGAATCAAGCTTTGACATGAAGCCACCAGTCCATTTTGGGGAACCTTGTAAAGTATTCTTTGCATACCAGGATGTTAAGTGGGACTTTCCCTATTCTGAAACTCCTGGTGAGAAACACAAGTGACATTGCACCACACCTTCTAAAGACAGGCCATTACAAGGTGGTGCCTGAACTGCTCTGCCCAATCTCCTTCTGCCCATGCAGAGGAAGTGGATCTGAGCAGATAGGTTGGGAATATTTCTCCGGGGGGAATTGTGGGAGGGCTCACCTCTCTGTGAGAGGAAGATGTGTAGGGGGTGTTAAGTGAATTCCATGGGGACATTGAACTGTGTCCCGGGCAGCTTGTGGATCACATGGACTGGTACCTGACTCTTGCCTAAAGATTTGAGGCTAGATGGAGCTGCCTGAAAGAGAGAAGATTCCAGTGGACACATCCTCTGCTTGCAGAGTTTGGAGGGCAAAGTGCTGAGTCTTTTCTGTGAGTCAGGAGGGGACAGTGTAGAAAGAGGTGGGGCTTGAACTGTCTTGAAGGGCTTGCCTTCCCAAGGAGGTGACCCTAGCAGAAAGGGTCTGTGAGGACAGGACCCCTGGGGAGTGAGGACTAAGAGGCTGACCAGAGGGTACACTGCATTTCACTAGGTAATTGTGCAGTGGGGAGGTGGGGGAAAGGAGTAGGGTAACTAGTAAGAAAACCTAAAAGCACCCTCCATTGGTCTCTGTGAGGGCACCAAGGTCAGATTTCAACTGCCCCATTAGGTAAGACTCTGTGCTCCCTCTATCCCCATTCTTTCCCCTCTCCTATCCTGTCCACCTGTTTTCTGCAGAGACCCAGTTGAAGAGAAGAGGGAGAAAAAAGATAAACCCTATCTTCCCCATTACTACAAGTCTCTGAGATTGGCTGGGCTGTGAAACATGGGAAAGGGAGGAAAATATTTATTGAATAGAGATTGAAATTTTGATTTACGGTTGGGTGTGGTGGCTCAAGCCTGTAATCTTAGCACTTTCGGAGGCTGAGGCAGGTGGATTGCCTGTGGTCAGGAGTTCAAGACCAGCCTGGGCAACATGGTGAAACCCTGTCTCTACTAAAATACAAAAAATTAGCTGGGTTTGGTGGTGTGCACCTGTAGTCCCAGGTACTCGGGAGGCTCAGGCAGGAGAATCGCTTGAACCCAGGAAGCGGAGGTTGCAGTGAGCCAAGATCACATTACTGCACTCCAGCCTGGGCAACATAGTGAGACTGTGTCTCCAAATATTTTTTTGATTTAGATTAAACTGGATTACAAAATCATTGTGTAATATATAAGGCATCCAAAAGACATAAAGAAGTACAACATGACAACACCCATGTGCCAACCTCTCAGTTTAAAAAATCAAAGATCAACAATGTGGTTGAGGCCCTGGTGTGTTCCTCCAAGAACATGCGCTCTATTCTTCCCTCACCAGACTGGACCACCACTGCGACTTTGGGGTTCTCTTTTCCTTAAAATTCTTCATACTTTTCCAATATGTGCATATATCACTAAGCAAGTTGCAGAATTGTTTGTGCATTTTTAAACTTTATGTAAATAGTATCACATGGTAGATATTCTTAGACCGAGGTCCCTAGTCTATGGGCCACAGACCAGTACTGGTTCACGGCCTGTCAGGAACTGGGCCCCACAGCGTGAGGTGAGCAGCGGCTAAGCAAGCATTACAGCTTGAGCTATGGCAGCCATCAGATCAGCAGGTTCTCATAGGAGCGCAAACTCTACTGTGAACTGTGTGTGTGAGGGATCTAGGTTACATGCTTTTTATGAGAATCTTATGCCTGATGATCTGATGTGGAACAGTTTCATCCAAAACCATCTGCCCCCACTCCCACGTCCCCAGTCTGGAAAAATTGTCTTCCACGAAACTGGTCCCTTGTGTCAAAAAGGCTGGAGATCGCTGTTTTGCTTTTTCCTTTTTAAACACAGCCTTAAGTTTGCAAGATTCATTCATGTTCAAGAGTGTAGGAGAATGAGATAGTGTGTTAACTGTGAAAGTGACTGGAAAAGATCTCACAATGTAGCAGAATCTAAGCTTGCAGGAGGGAGAGCCAGTTGAAAGGTTTGAAAGGCAATCAAGTCAGAAAAGTAAAAGGATTTTATAATTTCATCCCACTAAATCCAGCTTGTCCTATACCTGGCTTCTTATAAGACAGTGAGAATTCTTTTTTGGGGAATGAAGGGGAGGTACAAGAAACGAAGTAAAGGGAAGAATGAGACATGGTTCTCATTGGTCTCTTATTGTGTGAGTAATGTAGTAGTGATGGTTCACTTGGAGACAAAGGGCAAACTCTAGCAAAGATCAATTCTTTATTGCTGAATTGAGAACTGACACTACTTTTAAAAGTTTTATTTCACTTTATGATTATAAAGGGACTAGATACTAATTGTAGAAAATCTGGAAAATATAAAAAATATAGAAAAACCACTTATAATTCTACCATACACAGATATTAGGTATATTTCCTTCCAGCCTTTATCCTATTCTTGTCTACATGGGTATATAAATATTGCTGAGGTTATTAGGGATAGAGAGTTTTGTTCCCAGATAGATTCACGTATTATATGTTACCTGCTTTCCAACTATATAAAAACTTTTTGGGCGGATGCAGTGGCTTATTCCTATAATCCCAGCACTCTGGGAGGCTGAGGCAGGGGAGATCATTTGAGGCCAGGAGTTCCAGACCAGCCCAGGCAACATAGAAAGATCCCATCTCTAAAAAAATGTTAAAAAAATAGCCATTGTGCTTGTGCACTACTGTAGTCCTAGCTGTTTGGAAGCTGAAGTGGGAGGATTGCTTGAGCTCAGGGTAAGAGGTTACGGTGAGCTATGATCCTGCCACTGCACTCCAGCCTGGGTGACAGAGCAAGACCTTATCTCTTTAAAATTTGTTTTTTACCTTATGTCTGTAGTCCTAGCACTTTGGGAGGCTGAGGCGGTGGATGGCTTGAGGTCAGGAGTTCGAGATCAGCCTGGCCAACATGTTGAAACCCTGTCTCTACTAAAAATACAAAAAAATTATCAGGGCATCATAGCAGGTGCCTGTAATCCCAACTACTCAGGAGACTGAGGCAGAAGAATCACTCAAACCTGGGAAGTGGAGGTTGCAGTGAGCTGAGATCACACCACTGCATTCTAGCCTGGGTGACAGAGTAAGACTCTGTTAAAAAGTATTGTTTTGGCCAGGCGCGGTGGCTCACACCTGTAATCCCAGCACTTTGGGAGGCTGAGGTGGGCAGATCATGAGGTCAAGAGATCGAGACCATCCTGGCCAACATGGTAAAACCCTGTCTCTACTAGAAATCCAAAAAAATTAACTGGGCATCGTGGCGTGCATCTGTAGTCCCAGCTACTTGAGAGGCTGAGGCAGGAGAATTGCTTGAACCCAGGAGGCAGAGGTTGCAGTGAGCGGAGGTCGCGCCACTGCACTCCAGCCTGGTGCCTGGTGAGGGAGTGAGACTCTGTCTCAAAAAAAAAAAATCCTTTTTTACAAACATCATTTTTGATGGCTATATAATATTCTATTATCTGGATGTATTACATTATTTCCTTTAACTATTTTCCTATTGTTGTTCATTTGGGTTATTTTAAATTGGCACCATGACTGAGTAAATATTGATAAATCTTTGCACTTCTTACTAGTGGCTTAAAAGAGCTAAGAATTTAGTTAGAGGAAGCAAAATGTACAATGTCTATTAAAAACCAAAGTCACTTAATAACAAGTGTGCTTTCTCTTCCCATTTAATTGCTTAAAAAATAATGCTTATTATATTGATAATAGTTAATTGCTTTCAAGTCTAAAAGTGCACACATAAGCTCTGCCTCCATAATCATTGCATCATAAGAATATCTGGTCACTTACCTCCTGTGTACTGAATAGCTGTGAACAAAAGACCTATTATACCTGGTACTTTTGCCTATCTATCTGTAAAGATCAAGTTAGTTTTAAGCCAAATATAGGAGCATGAAACTAGGCGGCAGTGGGTCTGGGGTGTGAGACAAAATGCACTGGGATCAGTGCTGAGGTCTGTCCTGGTTTGAGATTTAGGGAGATCACCAAGGTCTGTGGTCTTCTTGGATTTTGGATTTAAACTAAGCTGAATCTTAAAGTCCCATTCACTCTAGGGTTCCACAGGTCATTCTGAGGCCATTCTTGTAATAAGAGAATCTAGAACATGGTATGCGGCAGCCAGCCTCCAAGACAGCCTCCCATGGTCCACACCTCCTGGTTTTGTGGCTTTGTACATTCTCTACCCACAAGGAATCCATCTGGTCCTATGTGATCAGTACAATATGGCAGGAGTGACTGTGTGTGATTCCTGAGGCTAGCCCATAAAGGCATTGCAGCCTCTGCCTCCCTCTCTTGGATCATTCACTTTGGAAGGAGCAAGCCACCGTGCTGTGATGACAGTCATGTCATGGGGTCAGGAAGTGAGGTCCCTGGCCAACAGCCATCACCAGCTTGCCAGTCAGACACAGAATGATAAGCATCATTAAAATAAAATGGCCTTATTGAAATACGATCATTCTTTTCTTAAAATAAATGTAATACACATTTTCTTTTTCTTTTTTCTTTTTTTTCTGAGATGGTGTTTTTGCTCCTGTCACCCAGGCTGGAGTGTAATGGCGTGATCTTGGCTCACTGCAACCTCCGCCTCCTGGGTTCAATGATTTCTCTGCCTCAGCCTCTGGAGATTACAGGTGCCTGCCACCACATGGAGCTAATTTTTGTATTTTTAGTAGAGATGCCATGTTGGCCAGGCTGGTCTTGAACTCCTGACCTCAGGTGATCCACCCGCCTCAGCCTCCCAGAGTGCTGGGATTACAGGTGTGAGCCACTGTGCCCAGCCTACACATTTTCTTTATAGAAAATTGATCACAAAGAGAATAAAAATCATTTGGATAATAGCCTCTGTTCTCTAAGGCTTTGTTGTTGTTTTCACTTTTTGCTTCTTTTGAGTCATGTCTGATGTATTTGTATGACTATTTTAAATGTCAAGGACATGATCATTTGAGTTTCCTCTTAGTTAAGAAAGTTGAAAGGGACAGAAAAAAAACTAGAACTCTGGGAGTTTTCATCTCCTCCCCTAACCTGGAATTGGTACATAGGGACCTGGATAATCAAAGAAAAACCTCGGTTAATGTTATGAAGTAAAATTCATTTGTAGTGAGAACCCTCATGGGGATGGTGAATCTCATGAAACCATAACAATAACAATAGCTTCTCTTTATGGGGCTTTACTATACGCCAGGCATGCGTGTCAAATACTTTATATTATTTCACTGAATTCCAACTAAAGATGTAGGGACCTTTTAGTATTACTCTCATTTTGCAGATGAAGAAACTGAGGCTCCATGAAGTCAAGTAGCTTGCCTGGATCATACAGCTATTCCTTGAGGGAACCAGGATTTGATTTCCCGATATTCTAACTTAAGAACTCATTCTCTTCTTCCTCACATACCATGCTGCCTCCCACAGGAGTGAGAACAGTTACTTTACACCACGTAACTGAGGTTGAAAGGGGATAAAGCAGGCAACTTGGTGAACAGATGGTGATTTTGTTATTAGCTTGATGGAAAAGGCATAGGAGTAGGATATCGTAGTGGTTGAGATCATGGGCTCCAAAATCAAGGTTGCCTGCATTCCCAGCCATGCCAGGTGACCTTGGGTGAATAACTTAATCTCTCTTCATCTTAGCTTCCTCTTTTGTATAATGTGGGAATAATAACAGTATCTACCTGATAAACCTGTTTTGAGAATTTAAAGATACAATGTAGGGAACGTACACAGCCTGTGCTTGACATATAGTGTTTGATAATAAGAGCTAACATTATTGGAGGCCTATTGTCAATGTTAGCCACTGTTATCACTAACGGCAGTTGAGTGTACAGCCCTGGAACACTTTATAAGGCAGGCCTGAAAAGAGACAGGTACCAGTGGGGTTTACAGGACAGGAAGGGGAATAGTCAGCGGTGGGGTTGATGGAGTCATGCAACCAAGGAATTTCACTTGGTTTGGCCAAGAGCACAGGATCACAGCAGACCCAGTGAAGGAGGATTGTGGCTGGCCCACAGGGGCCAAATTCCGCAGCATCTTTGAGTAATAGGGCCTTTGGTGCTGAAAGATCAGACATTTCCCAGGATAATCATTTCCAATTATCTAGCTTGGGTAAAGGTGACTCCCTGGACAATTAACTCAGCGCCATTCAGGTGGTGAGAGGAAACCATGCCAAGATAATAGCATTCCCCACTGATTATACCTGAGGCCAGCCAAGAACTCCATGACAGCATTGTAGTTGCCCATGTTCCAGCAGCATTTGGCCACATGCACCAAATACGAAAAGACTTCCCGCTTCTCCTCCATGGAGCCTGCCGTGAGGATCAGCCACGTCACCCAGGAGCTCACCTGGAAAACGCACAGAGACATTCACGGGAATTACGTCCTAGAAGCTTGGCAATTTTTTTTTTCAAAAGCATTCTTTGTTTTTCTAAAAATATCAATTTTTCATTAGGAAATGAAAGACCTATAGGTCCTTAATCTCTTAATCTCTTGTAACTCTTTATCTTCTTTAAAACAAGAAGGCTGAAAAGGGCAATTCATAAAATCCTTCTGATTGAAAAAAATTCTTGAGACTATATGAAAATAAGGTCTAAAAATAATTTTGATTGAAAGATAGCTCACTGATGAACATTAAAACGAAATGTACTTAACCCATCAAAGACATTTACTATTAAAATACATAATATCAAATGAAAAATAAAAACACACAAACTTTTACAAATGCCTTATCTATTGTGCTCCTCAAATGACAAAATAATACGAATATTTATAGAGCACTTATTATGTGCTCTGTATTCTAAGCACTTTACCTATATTACCTCCTTTATCTCTCACAATAGTTCTAAGAGTCAGGGAATGTTATTGTCCTCAGGGACGTGTGTAAGGTCTTCAGCCAACAGGTGGCAAAGTCTGTCTGCTCCAGAGGTTGCACTATCAACCACTCACAAAATGCCTGATGTGTTTACACAAACTCTAATGTTCTCTAGTTCTGGGCTTAAAGTTATTCTAATGTGATTTTTTTCTCCTGCTACACAGATTGGAGGATAATATTTAAAAATAATTCACACCTACACTCTCCCCTTATGATATGCCACCTCGACATCATCTGCTTCTGGTCTAAGATTATTTTGCTGCCACCTTTACTTTGGTGCTTGGATACTGGTGTCCACCCAAGTTACTTTCTCCATCCTGACTAGCATCTGGGTTGATAAGCTTGGTGGCCAACAGACCAAAGTCTTGGTGTTGACCTCACATGGCCCTACTAGCTACGCTTGGTTCAGCATCACTGCTGAAGCCTGGGCAGCAACACGTTTCTCTGGTCTAAAACAGAGGCCCGAACAGAGAGTTCATGGTGACCCACGACAACTGCAGGAAATAGAGTTCAAGGTCAATGGCATACTGCCTGTGAGTGGATAAAATGATAAGAATTTGACTTATCATTGACTTTTTAAGGTCACAATTTTTGTTAAAGTCAAAACTAGGACTCCCAGTCCAGTGCTCTTTCATCTCATGAAAGGTGACAGTTTCTTTTTTTTTCTTTTTTTGAGACTGAGTCTTGCTCTGTCACTCAGCTGGAGTGCAGTGGCGTGATTGTGTCTCACTGCAATCTCCACCTCCCGGGGTCAAGCAATTCTCCTGCCTCAGCCTCCCAAGTAACTAGGATTACAGGTGCCTGTCACCACACTTGGGTAATTTTTGTATTTTTAGTAGAGACAAGGTTTCACCATGTTAGTCAGGCTGGTCTTGAACTCCTGACCTCAAATGATCCACCTGCTTCAGCCTCCCAAAGTGCTGGGATTACAGGCGTGGGTCATCATGCCAGGCTGAAAGGTGACAGTTTCTTCAGACTTGGCTCTAGGTAGGTCCTCCTAAGCACTCAGCTTGGAGCTGCATATGTGAAGGCAGAGCAGGAATAAAAGGAGAAAATACGGAGAAGAGTCCAAAATATGATAAAGAGATGAAAAAACAAAATGAAAGGAATGGTTGCTCACACCTCTTTCCTATCCCTACACAGAAATGAACAGGAAAATCAGAACAACAGGGAGCGTTATTGATAAAACAGGTCTATTCTCTAGTATGAGTCAGAGGCATTGCAGTAATTAATAATCTTCTTCTTCCCTTCTGAAACAGACTGAAGTAAAACGTGCTGGGCTACCTGCCACCCTCAAGCCCAGTCCTGAGCCTAGTGGGCTCCCAGCATGTACCTTTGCCTTCCGTCTGTTCTGGACTTCATTGAGCCCTCGGGCGGCATCAGGAGAACAGATCTGGAATCGGACCCTTGGGACAAACCCTGGTCTGCAGCATCCCAGGAACTGTCTGGGATTCCTAGTGCTGACCCCTCTCCTGCAGCTATGAGCAACCAATTTGTCCTCTCACTGGGTTCCTTGGTTAAAAGTCACCTTTGTGAAACACCAGCTCACTAGAACAAAAAATTATTTTGCTAATAGAGACTGAGTCATTGGTGCATCTAACTCTTCCTTTAGTCTGACTGGCTTTAGATGAGCCCTATCCTATAAGGGGAAACCAGCAGCAAACTCTTAGCCTCATAACCCTACTGAATCTTTGAGTTGGAAATTCAAATCCTTCTCACAAATAAAAATGAGATCCTGAAAAGTTAAAAAACAGTTTCTCAAAGTCACCCAACTCATTAGTTGTTGAGGCCTCTGGCTATATTCTTTCCATGGCTTTAGCTCCTTTCTGGTTGAAATTGGTGGCAAATCAGGCTCTCTAGAAAGTCGTCATTCTTTCAGGCTGTTCTGATACCATGCATTAACTTTCTAGTCCAGTGGCTGGAAAGGGTTAACTCAACTCCCCCTGGAGAAGTCTGCTTCACAGGGCAGGTGGAGACCACCACTTGGTTTGTGTCACAATCCTGATCACTCATCCAGATTTATTTCCTATCAGTCAAGTCATTTTCCATATACTTTCCCACAACGCTAGGAAAAAAATAGCGATACCATATTTCACATGGAAACCTAATTTAAACCAACTGTTCCATTGCAGAGTGTGAGTCCCCAGGGCCCCTGTTGTTGAGATTACGTAAGCACTGTTATCACACACACACACACAGACACCCCAACATCTGCTTATAAGCCTCAGGGCCAATTCTTATTATGGTCTCATGTATTCGTAATCTTCTAAGCATTAAGTGGTGAGAGGGTCACAGCTAATTATGAAATAATAAATGACACCAAAAGGAAATGAAGATTCAGCGACAAACATCAAAATGTTGACCAAAAGATTAAAAAGGCGGCCACATTTACTAAGTGGAAAATGGGATGTGTTGCCAATCCAGAAGGAATTTCATGACACTGTAATCACACAGAAAAACAAGAAAATCACATAGACATAAAGTACTATGGTTTAGGCATAGGGCGTGCTACTAGAGCAGAAAGGTGTTAACGGTAGCAGACTGTTTTGCTTATTTCAATAGGAAGCACAGAATAAGGAGAGAATCTGGCCCCCAGCCCAATTCTTTAAGCACCTCTCCCAGAAGGTCTGGGCTTAACCTGACATCCTAACCCCCTGGACCATGCCCACAACTCCTCCACAATTGCCCCTCTCCAAATATCTTTCTTCCTTCCTTTTGCTTTTCTCAGTACTCTTAGGTCTAGCCAAACAGAAGTTTGCTTTTCACATTGAATACCTTATTTGTGTCACATACACTCAGTTTGGAAGGAATGTTCTTGCATCATTCAAAATGACCTTTCCCTGGTCCACCGTGTCTCTTGTTGTGTCCTCTGTAAAGCCAAATCTTTACCTTGGCCCACCAGATCCCTGTCCATTCTCCAACCTCACCTTACCTGACCCCTTCTTTTAGGGAGGTAAACTAGGCTTTTTAACATCTCAGGAATCTTGAACAGGTTGTTCCTTCTGCAGGAAGGCTTCCCCATCACCTAAGATTCAAATTTTTATTATTTTTTTGTAGAGATGGGGTATCACTATGTTGCCCAGGCTGATCTTGAGCTCCTGACCTCAAGTGATCCTCCCACTTCTGCTTCCACAGCACTGGGATTACAGACAAGCCAACACACCTGGCCTGGCATTTTATTCATCTAACCCTACGCATCCTTTAGGCAGCACTGCCTGAGACCATGCCATCAGGATCCCACCCTGGGCCCCAGGCTTCAGATAGCTCCACACTGGCCCTCGTCCAGCTGTGCCCTCTCCATCAAGTTAAAAGTCTGTGGGGTGGAGGGGACATGCCTGTCCACAGGCTGTGTACTCACTTATAGATCATTTACCCCTTGTAAACCCAGGCCTCCCAAATTCCTTGTCCAGATAGTACCAAGCCCACTGCTGGTCTGCAAGGCTGTTTATCTTGATCGGTCCTCCAGAGGGTAAATTGTAACCCCTAGGCCTAAAGCCAGGCCAGAAGGCAATGGGGGGTGGGTGTGGTGTGTAGATGGGGTTTGAACTTGAGGCCTGAGGTAACCACATGCTGGCACACAAGCCAGGATGGGAAGAGAAGGCAGAAGGCCAACATGCTGGGGTCCCCCTTCTACTTGCACCTTGGCCCCCTTTCCTTTAGGGGTAAAGGGTGAGGCTGCCTCCAGGAGTCTGATGAAAACATCATTTTCTTGAGCAGAACTTCCTTGACTTCCCACCTGGAGTGTGTCCACACACTGTGTGCTCTGTGGTGCCCCAACATCACCCTGACCCTAGTGCACACTCAGTGCTGCTATCCTCATGAAGGCAGATGCTGGATCTGCTATGCTCACAGTAAGTAGCAGTGTTGGTGACCTGTCAGGATCTGCCCTCAGTAAGTTTAAATGAGTCGGTGAAGGAGTGAACATGTGAATGAATGAATGAAGCTCACCTCCTCTAGGGAGGCTTTTCTGATGGTTCACCTAGCACCTTCCATTTAATTTCTTCCTATTTCTCTTTGACTTAATGTAGGACCTTGAGTCCAAAGTTTCACTTGGATTCTCACCACTGCATGGGTTTGCCTCTGGTTTATTTTTGTTATATTTGTGTGCCTGACTCTTTCACATGGGTCTGTTCTGTCTCCCCCAGCAGACCCTAAGACCTCCAGGACAGTGACCATCTTTCCCACATTTCCAGCATGGAGTTGCTCAGTGTCTCTGGCAGACAGGCAGGCCATCCAGAGTCCCAGGAGGCCGTGGGCAGGGAGGATTCTCAGCGTCCAAACTCTCAGGGATTATATTTGGGAAAAGGCCTGAACACTTCCCAGTGCTATTCCCAGGTCCAGAAAAAGGAGACAAATGACTTTCTGCCAAAAAGTTTCTTGAATATGCCAAGTGGAAGTTTTCATAGAGATGATCCTTGGTAATGGGTATCTGGTCACTCTAACTGCAAAGGTTGAACTCAAATGGTAAAGTCTC